GAAAAGGCTAGTTTGTTCGACGTGAGCCATATGTAAGTATTCTCCATGCCAGAGAATGATTGACACTCTTAAAGACAAGCTGATTCTAACATTGCTAGGGTACAACACCATCTTAGTGGTCCCGGAGCCGTGGAGCTGTTGATGAAGGTCACTCCCTCGTCTCTGGACAAGCTCAAGCCTAACTCCTCCACCCTCTCATGCCTGCTTGAAGAAGGCACCGGCGGCATCGTCGACGACACCGTCATTACCCGCCTTGATGGCGACGCATTCTATTTCGTCACCAACGCCGGCCGCCGCACCGAGGATCTGGCCTTCCTACAGGCCGAAATCGAGGCATACAGGCAGGCACACGGCGCCGACAGCATCAAATGGGAGATCCTCGATGACCGCGCCCTCGTCGCCCTGCAGGGCCCGCTCGCCGCCTCCGTTCTCCAGCCCTGATCAGCTCCCACGGCGCGGCCTCCCCGCCGACACCGAGCTCAGCACCCTCTACTTCGGCAACTGCCGCTCTCTGCACCTCACCCTCCCCGACGGCACCCCGACCCCACAGCCTCTCCTCATCTCCCGCACCGGCTACACCGGCGAGGACGGCTTCGAGATCTCCATCCCCACAGCCGGCTGCCCTTCCCTCCCAACGCAGGTCACCGAGCTCCTCCTGTCCAACCCGGAGCAAGTCCGGCTCGCCGGCCTCGCAGCCCGCGACTCCCTCCGCCTCGAGGCAGGCATGTGTCTCTACGGCAACGACATCTCCACCGCACAGACACCCCCGCCGCAGCCCTGGGCTGGATCGTCGGCAAGGACCGTCGCGACCCCGCAACGGCGACCTTCAACGGCGCCGCCACCATCCTCCCACAGCTCGCCTCCCCGGCAAAGACCCTCTCGCAGCGCCGCGTCGGCTTTACAGTTGAGAAGGGCAGTCCCGCGCGCGAGGGCGCCATCGTCGTCGACCTGAGTGATGACTCGCACCCGCAGATCGGCGTTATAACCTCGGGGCTGCCGAGTCCATCGCTGGGTGGTACTAATATCGCCATGGGCTATATCAAGAACGGCATGCACAAGAAAGGGACCGAGGTCGGTGTGCTGGTGCGGAATAAGCTCCGCAAGGCAACGGTTACGGGTATGCCTTGGGTGGAGAGCAAGTTCTACCGTCCCAAAGCTTGAGTGCTTCGTTACATGTTTCTTTTTTTTTTTTTTTTTTTTTTTTCCCATGATGCTCTTATGTAAATAGTTACGATTGCAGTTAGATTTTCGGTTCGGATCCATTTTCAACATGACGGTATAATATAACGTTCGTCCATGATTTAACAGGGGCTAAACACTAGCTAGCGACTGCAGTTATGTGCAAACAAAATTCACAATGGTTTCTCAATTTGCAGACTACTACGCATGGGTGAATTCCTTGCCTACAGCATGGTGCCGGTAAGCAAACTGAAAAGAGTGGCCTCTTCGCCTCGCGTGGCCATACTCGCCGAATTGAAGAGGAGCGGAGTCGAAATCAACTATTCTCTGCCTGAGGCCCGTAGTAGAGGCCCTCCCCGAGTCGACAAGGAAGGCGGCAGATCCTCCTCGGCTGTTCCCCAGCGGCTCTCGTTTCGACCCAGAACAAGTACCAGTTCCGCTCCCTCGGTGAAAAAGTCATGGTCGACCCAGTTCTTAGTGTACGGCTTGCCGTTCAGCGTGGCAGACTGGATGTAGATGTTCTGGTACGTAGGGTCGAAGTTCACCGCGCGGACGGTTGCCGTGCGGCCCGTCAACGGGGACTTGATGCGAACGACCTCGAAGAACGGCGCGGTGATCAGGTACACGCTTTGTCCGGGGTTAGGGAACAGACCCATCATCGACATGGCGACGAAGGAGCCCATGGCGCCCGAGTCGTCGTTGCCTGGGAGGCCTGCGGGCGCGACGTTGAAGTATTTGGGGATGTAGAAGTGCGCGCGAGAGGCTGATTTGGCCGGCCGGCCGGCGTAGTGGTATTGGAAGACGGTTAGGAAAGATGGCTCGTTGCCGATGTAGGTGATTCCTTTATCGTGGAGATAGTCGAGTCGTCGGACGAATTGGGCCGGTCCTCCGAGAAGGGTAACGAGAGCGGCCATATCGTGAGGGATGAAGCTGTAGTCTTGTCAGTCGTGAGCCCTGAGAGTCGAAATGACGATTCTTACAATTGGTATTCCCAGATGCTGGATTCAAACGTCTCTGCTGCGTTGTTCTGGAGCGAGCATGATCTCCCGCTGCTGTCGATGTTTGAACATGTCAGAGGTTCCTGCATTCATGTCAATCGGCGAATCCCGCGAGGACCAGTAAAGGTAGATCTACCTGGAACCCCCAAGTGCCATTCAGATATCGGGGCTGGAAGAACCCCTTGAAACCAGTATCGTTACCATTGATGAACGAAGTCTGATCCTCACGGAACAGATTTCTCCAGTAACCCGAAGTCCTCTCATACTTTTCTGCGTCCTCTGTTTTGTTCATGCCACGCGCCATTTGCGAAATGGTGAAGTCATTATAGGAATACTCAAGAGTGCGGGAAATGCTGCGGGTCATAGTTCCAAAGCCGACGTGATCAAAGTCCTCGACTGGAATGTAGTTCAGCGTTTTCCAGCTGTTCAGCCCACCTCGGCCTTCGTTTGACCAGTAGTACGGTTCTACCTCAGCGTCTTTCTTAACAGCTGCATAACCGGCTTCCCAGTCGATGCCCTCGGAAATGCCCTTGGTGTATGCATCGGCGAGAACGACGTCTGCGTTGGATCCTCCTTGAGTGTAACCTACAGCGGGTCAGTTCGTCGACGCGAGTCTAACCGTGGGCATCCTGATAATACCTTTGCAAAGAGACATGCGACAATCCGGAAGCCAGCCCAGATGCTTTTGAGTATCAATAAGCGAGCGGACCATCCGTGTCAGCGACGCAGGGTCGAATATGGTCAAAAATGGCAGCTGAGACCGGAAAGAATCCCACAAACTAGCAAACGTTAGGAGAGTCGCGTTGGAAATGGACTGGACCTACCAGTAAAAAGAGTCGAAGTACGGCTCATTGCTTTCCCAGAGTGGGTTTTCTCCAGTGTAATCCTGCGGATTGATCATTGTACGGTAGATACCACTGTAAAAGTTGGTAAGAAGAGAAGCATTGACGCCTTTTCTGGACACGCGAATAGGGGCAAGCTTGTCCCGCCACGCCTCCGTAGCCTTTGAGCGTGTGGCTTCCAAACCGAAATCCGGAATCTCAGACTCAGCATTGGAGCATGCCCGCTCACTGCTGATGAAACTCAAACCCACTCTAGCCTGCACGGTAATATCCGAAGCAGCATCAAACCGGACAAAAGCACCTCCCTGCATTCTGTTAAAAAGGGCTCTGGTAAATCAGGCCCTCCAGTGGACTCACAGGAAGAGGGTATCCATTAATACTCCGAGATATCTTCAATTCCTTCACGTCTGTGCTTGCGCGCGAATTGACAAATATTCCGTTATCGCGAACGGCAGAGCTGCTCTGAAAGTCAACACAGAAGTAAGGCACGTATGACCCACTTCCGAAGCTGGGTAGAAAACGCGCATGGCCCGTCATGCGTCCGGTAGAAGCGTCGACGGAAATTGTTCCATTGTCCTGTCTTGAATCCGACAAGTCTGTAAGATCAAGCAGGATGAGCGGGCTCGATGCACTATCAGTGGGAAACTGAAAACGGAGCAGAGATGCGTGATGGGAGACGGTCATATCGACTTTGATGCCGGAGTTCATGGTCAGTCCAAAGTATCCAGGAGAAGCTTTGACAGAGTCCGCATGATATCCGATGTGGCGCGCTTTCTTCGGATAAGCGCAACCATTGACATCGTCATCTTTGCATTTGACATAAGGGAACAATGGAAAGTTTCCGAGGGATGGGTTTCCTCCAGTGCCGGAATCATGCAAGCTTGAAAAACCAGTTATATTGCTGCCATCGAGTGTGAAGCCTCCCTGGTTGCTTTGGGAATTCGTGTCGGCTACAGCCTTGGCCATGCCATAGGGAAGCGATGCACCAGCAAAGACATTGCCTATTAAAATCTGTCAGTGAACGATCGTCTGCACCAGTCAAGATTCTATCTCGAGAGCGCACCTCCGTTGGCGCTTCCAATGAGTGGATCGACGTATTGCAGAACATCGTAGTCTAGAGACGTGGAATTGGTCACGGCTAAAGCCAGTGGGATGCTCGAGAGAAGGAACCATGATAGACGAGTCATAATAAAAGTTGGAGATATCAAATAGCGAATGACAGTAAACTATAATTTATTCCATAGGCGTAGCCTACGCAAGAAAGAACGGAAACTGGCTGTTTGCCAGATACAGAGTCAGGTTGAAATCGAAAAGCAGCATACTCGCGTCGCAACGCATCCTTATCAAGGGTTGCGGAGTTGGTGGGATGCTTGCATTGTTGCATTCCTATGCCCCTGACGATCTTGAGCAAGGGTGGTTGATACATCCTGGTTAGCGAAGGATGTTTTAAGTTCCAACGCACTGAAGGATCAATTATTGATTGATGGCTTAGGAGGTGGAAGGTGAGAGGTGATAAATCCCCGATGTGACGGAGGTGCAGATGGATGCATTAGTGCTGTAACAGTCAGTTGCAGGAGCAGATTGCATAATAATAGCAGAAGTTCTTCATAAATGATATGAATGAGGAGCATTTGAAGGGTGTTATTGTTGGAGTGATGAGAACGCTTAGGGTCCGAGGAGAGTCCGAGAGATCATAGCAGTCGATCTCATCTATCTCAGAGCAGACAATGAGGCTAGTCAATCAGACGTCGATAGTCGATGACAACATTTTCATCCTGCAGATTTATGTGATAGGTGCATTCTGCACCAGCAATAATAGTATCTAGCAACATCAGATCATCTCGTCAACATCCATGATACATACTACCTTACTCTATCAGCCGAGGTTCTCTGACGGATCCGCTCCGCCATCCGCCAATCGGACTTTGCCATTTCCGCTCATTTTTGTTGCTTTCATTATTGACCAGTCTAGAGAGGTACTCCATATCCCCAACGAAGAAAAGACCAGGTGGATAGAGGATCTCTTGAAACGCGAGGTTGAGATCCAGAATACTCAAGGATTCAAAACTTGGGTTATATACTTTTGAAAGCTGTTGAGAGCCCCTCGATCAGTCTCATGCCCGCTTCTGGCAGCCTTTACTAATCCTGACAACATCCGAGGCACTGCATCTCTTCCCTATCTCCGTATCCTAGAGTCAGTCTTCCAGACCCATAATCAAAGAAGACCTCCAACTCCAGGCCTCCATTTTCCAGCCCATCTCGTCCCCAATCATTCTGGCCATGCGGCCGCCAGTCCCGTCCAGAGCTTTCTTTCGGGAAGTCTCCACTAAGCACGGCCCGTATATTGTCTCTCGTCTGCCTACAAAGTCCCAACACCTGCCAAAGATCCCCAATCGGACGCTCCCGCTTCCCTCAACTTGTTCACGCTTCCTTGGCCCTCGTTTACACAGACAGTATTCCACCGGTACGCATGTGATAACCTGCGATCCCTCAGGCTGCTGTGACTCGGGATAAAACTAACTCATCTGCTGCAGCTTCAGCGCACTCTCAAACATCTAAACCTTACCTGCTTCTACGTCGCATTGTCGGATTTACGGCCATTGCCATTGTCGCATTTTCCACCGGACTCGCTTATCAGACTCAGAAGACTGTTGCGCGCATGATGGCTGTCAGCATGCCCACCGACGAGGAGACTCTCACTGCCTTTGTACCCTCCGATGAGTTCACGAAGGAGGTCGAAGACTATATCCGCAATCACCCTGTGACCCTTGCTTTACGTCAAGACCCGGCTTTTACCGAATCGCGACCACATTTGAAGATCCCGCAAGAATTGCGCGCGCGTCACCTAACGGCCGGTATCCTTGCAACCCCAGGCGGAATTGTGGTGCCGCCTTACGTTTTCTGCGAGGAGGGCGGAAAGAGTCTGACCGCCATCTTTTACCTTGGCTCCGATGTCTCCGGTCATCCTGGCATTGTCCACGGCGGTCTTTTGGCCACGCTGCTGGATGAGTCCATGGCCCGGTGCTGCTTCCCTGCGTTGCCAAACAAAGTGGGTGTGACGGCCAATCTGAACATTGACTACCGGCGCCCGGCGATGGCCAACAACTATGCTATCTTGAAGGCGAAGACAGTCAAGGTGGAGGGCCGGAAGGCTTGGGTTGAGGCGCACATCGAAACTCTTCCTGAGGATGGTAAAGAACCAGTCGTACTGGTGGAGGCAAAGGCTCTGTTTATTGAACCCAAGCAAGCTGCGGTAAGTCCACCTCCGGGGACATAGGAATAATATGCTGACGATGATTTCAGGCCATGGCAAGTCTGTACAAAGTTACCAACTAGTATGTCCAGGAACAAGCGGATAGAAATACGTAGAGGTCGGGTCTTGGGCAATATAGAGATTTATCATGTATTGTTAGTTTTGGGCGTATAGATGGGAGCTTTTTGCGATACTGTACATAATTCAAGGCATATATGTTCTAGAAGAGCGAACATACCGTATTATCAAGAACATCTTTTTTACTAATATGAATGCAAACTGCATAATTGATTTACACAACGCATACTGAATTTAAAATGCTAAAATGCTCATGATCATCGTTGCTGTCAAGTCCGCAATATCACAGTTGTTGACGCCAAACATGGCCCACCGCCTCCGCCGACTGACCTTCCGATGACCACCAGCTCCAAGCTCCATACAACCAGACCAACGTCCGCCGAGCTTCTGTCTGACTACCTCACTCCCGTTTGCTTGGGTGTGACGGCCCATTTTATTGTTCTTGAAATTATACATCCGACTAGTCCGTCCTGTATCGCATAGCCGGCACCATGTCCAAGTCAAACAAGTACCTGCTCGTCTCGCTCCCCACATCCATCACTCCCTCCCACCAACGCGATGACGCTCTCGATGCTGTTTCTGCCACGGTATCCCCCGACAATGGCTCCGTAGCACCCTTCCCCATCCCGGAATTCAAGATCGGTACCCTCGACGCTCTGGTGCAGCAAGCCGATGAGCTGGCGAAACTCGAAGCCTCTTGCCAAGGTGTCGTCGCCAAGGTCGGAGATGCGTTGAAGAGCGTCCTCGAGGGAGATGAGGGGCAGATCGATAAGATGAAGACTGTCAATGATAGTATGTCTACTGCGTCTGTCGTAGAAAGGGGGACCTGCTCGCTGACTGAACGTAGAGCCCGTTGATCAGTATCTGAGGACATTCTCGTGGAATAAGGTCAAGTATCGTGCTGATAAGCCGCTGGGGAGTTGATCGATCTTCTGCAGAAGGTATGGCACCTAAATCTTATGATGATCCAGTAAGAGCTGATGGATAATAGGAAGCTGCTAGTATCGACAATGACATTCGGTCCAAGTACTCGCAATACAACCAGGTGAAGAATACGCTGGCGACTCTTCAACGCAAACAAACGTGAGGGCCACACGTCATTCGCTGCAACCTTCTGCTAACTGGATTTCATCTGTAGAGGAAACCTCTCCACCAAGTCACTCGCATCAGTCATTGATCCCCGCACCCTTGTCCGCGATTCCGAATACATTGAAACGCACCTCGTCGCCGTTCCCGCTCAGCAAGTGAAGGAATTCCTCAAGACATATGAGACGGTGGCGCCCATGGTCGTGCCCCGATCCGCGACTCTCGTGGCCTCGGACGACGAGTTCACGCTCTACGCCGTTACGACGTTCAAGAAGCACAGCCCGGAGTTTGTCCACCGGTGTCGTGAGAACAAGTGGATCCCGCGCGAATTCAAGTACGTAGAAGGTGGGAAGGAAGAAGAGAAAAAGGAGGTCGAGCGCGTGGGCGGGGACGAGCGCAAGCTCTGGGGTGAGACCCTTCGGCTTGGACGGACAGCGTGGAGTGAGGCCGTGATGGTTTGGATTCATGTGCTTGTTCTGCGGGTGTTTGTTGAGACCGTGCTGCGGTATGGTCTGCCGCTGGATTTCGTCTGCACGATCATCAGGGTATGTTGGGTCCGCGACGGTGAATGTCCGTCTTTACTAACATGTGTATAGACGCAATCCTCGAAACATGCCGACAGGGCTAAACGGAACCTCGATGAGAAATACTCGTATCTCGCCGGAAATGCCTTTGGGCGAGACAAGAAGGGACGGGTCAAGCGAGACGACCCTCACGAGATGCAGGCGGGCGCAGAAGGCGGAGGCGCCGAGTACACTGCGTATGTGTACTACGAGTTTGAATTCAATTGATGGCTGGATGAAGCACTACGCTCCTGGTTTTGTCTCCCTTGTTCTTATTTGTTGGTACTATACACTACCCCATTGAATAGCGTACATATACACTTCTGTATCATTTCGCATCTCTGATCCTTATATGTAAATTTTTTATATGTACAAATCACTGGCAAGGACGATTCTATCTGCAAGATCTATCATGACAAAAGCAACCCCATGCATCTACTCCTTCTTAGGAGGCAAATACCCCTGCTCATCCAGGTACGCAATAATCTGCGCAACCGCATCCCTCACGGGCAAATCATAGTTCTTGATGTGCACCTCGGGCTTATCCGGCGCCTCGTAGGGCGCACTAATCCCCGTAAACTCCTTGATGACCCCCTCCCTTGCCTTCTTATACAGGCCCTTGGGATCCCGCTGCTCCGCCACCTCAACCGGCACATCGACATACACCTCAACGAAAGGCAGACCCGTCTCCTCGCCCGGCGTCGGCACCTCGTGCAGCTTGCGCGCAGTCTCGCGGTCGGCCTTGTACGGCGAGATAAACGACGTGATGGCGATGCTGGCGCTGTCAGCGAAGAGCTTGGCCACTTCCGCAATGCGCCGGATGTTCTCGTTGCGGTCTTTCTCGCTGAAGCCTAGGTCCTTGTTGAGGCCGAAGCGGATGTTGTCGCCGTCCAGTCGGTAGGCGGAGACGCCCCGCTCGCGGAGCAGCTGGTGCTCGAGTTCGACGGCGATGGTGGATTTGCCCGAGGCGGAGAGGCCGGTGAGCCAGATTGTGAGGCCGCGTTGGTTGCGGAGGGCGCTGCGCTCGGAGCGGGTGAGGGCGCTGGCGTGGTAGGTGATGTTTCTATAGATTGGTTGGGTTAGCGGGGTGTTCGAACGAAGGGGGATAAGGGGTCGTACGTGGCCATTGTGAGAGTGGTTTTTGGAGATTAGGATGAGAGAAGGTAATTGAGTGAGAGAGAGATGAAGGATGAAGAATTGGAAGTATGCAGAAATGGCCTGAGTAATTGGTATAAGAGCGGGGCGCTGATCGCGGGGTGAATCCGGTGAGAAATCATTACTATGGAGCATCGGAGGAAGAAAAGATGATGCCATTTTTAAGGATTCTTATTGGACTTCTACGCTGTCAATGGGTTAATACTGAAATTCTTCATACTTAGTCCTACCTACACCAATCCAGAACAGAAGATACCAATATTTTTCTCGATTGTGTTCTCTGCATTTGCTCCTGAATGTATTGTCAATCCCGGTATCTCTGACAAACCGATCATCGGAGCTTGCGTGGCTCTCGCCTTAACTCCAGCCACGGTGGATCAGAGCATACGGAGTTACGTGACATTTCTATGGATGACAACTCGATTTCTCGTCTCTTGTCACTTTACTATTCTTAGATTGCAACACTGAGTACTCCTGGCCAGGCTGATCACCTTCTTGGCCGCATCCTCAAAACTGTCAAAGGCGTGCAGGGGAAGCCCACTCTCGGCAATCTGTATCAGTCAGCTTAGTCAAGTATGCCGTGGTCAGTAGGTTAGACCGACCATCTTCTGTCCGAGCTCCTCGTTCGTCCCCCGCAGCCGTACTACCACCGGGACGTTCATTTCCAAGTCTCGAAAGGCCATGATAATCCCCTCGGCGATCATGTCACACCGAGTTAGGCCGCCGAAGATATTGACGAAAATGGCCTTGACCCGTGGATCAGACCGAATGATCCGGAAGGACGATTTGACTGTTTCGGAAGTTGCTTTGCCCCCTGTGTCAAGGAAGTTGGCGCAGTGACCGCCGTGGATGGACAGGGCATCGACGGTGTTCATCGCTAGGCCCGCGCCATTGACTATCTTGGTCAGCTCCGACTGTACACTGCAGGATGGGCAGGCTCAACTCACCGAGTGTCCCAATGCTTCCCTCTCCTTGTAACCTATATAGCGCCTTAGCACATTGATCACGATGTAGGCTGCTATCTTGCAAGCTGAGACATACTTGACATAGACGATTCCGTCCTTTTCCGCTTCGACTTCTTCAGGAACCTCTTCTTCCTTGTTTCTGAGTCGGTGCACATCTTCTTGACGTCCAGAGCTCCGGAACGCCGCATCGTCAAACCCGAAACGCGCACCACGAACTTGCATCTCACCATGGTTGAAATTGGCCCGGACTTCCAGTAGGTAGGCTTCCTTCTCCTTGAAGATCTCCCAAAGAGCTTGCGTAAGCTCTGCCAACTTCCCGCGTGCTGTCTCTGGAAGTTGCAGGTGGGAGGCAACAGCTTCGAGGACTGGGCTGCCACTACTGAACTTTTGCGTTGTGTAAGCGAATGGAAATCTAGTGGAAGACGCTTGAGCAAGATCAGGTGTTGTAGAAGCAACTATGCAGGGCGACAACGCTGTTCTGTCCACTGTCATTGTGAGCAAGACCTCTGAATCCGAAGGAGCTGCCTCGTTCACCGAGATAGATTTCCGCTTCAGCATCTCGAGAGCCTGAAATTCCTTGACATAGAGAGATCGCTTTTGTATTGACCAGGACGACACACGGCTACTACCATGCGGGAGACGTCGCATTGTATGCAGGCCTCTTTTTTGGCTGCTAGAACTGATAGGCTGAGAATTGTTCAGTCTCGCCACGAACGGGGCCATCAAACAATACTTACCGTAGCACTCGTCAGGGTTCTGCGAGCTAAAAGCGCCTTCATACCCTGACCAAACTTTTCTGGGTGATCGACCATTGTCACTCCAGCGCTCTCGAGAGCTCTGTGCTTGGCCACTGCACCTGGCTCTCCAGGAGCTATCCAAGCGCCGGCGTGGCCCATGACCCGACCAGGAGGGCCTCTCGACCGCCAATAAGAGCCATAATAGGTCTAAGCAGTGTCAGTTCTCAGGTATGCCAAAGCATGTTCAGACCGTGCGTACTTTGGGTTAGCAGCCCTCTTGTTGTAGTCTCGAATCCACTCTGCTGCATCAATTTCCGCAGTCCCGCCAATCTCGCCCACCAAGATGATACCTTCTGTGTCAGGATCCTCCTCGAAGACCTTCAACGCATCGACGAAATTGGTTCCCGCCAGTACATCTCCGCCCATGCTGATACACAGGCTCTGTCCAAGTCCAGCGCGCGTCGTCGATGCCACAGTCTCGTAGCTTAGTGTCCCTGATTTAGCTACGATTCCGATCTTGCCAGGGGAGAAACACGGTAAAGGTTGGAATCCGATCCGGCACTTGCCAATTGCAGAGATAATCCCGGGGCAGTTGGCTCCTACCAGTCGGGTTTTGGACTGGGTCTGCAGCATAGAGTGAACCTGCGAGACGTCAGCTATATGAGAAAGTCAAATGTTCTTATCTACTAACACGAAGCATATCATGAATGGGGACATGCTCCGCTACAGCCACAACAAGCGGAATCTCTGCCTCAATCGCCTCTTCCATGGCCTTTGCTGTCTGGTTTCCGGGACATAGATGGCGGATGCATCGGGCTTGGCCCTTTCTTGAGCCTGCGTCTATGAGCATGGTGTCCATGAACGAGTGAGCCAGGGTATTCGCACCGCTTGCACTGAAGGAAATACAGGAAGTCCAAGATGCTCACCCTCCACGCCGGGCTTTACACCTCCTACAATCTTCGTACCCCATGCGAGGGATTCCTTGACATTGGCAGTAGCCTTTGATCGTCAATATGCCAACATTCTGACCGCCCTGGGGAGTCATAGTCTACACATACCTGCCGTCCTGCAAACGTTAGCTCATACCGCCGAATGACACGCAATCCAGAATGCACCTGTGAATCCCTGAAACAAGACTCTTGTATGCGCTCCTATCTTGAGATTCGGAAGGGTGTCCGCATAGCTAGACTTCCTTGATGATGTTGAGAATCGCGAGAGTCTCAGAATGGAAGTTTTCCGTGCCCGTAGAGGCAGGAGCCGTAAACCCGTCATCCTACGGCCAATGGCAAGAGTTAATATAAACAAGCCTTCTTGTTCCTAAGACACTACACCGCCAGAAAGTACCCCTGAGGTAGAGATGAAGGGTTCTCTAAACGTTCAACCAGCAATCGAGTTGAGGGCGAGCAGATATCCAACCTCCCCTCAATGATGGTCCATCACTCATGGAAAAGAACCGGTTATATAGCGTTTGATGGAGCATAGGAAACCTCGGGAAAGCAGCTGCAAGCCGCCGGTCTCGGAGAACCCCCGCCTGCGATTTCGAGAAGATCTACATCTTCTGATTGGCCTTCTCGGAATAGGCATATTAGTCCCCTACTCGGGAAACCAAAGAGCGGGGGGAGCACCTCACGTGCTCTGTCTTCGTCGTTCGGGAGAGCACTGGGATAGTAGATATCCATTCATAAGGCTTAGTAGAGAGTGTAGGATAGATAGACAAGCAGTGAAAACGGACCAGATATATTCCGCTCAACACCAAAGTTCAATCTGATGTCATACGTGCGATTGGGCCTTAGGATCTCCAATTGTTTGTACGGAGTAGATAAGATCGTAACGACAGAGGACAATCGAACGATCGGGCAAATCTCAATGGCTTAAAGGGAGAGCTGTACCTACTCGTATCAAATGGACGTAAGGCAGTAAATAAAACAACAGTCGCATTGCCCGTACGATGTGGACAGAGAAGAGCCAATCAACAAGTGCAACCCCAAATACTCGGCGGGGCTCAACTCCATCACTGACGCCATTCATTCCTTTGTTCCATCGGAGAGCTCAGTGCTATTAATATCTGCATTCTGGATTCAGACCGTGGAGTCTCGAACGTCCATCGATCACCTACGTCGAATATATATATATATTTTGTATAATTCAGGCCCGGCTAGCATGGCCGCTAAACCCAGCCAGAAATCCCAGGGTTGGTGTATATTCTCCATTGCGAATTACCTCTCTAATTCCCCCTTCTGAACGAGCTATCCACAACGCATTTGTGGACTCTACTCTACGCCTCTACCCTCACCGCAAAACCACCTGGAACCACACTAACCCCAATGTCAATCCCAGCAGCCAGCCCGGAGCTCGAGCAATCCGTCCGCCAACTCTCCCTCCGCGACAATGCCCCAATCAAAGACATCCCCCGCCCAACAGTGAAGACACCCACCACCAAAAAGAAGGCCCCCGTCGTCGCAGACTCCTGGGAAGACGAAGCAGACTCCGACCCCTCCCTATCCGAGGTTGAGCAAAGCCGGTCGTCGTCCGCAGCTGCACCCGATCTCTCAACACTCTCGCCCTCCGTCAGTGCTAGCGCAGAGGGGCCGCTCGATCCTCCCCCGACGCCCATCTCACCGCAGACGTCCCAGCCCTGGGTGTCGGGCGCGCCCTTGCCGGGGCGTAGCTTGAGCTCGTCCCCGCCCACAGGGTCAGGATCTAGATCGCCAGCGAGAAGGCCGGAGAAGCAGACTGCTGTTGCGGGAAGGCTGATTGCGGGCGCGTTGGGGATCCGGGCTCCAAAGAGGACGGAGGAGCAGCGCGCGTATGATCGGGCGATAAAGGAGCAGGAGATTCGCCGGCGGAATCGGGAAAGGGAGGAAGAGGCGAAGAGGAAAGAGGAGGAGGAGAGGGCGAAGGCTGCTGTTTGGGATGCATGATTATATTGGGCTTTATATGTTTGGATGCAGTGTCTTATGTCTCGGGGTTCTTGTACAGATTTTGTGTCGATGGCGGGTTTCTGAGTGCTTTTGGTCTTCATCGCTTACGATGTTCCGGCGAGAGCCTGCAACTTTATATACTCTAATACCGTCTTGGTTCGCAACTTCAAATGCCAATGCCAACATTTTATATGAAAAGAATTTTCATGAAAGGGGCATATATGATTCATAACTCATTCGCGTCAGATGCCATGCAATGTGAAGTGTTTAGGACGGCCTATTCACATTGCCTTAACTCTCTTAGCTTTTTTCCACTTTCAACGCATGTAGCGAGTCTGTATTCCCAAAAAAAAACCACAAATCTGAAAGTCAGAAGAGCACCCAGATCAAGCAAAGCTTGCCGGGCCCGGGGGCCAACGAAAACACCTCTACTCCGGTTATCTCTCAAAATGCGAGCAACGAAAAACTGAAAGACGATGAGTTCATTGTATTGGAGGCTCCCTGAGAACCCTGTCTAACCGCCAATCTGCTCCTGGTGCACCTCCAGAGTATCGCCATCGGCCATATCGAGCTGTATTGAAACCGGTCATTAGTCTATGCTTTTGAAGACGACAGACAGAGAGGAAAGGTGCACATACAGAGTCAGGTGTGTCTTCGGGACGCACGCGGGTACCGTCAAACAGGAAACGGACAGTAGACAGCTGCTTTCCCTGGCGCTCGCAGAAGGCGTCCATGAGCTTTTTCAGCTGCGTTGTGCGCTTGATCTTGAAGAAGACCTCGTTGTTGTTATCGGTGACCTTGATGTTGAGGTGCTCGACCGGGGCGGGGGTTCGCTTGGTGTTCCATTGTCGGCCATGCTGACGGCTAATCAGAATATAGACAAGAGGATGAGAAGTCTGCTGTTGCTGGGAATTCCTGAGATTGACATGACTGGTCAGTGTTCGTCCCGAAGCGGGGAAGTCGCATACAAGGTGGAGGGATATCGATGCCAAAGCAGGAGATTTAAACTCACCGGTAACTCTTGAGGTTGAGTGTAGAGATCACGAAGCGCTATGAATGAGCAGAGGGGAAAGCGAAAAGAACTGGATAAGTGAAAGAGTATTGAAGTCGTAAGAGTAACTCGCGCTGAAGATGATGGAAGGCGACGGACCCCACCGCCAGTGAAACAGTGGCGGAGAATCTATTTTGCGGCGCAGGTCCCAGCATCAAGCAGGCTGGACAGAGGCATTAGGTCAGTATAATATTGTAGGCTTTTGGCATTGGAAACAATTCATTTACAATACCTCAGATATCTTCACAGAGGTTCTACGGTTCCATTTAGACCACTTTGAAAGGTCATAGTGTCCCAATTCGAGACAGTCACTTCTGTTGTTGGAGATTCAACTATTGCGTCATGGTAAGAGGGTTTCGAATGTGAAGTCAATTGGAGGCTCAAAGTGAGCTAACAGCAATTGAACCGCAAGGGGAATTTGAAAGATGATCTGGCATACGATCCTCCGTGTCATCCAAGAGCTGTAGGCCAAATACATCCTCATCTATCATATAGATATATCTGTACTGACCAACCTAGTGCGCCATTCAAGGTACTTCTGATCACCTATGGATAGCATCATGGCCCCAAACGGTCAACATTTAAAGCTAACTGGAGTAGCTTGCCTAACCAAGAATTCGTACAAGGAAGAGAGGTGCCAGGCTCAGATCAATGCCTTGTACGAGTGCTGTAATGCTTTCTACCAAGAGAAAGGAGAGGATGCAAAAACTCCCAGTTGCCCTAAAGCAAGCTTGCTGAAGCTGAGGATGAAGCAACAATCTCAGGGAAATTAGAAATCTTATAGAGCGAAGGCTGTTCATGGGTACCAATCGCTGTCAATAGGTCTACGGTAATAATATAAGTTGATGCCGGTCAAGAGCAACGCTGGCGATTTTTCCAAAGTATGTGACAGATTCCTTTGCAGTCTCAGCTCCCACGATGAGAGAGCTAGGCTAGTTGAGGAACTGCCAGATTGCTCTAAGACAATCTTGAGCACGCAAAGAGGCCGTATGACCTGAACGAAGATAGAGAAGCTGCTCGTCCCGAGACTCTAATGATTGCCTATAAGACATTTGATGAAAGAAAAGAAGAAGAGAAAACAGATCGTGGGAATTGAAATTTTATGCGTGTCTGCGCATCTGCGCTAGTCCATATCAAGCTTAGTTACCAAAACAACGCCCAGCCAACGGGGAACCCAAACTTTCCGTGGGCAGAAGTGCTGGAAGTCCTGACCCAAACCTTCTGGGAGCTAGCTATTATTATCCTTAACACTTATTCTTCTCTTTTACAGAACGCTTCCCCTAAAGTGGAGGCTCTCTAGTCACTGCGGACATCAGAGGGATTGATATAATCTTCTCAAGGCGCTCAGTGCGTGCGTCTACGTCATGGCTCCTTTGTCCACGGTGGTGGGCTCTAAAGCTGCCACTGCTGGCTTTACATCGGTCAATGTTCGTTCTTCCGTTGGGTTGCGCAGGCTGGCCATATTAATATGCTAACTGCTGTATTGATTCCAGTCACACCGTAATACCTTTAACGATCCTGAAATTATTGAAATCGATGACGATGACGACGAACCCATGGAGGATGACGAGGAAGGAGATGAAGAGGAAGAAGGCATCAATGACGGAGATGAATACGAGGATGAAAGCGTGGAAAACGGCGACGAAGAGGACGAGTCGGAGGAAGAGTCTGCCGAAGATATGAATGGCACCGAATCGCCGTTAGAGCTCGTTCCTGCGCCGAATGGCCGAGGTATATTCTTCTAGGTATCCGGGAACTGGCGAGGAAATGCTGACTCGATCTGGTGCAGGTGGTTCAGACGTGTTCACACCCGGTTTGTTCACATCGGCCGGCGCACAACAAGCGTTACATCCCCTTCGCCGCACAGCGGACCGTGTGACGCGCCAGATCGAAGCTTTTGCGGAGAGGTTGGATCGCTTCAAGCAGAAAGGTCGCACCGACGATTTTGGAAATTACCAAGCCGCGTATCAATTGGTGAAGAGTTACCAGGTACTCGCGCAAGATGCGATCCAAGATATATCGAAGCAGCACACCCTGAAGCGCGCGAAAATGGGCTGGAGCACAAGTCGAACCAACGGTACCGCATCGCATGATCCCAAGGTAGAGGAGGAGCTGCAACGGTTACAGCTTGAGGCAAATACTTGGCAGCTTCTTCTCAACCTCATCAGCATTGATGATCCCCCCAGCAGAGCCAGCTGCAAGAAAGCGCAAGAGACTGTCTTCCAGAAGCTCCATCGGTATTCGTCTGATCGCGAAGTCTGGGAAAGTTTCCTTAGCGCGGACCACTACGCGCTCGAATGCGTGATTATCATGAAGTGGCTGGAGCACACGGCGACGACTACGCCTCAGGATATTGATTCGCTGATCTCCGAGCTTGAATCGCAGGCGGAACGAGGACAGGGACACTGGACACATGGTTGGCTCTACACCAAGGAGACCATAAAGGGACAGAAGAGACTTCGTGCTTGGCCTCAGCCTCTCGAACCCAAGGACCCTGGCATCACAGCGTCTCTGTTGACTTCCGACGTCTCGGAGCCATTGATTACGCAATTAGATCCGGATGCGGTGACTCGGCAGAAGCAGCACCTTCAGAAGCAGGATCAATTCTACGAGCGCGCGACTTGGATGACCTGCTGGAAGATGTTGAGACAGGGAGAGAATTGGACCAAGATCCGGGATTGGGCCGAGGAACGACTGGAAAACTGGAAGGCTGTCAGTTTATGTGGCTCCAGTGTTGATTCCGAGTCCGGGGGGGAGCGGACGCCTGTCGATGATGGAATGACGCGCATGATGAACTTTCGCTCTCAGGCGTCCTGGCGGGCGGCTTGCTCTGCTTTGGCGCGGAATCCCAACATCGAGGACTTTGAACGGGCGGTGTATGGGCTACTCTGTGGGGAGACCGAGGCCGCATTCAAAGTCTGTCAGAGTTGGGATGACTACCTCTACGTCCATTTCAACAGTGTGGTCTTGTCACGCTACCAAGGGTTCTGCAAACAGTTCCGGCGCAAGCTGAGCCACTCGCCTACTGCGCCGGTGACCTTTGTTCCTGAGGCCGTCGGATACAGTGATTTCAACAAGTTTGTGCAGTACACAAAGGGCAACGAACGAATTGGAGTGGAGGCGCGCAACCCGTACCGCACGATTCAAGCTGCGATCCTAGGCAAAGGATATGACACATTTTTCTACTCGCTAGCCAAAGCAGTCTCGCAAGTTGCGAAGACGGGCTCTGAAGATTCGTTTGTGCCGGATCTGTCCCCAACCCATGTGGACGACTCGCTACTTATCGCCGCCGAGGACGACGATGCACTGCGGATCGCGACGCATCTCTACATCATCGCCAGCTCCATTGGCTACGTCCGTTCCGACCCCCAATTCTTTGAGACGGCATCTGTGAATGTCATTGGCTACATCGCAAATCTCGAGGATGCTGGCATCTACGAGGCAATACCACTCTACGCGTCCCTGTTGCCTGCTCAACAGACCCACTCCGTGCTTGGCCGCGTGCTGATCGAGATCCTTGACCCGAGAGAGCGGAAGCAGCAAGTTCGGTTGATCGAGAAATACGATATAAATATCGAGGCCGTCTTGGAAGACCAGTGGAATTGGATCAGCAGCACTGTCTCTGCAGTTGAGCACACGAGAACAGTGAAGCGTTATTCCAAAGTTATCCGCAGAGACGATGGAACACGCGAGTTGGTACCAGTCAAGACCGACTTTATCGGAACCGAGATCTCTCGCTCAGACGAGCGGTTGATTCGCAGCCTCGAATGGCTCCGGTACGTTGATGGACAATGGGGCAGGATATGCCACCTTGGCGCTTTTCTGTATAGAAAATTCTACTGTGAGTCACCTGTTTTTTGTTGGCTACGGCAACAATGCTAACATCTCCCGGCAAAGTGTCCGGCAAACTTGCTGCGGCACGAGAGTTGAGCCGACGTATGAGGCTATCCGACATATCGCGTGAATCGTTTGGTTTCGACGTGGCGGAGTTTGGGTACGGCATTCCAAACGGAAGTGACCGTGCGACTCCAGAGCCTAGTAGCCCAACGAAATCAAGACTGCTGGGGTCTGCGCACAAACGGAATCGGTCTATCCCCAACGGCGTCCCCTCAGATGAGCAGACAAATATTCTCGTGATGCAGTCGCAAACGATGCGAGACTTGGAAGAGTTAACGCTGGCGTTTGACGGGTTGGAGCGATTCGGCCTGTGCTGGAAGAAAATTGACAAGTGCGTATCGAACTATGTCTGGAAGCGGGACGGGTCTGCTGACTGACGTGATGTTTAGGAGCAAACGCAGACGGGATTCCGGCGCAATCAAGGATCTTCGGGACGAGTTGCAATATACTCTGGATGAGATTAGCATGCATGTGGACGCGGTGCTGGACGAATGGCTGACTGCGCCCGCAGACGGTAAGTTTGTTTCGATAGGCTGCTCTGCTGGGAGTTCTCGCTAATGAGTTCTTGTGGTATAGAAGCGGAAGAGGCCGAGCTGGAAGAAATCCGGGTCACCTACATCCCCGAGCTGTTCCTGGACTATCACAATGCGCTGTACTTTTCCGCCCACGTACTCACCAGCGAGATTTTGGTGCAGTGCATGAACCTGGCCATGCAAGTATCCGAGAACGAATACCTGACGCGCAGTTTTGTGTCGTCGCGCCGGATGGCGGAGCTGGTTGACGCGTTGGCGCTGTCGAGTAAGGCGATGGTTCAGACGCGGGCCAAGCCTGGCAAGAGACTACTGGGAGGCGAGTCGCTGGGCATCTGGACGGTGGAGGTGCCCGAGGATGAGGAGCATGATTTTCTCCGTCAGGCGAAATGATGCGAAATACCCACATATTGAATGTATGTATTATAGGTAGGATTTTGCTTCCATGGATGGGTTGTTGCAGGAGGGCAATCGGGTAGAAACAATTGCATTCGGGCTGGCCTTGGGCATTTGCGGCGCTTTCAACATACACATAACAGATGAATGGACACTACAAGTTCTTACCAAATCCATTTCCCGCTAGCTACCTAGGTAATGCTATACGTAAGTTCTCATTCATACGGCGCCATCAGCTTATTCCCCATGATCCTAGCCGGAAACTCCTCCTCCCCCAGCGTGGTGGAATGCGCCCACGGCTTCAGCCCGTTCTCCTTGCGAATGACCCCCGCAAAGCAACTACTCCACTGCTTCCGAGGATAATTCGCACAGACATCCTCGATCGTCTGCGGGTTGACGAGGTGCTCATTGGCGCCGGTATTATCTACCCATGTCATCAAACCACTGAAGGAGAAGTTTTTTAGGGTATTACATACCCAGCAACGTCGCCAACTGCAACAACTGCCCCAATGCCGTGATCATGCCCTTCTCACATACATCCTGGTGCCGGATGATTGCCTCGGCGACACTCTCCGCCTGCTCCCTGGGCGCGACGGTCCCGATGCCTGCGCCGCCGTCCCCCGTCTGGCCGGCTGGATGCTCCACGCTCGACTGCAGGACCTCGAGGGCGAGAAACCCGCCGTAGAACTCGAAGCTCAGCCGGGTCTTGCGTATGTTCTTTTCTGTGGTGCCGAGGTCGTGGAGCAGGCAGGCGAGGAAGTAGGTCTCGTCTGTGAAGGACCAGTTTGGAAAAGCGTGGCGTTTGATGGCGAGGCCGAGGTGGTAGACGCGCAGGGAGTGGTGGTAGGTTTGTTCGGAGAGATTGGCGCGGGCGTAGTCGTCAATGCGGGTTGCGAGGGGGTGGATGGGATGGGGTTTGAGTGGTCGGGATGAAGGGGGGTGGTGAGCTGGGGATGTTGCCGTTGAAGAGGGTGGTGCAGGAGGAGGGGACGGCGGTTAGGCCGTATGTTGTTACGGGGTCGAGGACGTTGGTCATTGTCGATGGCTATTCAGATAGAATTGGTGGTGTAGTGTGGTGATGTTGGGTGCTACGGTGGTTGCTGTGATGTATGGACCGATAGAGATGAAGCGGCACTCGTATGAATGATCTCATTGCCATCTTTGGTTGTCCTACCTCATCTACACAAGCTGAGGGCATTTTTCTTTCTTGTTGCTATCGGAGTTGAGCTCTGCACTGCAAGACAAGACGGTGTGCCTCATCCGTTGTAGTCAGAGTGAAACCTTCTAGAACACAGTCATCTTCCATGATCTCCGGCTAAACCAAGCTACCCTTAGTCTCCGTTTTAATTCACTGATCATGTAAAGTCACGTCTATCGAAGAATGAGAACCTTTCAATATCATGTTTATGTCATGATGACATGAAATCATACACGTTTTGGTAGTCATGGCTATCATTTATGGAACCAGAAAGTAAATATACGGCACCTCTACCTACCTTACCTTAAGAAGTCAAATAGATAGATACCAACTTACAGACTATCGAATTGGCATACAATAATCACATCTCTAGACAACAAATGAGATAGCAAACCGAGGCTTGCTAAGACAAACAAGATGCTGGCAAAGGGTGATAGGGTAAAAGCTGACTCTTGGGTAAGGTATTGGTCAGTTATGGTCCGTAGCTATAGCTATACTCGTGACTCCTGTGTTATGTTACGAGGCCCCGTACGGAGACCGAGAACAGACGTCCACGACCTATGGGTCTGAAACTGCACAGCCCACTTGCCAAGCCCATCAATCATTTCCGAACAAGGAGATACGTGGACCAGGTGCCGGTGGTTTGTATGGAATTGGTGATGAGCAGCAGCATTTTTCTGGGTTTGCAAGTGATGTCCGATAAAAAATCATGACCGTAGTTGTAAGGGACCATGAAGTATGAAGTATGGAGTACCTAGATAGTGAATCAAACAATGATGCTATCACAGTGCTCGAGCCATCCTCAAGCGCTGGAGGAATAATAGACTTTCGGCTGCGACAGTGGTTATTCTTCCTCATTAGGTATCATGGTAAACGGAATTTTGATCAGCAAATGGTAATCGGCGCAATGGATTAATGCAGAAGATTATTGTTTGGTAGGACGTATTCGTACGGAGTATATGAGTCGATGTCGTGGCAATGGTCCGTTGCATTAATTTCAAGTACCTTATGAAGGTGATTGCATTGATTCAGGAGGCATAGTTCGAGAAGTACATAGTACCCCTATATACGGAGTAGTAGACTACTCACCCCTACTTGTACTTGTACCTGACAAGAAAATAGTCAAGGCAATTCAGTAAGTTCACTCTCGGTAGGAAGTTGCTTGGTTCTGAAAAGAAGAAACCAAGAAATGTGAAGGTCATGGGCCGATGGAACTATTGATTGGGGGAGAAAAGGAGGTGGTGTCATGGCGAAGCGAAGGGGAGGCGATTGAGGCAGTGCAATGCAATGCCAAGTCAAGTACCAATTCCTGCACCAGGACCTGTCTCCTTGATTCATCCAAGGAGACGTGGCAAGGTAATTAATCCATTATTGACCTTTGCAATTAAACCTGATTTTGATACTCGTCTTCGTCTGGGCTTCAATCATCTCTCCCTTTACCATGTTATATTCCTAAGATTATGGACAGGCTTGGGGATACCTAGGCAAGGAGGAGAGTCCCTGAGTCTGTGACATGCGTCAGTTCTGCAAGCAGTTAAAGATTTAAATTTTAAGCAGCTTGTTTTTCGTTACCATACTGCCGGTCTCGATCCCGGAGCGGGTCCAACTGGGGCTTTGCAGCGGCAGGACCCCTGATTCATAGCCTGTCATTGGTGGTTAGAGTGGGATCGATGGAACACACTTAAAAGCTGTAATTACATTACAGGATTATCTACCCCAGAACCTCTCGTAGCATTGAAGCACCACTTCTCCAAAGGTAGGTAGTGCGTACAGTTTCTCCTTCTGCTGTCTCCCTAATTGTGTGCTATATTGCGCCCTGAATCTGTAGCATCACGGATATTACCGCATCCTCAGGGCTTTCTCTCATGATCTGAATAGTACCAACTGCGGCACTGTTGGAGACACTTAAGTCCTCCATTGACAACAATCAGCAACTCCTGACGACATTGCCTCGCGAAGAATCCTCGTCTGTCGATCTGGAATTGTGAGCGGCTGTTCAACTGATGTGGAAGGTCACTGTGCTTTCTACAGCTTCCAAGCGTGTCTCTATCTTCTTCGTGCCAGCAGGAGATTCGTCCGCTCAAATCTGCATCAACTCATGAGCTTTCTCCCTGATTGCGTGCCCCTTATGTATATCTGAGCTTGGTTGCGCCGTCTTTGAATCCTGGAATGTTGCCCTGCCCCTTGTCACAATTTCCTTGTATGTTTTAACGTGACTGCTTCATTCGCTCCTTCCGGGGCATTCCTGACCCAGAGTCTATCCCTTCCATACCACACCATTACCCAATCTCTCTCGGAATCCGCTCTGCGGGCTCCAAATCCTGGGCCATCATGTCATCGAATCCGAACCAAGACGCGAAGACTCCGCTCCGACGAGAACGAGCCCCCACCATCACGATAGATACATCAGCTGTGACGTCCACCCCGGATCCGTCACAACCTACTCTACAAGTCTCGACCGAGCCTGTTGATGCGAGCGATACTAGCGCTCTGTTACATAACGGCACTCCGTCGCCGACGGATCTGCGTTCGTCGGCCTCGATTCGCTCATCAGCTTCGTCGGAGGGCCGGGACCATGAGAGTAGGCCGACATCGCCACACAACGTATCGTCTCCCACGTCGAAACTGACCGAGTCGATGTCCAATTCCAATTTCCTCTCAGTTCCTGGCACCAGGTCTCGTGGAAATTCACTTGAATCTGAAGACTCGAGCCAGACTGCCAGCACCTATGGAGGAGAAACGTATGTTGGCCCGCCATCGCAAGGAGCCCGTCCGGAAAATGGGAATAAGAACGGCAACAACGATAAAATTCTCAGTGATGAGGAGGCTCTCAAGCCGGACCCTGGTCGCGAGGCCGAGTTCCAGGTGGAGGACAACAGATTCGCCTTCTCCCCTGGTCAGCTGAATAAACTTCTGAATCCCAAGAGCCTCGGCGCGTTCCACGCGCTGGGTGGATTGCAAGGATTGGAAAAGGGGTTACGTACGAACCTGCGCAGCGGCCTGAGTGTGGATGAAACTACCCTGGAGGGGACCGTGAGCTTCGAAGAGGTTGCATCCTCGGGTCCTCAGAACACCGTTCCCAAGTCTGATCCTGACCCCCGAATCAGGGGCCACCAGCCAGATCTAACACAGCTCCTGCGAAGCGACAGGACGACGCGTTTTCGGACCGGAAGAGAGTATACAGCCTCAATAAACTTCCCGAGAAGAAGCCTAAGACTATTTTGGAACTTGCGTGGATTGCATACAACGACAAGGTCTTGATTCTGCTGACCATTGCCGCCGTTATTTCGCTTGCCCTCGGTATTTACCAGTCCGTCACAGCCACAGATGGGGAAGCTCGGGTCCAATGGGTAGAAGGTGTTGCCATTATTGTCGCTATCGTGATCGTGGTAGTCGTCGGTGCTGCCAACGATTGGCAAAAAGAGCGCCAATTTGTGAAGTTGAATAAGAAGAAGGAGGACCGGCACGTCAAGGTCATCCGTTCCGGCAAGACAGTGGAGATTTCAGTCTATGATGTGCTGGTTGGTGACGTGATGCATCTCGAACCCGGAGACCTCGTCCCAGTCGACGGTGTCTTCATCACTGGTCACAATGTCAAGTGCGACGAATCCTCCGCAACAGGCGAATCCGATGTTTTGCGCAAGACGCCCGGCAGCGACGTCTACCAGGCCATCGAACGCCATGAGAACCTCAAGAAGCTTGATCCGTTCATTGTTTCCGGTGCCAAGGTGTCCGAAGGTGTGGGAACGTTCTTGGTCACTGCTGTCGGTGTTAACTCAACATATGGTAAGACATTGATGTCCCTGCAAGACGAGGGCCAGACGACACCGCTGCAGTCGAAGTTGAACGTGCTTGCGGAGTATATCGCCAAACTTGGTCTCGCAGCCGGTCTGCTGCTGTTCGTCGTGCTGTTCATCAAGTTCTTAGCCCAATTGAAGGATATGCATGGTGCCGACGCCAAAGGTCAGGCCTTCCTCCAGATCTTCATCGTTGCAGTCACCATCATCGTCGTTGCCGTCCCGGAAGGATTGCCTCTCGCTGTCACACTTGCGCTCGCGTTCGCTACGACGCGAATGTTGAAGGACAATAACTTGGTGCGTTTGCTGAGGGCTTGCGAAACCATGGGCAATGCAACTACCATCTGCTCGGACAAGACCGGTACGCTCACGGAAAATAAAATGACTGCCGTTGCCGCTACGCTGGGGACTTCCACGAAGTTTGGAGACAAGTCCGGTGGAGTGTCTTCCGGCCAGGCCAATGGAGACCATAGTGCCACCAACCCATCCGGCAGTATGGCGCCATCTGAGTTTGCATCAAGTCTCGCGGCGCCGGTGAAGGCGCTTCTGCTTGATTCTATCGTTCTTAATTCCACTGCGTTCGAAGGAGAGCAGGATGGAACAATGACATTCATCGGATCCAAGACCGAGACGGCCCTCCTCAGTTTCGCACGGACTTACTTGGGTATGGGCTCGATTAGCGAGGCGCGATCGAATGCCGAAATCGCTCAGATGGTTCCTTTCGACTCAGGACGTAAATGCATGGCCGTGGTCATCAAGCTTGAGAATGGGAAGTACCGGATGCTGGTCAAAGGCGCGTCCGAAATCTTACTTTCGAAATCTGCACGCATCATTCGTGATCCTACCAAAGAGGTATCCGATACGTCTCTCTCGGAAAAAGACCGGTCCGCCCTGGAGACCGTCATTACGCACTACGCTACCCAGTCGCTCCGGACCATTGGCCTGGTGTATCGTGATTTTGACCAGTGGCCCCTCGTGGAGCGCCTACCTCAGAGGAAGACCGTTCGCTGGCCCAGTTCGACCCCTTGTTCAAGGACATGGTACTGTTGGGTATTTTTGGTATTCAGGACCCTCTACGACATGGGGTTACAGACTCCGTCCGTCAATGTCAAAAGGCCGGCGTATTTGTGAGGATGGTGACGGGTGATAACATTATTACTGCCAAAGCTATTGCTCAAGAATGCGGAATTTTCACACCCGGGGGTATTGCTATCGAAGGACCGAAGTTCCGCCAGTTGAGCAATCGTCAGATGCGTCAAATTATTCCCCGGTTGCAGGTTCTGGCAAGGTCCAGCCCCGATGATAAGAAGATTCTGGTTACTCAACTTAAGAAGCTCGGGGAGACGGTTGCTGTCACTGGTGATGGAACGAACGACGCTCAGGCTCTGAAGACCGCTGACGTTGGGTTTTCCATGGGTATCGCCGGTACTGAAGTTGCAAAGGAGGCGTCAGACATTATCCTGATGGATGACAATTTTGCATCGATCGTCAAGGCTATGGCTTGGGGTAGGACTGTCAACGATGCAGTTAAGAAGTTTTTGCAGGTAAACTTTGGCGGCTTGACAGATCGCATTGTTCTCAGGCTAACGTTTTATCGTTCAGTTCCAAATTACAGTCAACATTACTGCAGTCTTGCTCACGTTCATCTCGGCTGTGGCTAGTGGTGACGAAGAGTCGGTACTGACGGCTGTCCAGCTCTTATGGGTCAACCTTATTATGGACACTTTCGCAGCCCTTGCTCTCGGTGGGTCTTGGTTCTGAACTCCGATGGTCCTATAACCTAGCTAACCCTCTCTGTAACAGCAACGGATCCTCCGACTCCTCACATCCTCGACCGCAGACCTGAACCTAGATCGGCACCCCTCATCAACCTGACGATGTGGAAAATGATAATAGGACAAAGCATCTTTCAGCTGGTCGTCACCCTTGTTCTGAACTTTGCTGGAAAATCGATATTTAAACTTCATTCAGACGAGGACATGGAACGGCTCAAGACGACAGTCTTCAACACTTTCGTCTGGATGCAGATCTTCAACCAATGGAAGTGAGTGGAACACCTGGCTCCGTGTTTACAAGGACGGAGATGGACAGTTACTGACCGATTCATAGCTCTCGTCGAATTGACAACGGTCTGAACATCTTCGAAGGCATTTTCCGCAATCGTTGGTTTATTGGTATTCAATTCATCATTGTTGGAGGTCAAATCTTGATCATCTTCGTGGGTGGGCAGGCGTTCTCGGTCAAACCTCTGGTGGGTTACCAATGGGGCGTGTCTCTAATACTCGGCGTGATTTCGCTGCCTGTCGGTGTTATTATTCGACTTATTCCGGACGAGTTCGTTTCCAGGCTCATCCCCAGGTTCTGGACCCGCAAGAAGGGCCCCGAGCTTGTGGTTTCGGATGAGGATCGACGCTTCGAATGGAATCCTGCTCTGGAAGAGATCAGAGACCAGCTGACTTTTCTCCACACTGTTCGCGGTGGCCGATTGAGGAACTTGAAGCATAAGCTGCAGCATCCCCAAGAGCTACTTCCTAGATCGCGCAGTGGATCACGGTCGAGAGAGGATTCTATTCCCTCGACCCCTGTTGGCGAGAACGGCGGTACTTCACCCCAGCCTGCGACACCCGAGTCGCGCTCACGAAAGCGTACCCGATCTCGCTCTAACTCTGCTTTCGGACCCGCTGCCGCCATGGCCGGTGTGGTTGCTGGCAGTATTGCGGGATGGTCTCCGATTGAAAGAGCGCCAGGCGAAAATGACTCGGCCGGCTTCAATTCGAGCAGCCCTCACGGGGGGCTGGATAACCAAGAGGGGATTGAAATCCACCCGGACACAGCAGCCGACGAGCGTCTCGTCGGAGATTATCTATCTACGTCCAAGACTCCCCCGAGTCAGAACCCCGACCTGATCCCATACTTTGAACACGCTCCTCCTGCCCGTGCACCCTCCAGCCGTAGCAGACGGTCTACATCAGGACGATCCCGATCTAGCCAGAGCCAGTCGCGACAAAGCTAGATGATATTCCTGCCTAGTCATTTTCCATCATACGCATTTCATCTTCCTGGTCGACGTCCGAGCCCAAATACGATGTACTCATAGACTTTTGCTTGCTCATTGTTTGAAGCGCTTGCTCACTGTCCCCTCTTTTCCCAGTTTTTGGCTTCGCACAGTATTCGATGTCTCATATTACTGCCTTCGGATGCTCTGGGAAGTTTGCTTTTTAAGCTTTGCACTTTGTGGAAACGAAATACTCACCCCCTGTCTTAATATCCCTTTCCTTATTTGCCGATGTCGTGTGTTCTTATACTGGGGGCGTCTCAGGGATCCCGAAAATTCCGCATAGTTGCTTGCTTATCTCCGATCTCTCTGATAGACCAGTCGTTCTTGCATGGGGGTTGGGCCTGGCGCAAGGCGGGGCGGTCTCTTTGTTTACTGTTTGTTTCTATAGTATTGCCACCACTACTTCCTGGCTTTGCCTCGTACAGATACCAATGATAATTGCTCGTTTGTTGTCTAGAACCTTTACTCAAGTGTCAACACTAGTTACGGCACCAGTAGAAAAAAAAAGTGCCCGCAAGAAACCAGGATGGAAGAATGAATGACTGAGAGTTGGGCCCGAGGTATGAACTACAGAGTATCTAACTAAGTCTGTCCTCTGTGCTCCGTGCGCACTGCGTCGTATTCTGTACTTGTGATCCAGGAAAGGGGGAGGAATGTGGCCATTTAGTATCTACGTACTATCAGGTACCTTGGGTAACATAGCGTGGACAGTATCAGTGCGCGAATCAAGAATTCTGCCGAGGGTGCGTCCTTCACCCTCCCTGGTTTGCCCATAGAGTCTGCTCTTGTGGCAGGACGACGTATCGGATGAACTGCTGCTTGGTGTTATTGTTGAAACTCGGAAGCGCCGGTTCATGTGATATTGTGCAGGCTTTCGTTTCTATTTGAACAGTACATAAGAGGCATTATGGAGGGAGTTTCCATTCTCAGTCCACGAAATCAGGGAAAGTGCTCCGAAGCAAGTATCATGCACTGCGGGTCAATTCGTGTGCAGTCCGTCTGCTATGCACTTTTTTTTGGCGATCCAGACTATGCACCAACCTCTCCTAGGCTTTCCGGCGTCCTCCTCGCGTTGCTAGTGCATTCCATGCCGGAGCATCTGCAGAGCTTAATACTTAATACGTCCGACGGTATGTTTACATGCATGGTAGCGTGACGATTTGCGCGAAGCGGAGTCCCTTTGCTGGATCCTTTTCGATGCGTATTGGCCCTAACAGGTTAGTGATAACTCGAAAGAATCCCCAACGGGGCTGTTGGAGACTGAGATCAAGGCCAGGGTTGATTGCAGGGAGCCGACGACCGTGTTTCAAGGTGGTTGATGCTACCTTAGGTTCCTAGTGGCCTGGGTTGCTTCGCAGATGCTGATCCTGGAGACCAGGACACGGACACTGGACATACTGCATGGATCTCATTATGCGGGCTTGTGCCATGGTGGTCGGCACTCTGCAGCCGATGCGTAGTTTTCCGGAGCAGTATCCGTGATGCTGTGGAATGTCCTGTCACGAGTGGTCGTGCAGGTATTACGTACCTTGTAAAGTCGAAATCGCTTGGTTCATACAAAGTGATGTCAGGTCAATATCACCGAGCAGTTAGATCACGTTTATTCCTTCTGAAAAGGGCTCTGCCTCCTTCTTCTCCTTGCACCATCGTCATTTTCTTCCTACCTCTACTTCAGCCTTTCTGATCATCAGGAAGGTTCGTCTTGTTGGTTTGCAGATTTGGTCTTACTCTGTCATTCTGTGATGGTAAGACCGATGCTAACTGCGAGAGCAAAATAGAGAGGGAATTTGCACCCTTGGTAGGAAAGACGAGGGAAGAAGAGTTGAGTCCTTGTGCCTTTTGAGTGAACAGTGTCCGTTCAAATCTGAGTCAATATGGTGTCCGAATTTGAGAAGCCCCGCCAGTCCCCTTCTTTGCACAGCGTTACCCAAGTAGAGCTGGGGGACTGCGGATCCTCGAGCACCGTCTGCCAGTCACGATATCAACGATGGACCAGGAGCTTCAAGAACCTAGAAACCCGCGGAATTGAGCCTGTTTCACCAGAGGATCGTCAGAAGCCCACCACGTCAGACTTGTTTCACATGCTCTTGATATGGTTCAGCATGGGAATGGCAGTAAATCACATGGTTGTCGGTTCAATAGGAACACTGGTCATGAATCTGAACTTCACGGACGCTGCCCTCTGCGCCGTATTTGGAAACCTGATTGGGGGTTTGGCGGTTGGTTATATGAGTACCTGGGGTCCTAGGAGTGGGAATCGCACACTTGTATGGCCTTTTCCGATCAGTCCGTTTTTCTTTGAATCCTATACGGATTTCTACCATCCAGCTGGCTTGACTTGAGCATGAACCTGACTCACGATTTGATTTTATAGGTCATGACCAGATATTTCATGGGTTACTACCCCAACAAAATCTGCTGTTCGCTTAACGTGTTGACCAATCTCGGGTATGGAATGATCAATGCCATGGTAGGGGGTCAGATTCTGTCTAAGCTCTCCGGAGGATCTGTATCCGTCATTGTCGGAATTATCATTGTCGCCCTTGGAAGTGCGATCATGGCGACGTTTGGTATGCGCATATTCCATATATATGAGAGGTATTATCCTTGCGCACAGTGCTGAAGCAAGATGACGAAGTGAAAGGCTGACTTGGGGCATAGATTCGCTTGGTTCCCTCAACTGCTCACATTCTGCATCTTGGCGGGATCAGCAATACCACAGTTTGACCTCCATGCAAAGTCCGTCGGGTCGTCCGATGAGATAAACGCAAAGCGCTTAGGGTTTTTCTCGCTCTGCATGTCGTCAGCTCTCTCGTGGGCGCCCTCCGCTGCAGACTATTATGTGTATTACCCATCCACGATCAGGCCGTGGAAGGTTTGGTCGGTGACTACTATTGGAGGGTGTGGAGCGATGATGATGAGTATTCTCCTGGGAGTTGGCCTGGGAACCGGTGTCGCGAGCAATGTAAAGTGGCAGGCAATCTATGACGGAACTCCGGGAAGCTTGTTGATGGCTGGCTATGACAGGCTTGGAGCGTTTGGCAAGATTTGCGCGTTCATTAATGTGCTAACGGTGGTTTCCAACAATGGCCCCGGAACATATTCGCTGGCAATGAACTTTCAAATGCTCGGAGACATTTGGTCGAAAGTTCCGCGTCCTATCTTCACCATCGCAAGTACCGTCACTTATACAGCATGTGCAATCGGAGGAAGGAACTTCCTGTATCAGATCTTCAAAAATTTCCTCCCTCTGATTGGATACTGGATCATCATCTGGTTCACCATCGCTGCCGAGGAAGATGTGCTTTTCAACCGGTGTCGAGGATACGATTGGACTATATGGAATGACTGGCGGAAACTCCCAGTGGGTGTTGCCGCAGGGGTTTCCTTCCTGATCGGATGGGCAGGAGCGATTGTGGGTATGGTAAGTGACAAAATTCCTTCTATACTTCTCTCAAAGGCGCCTGCAATAGACCATATTCGCTGACAGCTCGGGCGCCAATCAGGATCAAGTTTACTACACTGGGCCAGTTGCGAATGCGACAACAGGAGGTTGTGATCTTGGGATCTGGCTCGGTCTGGGGTTCACGGCCATATCTTTTCCTGCTCTGAGACTGTTGGAGCTTCAGATGCTTGGTCGTTGATGCTGTAGACAACTTGGTCTCCACAAGTCAACCGGATAGACGTCGAACGTTGTAGCTATCAAGATTGGATCCGACGCAGACAAGGTGTCCCGTCCTAATTCTGTACAAACATGTTAGTCCAAGTTCCGCTGGTAGCATAGAAGTTGTGTCGAAAGATATTAGATGAATGGGAAAGGAATACCTTGTAAAAGTCGAGATTGAACATTTTAACGATGTAATGCCATGTGCGCTTCAACCAGAAAACCTTCGTCTGGGTCTGAACCGAGAACAAAGCATATATCGTGCCACAGCTGTCATTTGTACCTTATGCTTCAAGGATGAAGCAGTGGAGGGATCCTTCTCAATAAACCGAGGATCGTCGTGAAGTGCGGGGGAAGATCAGAAGTGTGTCCTAAATTAGACTGGTGAGAAGTCATCTGGTTCCACTCACTCCATTTAAGAATCTGACATGCTCAACACCCTAGCTGGCTTTTGCATTATGTCCTCGCAACCACTTCCACTTTCGAAGGGCTCTCGAGCTGTCATGGGGCGGCCCGGGGCGGGGCGGTATGGATGCATCTCCTATTCTAGGGCTGCTGATTTGCGGGAATCACCATTTGCAGGAGCTGAATCAGGCTGATCAGCAGCTGCCTAGAGACCACTAGGTACTCCTTACTCAGTAGGGAGTACACTAACCACGTAATTATTCACTAAGGCAACCCCAACCCCGCCCCTGCTAGTGTTAGCTCCTGTAGCCCTTATCTACTCGTCTATATACCTGAAGTTATTATTGGGCTCCGATCATGAAGAAAGGTCTTCCTTCATCATCTCTCATGTCAATAATGATAAGTGAAAGAGATGAAGGACATTATGGAGCAACTTGCAGCAGGGTTGAAGGATGGCACATTGGCAGTTCTCGCCACTGATGTATCACGCGTCTCCTTTGGCCGCCTGGCCCCCTATATCCTGGCTGGCTTTGCAGCATATCCAGTGCTATGCTCTTTTCTCCGTTTTCGCAAGATGCGATGGCTCCATCGCAAGTACAATTTCCCAACCCGCGAGTCCCTTGCTCGCATGACCGATGACGAAGCGTGGGAAATTCAAAGGGTCCTATTGCAGCAGGAGTTCCCTTTCTTCTTCATCAAAGCGCTACAATTTGCGCTATTCAGGGTTAGTCACTCACTCATTCTTGATTTGATACACGTTTTACGGGCAGGCAGTCAACTAAGAGACTGAACAGACGTACGGCATCCCCACTATATCCGGTCTCCTGACAGCGACGAGCCAACTCTCAAACCCTGAGACATCCCTCAAGCGCTACACCGATACCAGCGCCCTGATCCAGGAATTCATGGGAAATGCCCCCTCCTCAGAGCGCGCCTGCACTGCCCTCGCACGCACCCGCTTCCTGCATACTGGGTACCGCGCCGCGGGCAAAATCCAGGAAGACGACATGCTGTACACGCTCGGCCTCTTCGCTATCCAACCCGTGCGGTTCATCGAAAAGTTCGAATGGCGCACGCTCAGCGACATGGAGAAATGCGCCATGGGTACCTTTTGGAAGAGCATCGGTGACGGATTGGAAATCAGCTACGAGAATCTCCCGTCAAGCAAAACGGGGTTCCGCGACGGTCTCCACTGGTTGGAGGAGATCATGGCCTGGAGCGACGAGTACGAAGTCCGAAGCATGCTTCCGGACATGAAGAACCGCGAGACGGCCGACCAGACCACCGCCGTGCTGCTGTACATGATCCCCGGCCCGTTGCAGCATATCGGGCTGAAGTTCGTCTCGTTCATGATGGACGATCGTCTACGGAAAGCCATGCTGTAAGCATGTGCCCTCACCCCCTCACCCCCTCACCCCAACACAACTAACTTGCAACGCTAAAACAAGGTACGACCCTCCCCCCGCCGCCTACACCAAGGTATTCTCCTTTCTCCTCCGCGTCCGCCGCTTCGTCATGCGCTACCTCGCCCTCCCCCGTCCCTACTTCCTCCGCTACGAACCCTACACAGAACGCCCAGACGAGCGCAACCGCATCTTCATCACCCACTGGGACGCAGCCCCCTACTATGTCAAGCCGACCTTCTGGAACCGCTGGGGCCCAACCGCCTGGCTCACCTGGGCTCTGGGGAAGCCGCTCCCCGGCGACATGGGCGACAAGTACTACCCGCAGGGCTACTACATTGCCGACGTGGGCCCAACGTACTTTGAAGGGAAGGGCCGACAGACCGTGGGGAAGATCACGGAGGAGCTCAAAGTCTCGAGGGCGGGGAACTGTCCGTTCATGTGAGATTTGACCGGTCCCGTTAGCTTCTTGTTTGCGTCACGTCCGTTGTGTGCTGCAAAAGGATGGCGCCATGTGCTTCCTAAATGTCCCAATATACCCCCACTCTCTGCGGCCAGCCGACTGTTCTGGACAGTCGTCGTACAATTTTCGATAAAGTGATGTCGGTCTAGCTAATGGTGACACAAACTGGGTCTTCCAACAGAGGGGAACAGTAGTGGACACAAGCGATCTTTGGATGAAAGCTTTCTATATGTTGCCAGAAACAGATGCGCTGTCCTATGGTTCGGCTTGATAGCTCCATACAATTTACTCGAGTTATTTCTAATCTGCCCGGGTGGACCATTGACGGAGGATTGCCGACAATGCTTTTGAACTTTGTACTATTTGAGTCCAATACTTTCAGAGGCCCTGGCGACCATAAGAAATTAAGAACAGGAAGATTAAAAAAAAAACGCTCGAGCAAAATAGTCCAGTATGGCAGCAGCAGCCTGCGAGCTAGGCCAAGGCCAGAGAGAAAGTAGACTTATGTATCAGGGGTATTACTGTGAACAGATCTTAATTCACGTCACTGAAAGGCTAGAGGGAAATAATTTACTCCTCAGCCTCGAGGGGCTCCTCCTCGCCGCTGCGGAGAGTCAGTACACGTACTCTGCAAAAAGATCTGGGGAAGACGTACTATTCCTCCTCACCCTCGGAGATGGAGGCGTCCTGGTACTGCTGGTATTCGGAGACCAGATCGTTCATGTTGCTCTCAGCCTCAGTGAACTCCATCTCGTCCATACCCTCACCAGTGTACCAATGCAAGAAAGCCTTGCGACGGAACATAGCAGTGAACTGATCACCGACACGCTTGAACAGCTCCTGGATGGAGGTGGAGTTACCGATGAAGGTGGAGGACATCTTGAGGCCACGGGGGGAATGGAGCACAGAGCGGTCTGGATGTTGTTGGGAATCCACTCAACGAAGTAGCTCTGGTTCTTGGACTGGATGTTGCGCATCTGGTCCTCGACCTCCTTCATGGAGACCTTACCACGGCTAAATTATCGTCAGTAAAGAGATCGTGCATAATGTTCGTGGGTCTAGCAACATACAAAATGGCAGAGCAGGTGAGGTAACGTCCGTTGCGGAAGTCAGAAGCTGCCATCATGTTCTTGGGGTCGAACATCTGCTGGGTCAACTCGGGAACGGAGACGGCGCGGAAAGAGTGAGCACCACGGCTGGTCAGAGGAGCGAAGCCGACCATGAAGAAGTGCAGACGAGGGAAGGGAACCATGTTGACAGCCAGCTTGCGCAGATCAGAGTTGAGCTGACCAGGGAAACGAAGGCAAGTGGTGACGCCGGACATGACGGCGGAGACCAGGTGGTTCAGGTCACCGTACGAGGGGTTGGAGAGCTTAAGGGTGCGCATGCAAATGTCGTACAGAGCCTGTGAACCAGTCAGTCTCCGCGTTGGTTTGTGGACAATCAATCCACTCATACCTCGTTGTCGATACAGAAGGTCTCATCGGAGTGCTCAACGAGCTGGTGAACGGAGAGGGTAGCGTTGTAAGGCTCAACGACAGTGTCGGAAACCTTGGGGGAGGGAACAACGGAGAAAGTAGCCATCATACGGTCGGGGAACTCCTCACGGATCTTGGAGATCAGAAGGGTACCCATACCGGCACCGGTACCACCACCGAGAGAGTGGGTGACCTGGAAACCCTGGAGGCAGTCACAGCCTTCAGCCTCGCGACGGACGACATCGATAACCTGGTCGACCAGCTCGGCACCCTCGGTGTAGTGACCCTTGGCCCAGTTGTTACCAGCACCAGACTGGCCGAAGACGAAGTTGTCGGGACGGAAGAGCTCGCCGAAGGGACCGGCACGGACAGCGTCCATGGTACCGGGCTCGAGATCGACCAGAACAGCACGAGGAACATACTTGTCACCGTTGGCCTAGTAGCAAGTTAGATCGTGAGAAATTGCCGAAGTAGTGCAGAGTCGAGAGTTTCATCAACGCACCTCGTTGAAATAGACGTTCATACGCTCCAGCTGGAGGTCGGAGGAGCCATTGTAGCTATTATCCCAATCAGACACGCGTCCTCTTCTTCCTTGCCTTTCGTGTTTCCCCCGCTTTCTCAATTGGGAGGATAAAGGTCGAACTTACTGGCCAGAGCCGTCAAGGCCGTGCTCACCAGAGATGGTCTGCCTGTAAATTTGTTAGCTGATACCTATGACAGCGAAGCTGATCCCAATGGAGGACAGCCTGCTAAGATGACAGGTCCCAGTCTCCCATCATCCAAGCATTGAGGTCGAGACTTACCAGAAAGCAGCACCAATTTGGTTACCCTGTCACCAAGAATCGAGTTTAGTCTCTGCTCAACGCAAACGCCATCCCTATGCTTCTCCCATAACAGTGCCTCACCAACGATGGGCAGTACTTACACACTGACCGGTCTGAAGGTGAACCTGTAGAATAAAAAAGCACAAGTTAGCTGATCCGCATTCTTGAGGAACAAGTGGGGTTCTTCTATCCAGGGAGAGCCCAAATCGACGCGTCTCCTGACGGAACAGGGGGGTGTTTAGGCACAACATACGATTTCACGCATTGTGGATGATTTGCTGGAGGACAGTTACTTAGGATGGGTAGAAAAGAGATGGAATAGGAAAGTTCAAATTGAACAAAAGGATAAGAGACCGTCGAAGAAATGGGGACGGAGAGGAAGAATGGAGAAAGGGAAAGGTGAGTTGGGTTGAAGTTTAGCGGTGAGGAGAGAAGGAGTTGTTCGTTGTGCGGGCTGGTCTCTCAGGGATCAACAGACAACAAGTCAACATTTGCTGTTAGTAAATAAATCAGGGGGAGCTACGGTCAAACACGGTTTAGCGCGGTTTCTATCACGGGACACCAGTCAGCAGCCGTTCCACGCTGGAACGAACCACAGTTGGAACAACGACAACAACCGCGAACCATGAATTGGAGTCGTCCCATCATGCAGGCAATTAAACAATGGGTCTCAATAAATAAGTGAGGGTCTGTTTCAATATTGATTGCCAGTTCTAGCGGTGTTACCCTATTTGATCATCATGTCTTCATATCAGCGTGGCCATTCCCGCCCTTTTCTGGCTCAGATGTACAGAGTACATAATCCGCTATAATACAGTACAAAGCGTGCGAATCAATGGCCTCCTTCCTGAGCGCTTATTCAGTTGGCTTGGATAGTGCCAATTCTCCAAGAAGCGACTACTTGGCAGTATTTTCCACCACATGGGAGCTTTCCAGCCAAGTCCCAAATTCGTCCAACCGTGCGTTTTCTTCCTCGTCTTCGGCGTCAAGTCCTCTCTCCGCCATATCCTCGAGAGCTGCCCGCCTCTCATTGCTCTTTTTGAACTTCTCTTTCCCATCTGAAATGTAGGCTTCGACGCGTGTGCCGGCGAAAAAGCGACCATCCATGACCTAGAAACTGGTTAGAGAATGGATCTTTGCGATGGTTGTAATGTAGCAACAAAATGAGCCAGCACAACATACTCTGACACATTGTCTGGCGGCTTCAGGGTCCGTGAAACGAACGCTGACAACTCCGTCGGGTTCTTTGTCATACAAAACGACATTCGTAACCTCGCCTAACTTGGAGCACTCCTCCCGAATATCGTCCTTGATGTCAAGGATGGCTGCCGGATCCTCCTACAAAGGGTAAGTATCGCTCCGTCCCATAAGCGGCCTAAACTGGAATCATACCTCGATCTCCTTCAAAGTAAACATGTGTTTGAGTATGACGACCTTCTCAAACCTGGAGCTTGTGTCCGTCAAATTTGATGGCTCGTCGTCACTCCAATCAGCGAGTTTGCTAGTAACACCACGTCAGTCCATATCGCGTCAAGTCCCGCGGGTTGCCTTGGACGGACCTATTTAGTTTCTGAGTCCTCTTGATGATCTTCTTCTTATCCCTCATGCTGGTCTTTGCCGGTGCATCTTGTTGGCTCTTGAACGAGAAATCTGCAGCCTGGACCTTCATCGGTCCCTGCGGGCCTGTCACCCCTAACCTAAAGTCTGACTCGTCCAGCATCTGTATGGCGAGGTTGACAGACTCCGGCCGGAAATACACTATCAATGCCTCGCCCTTGAACTTGCCGTTTTCATCCATATACATCTTAATTCGGGGCCGGCCACTGTCAATCTCTTCGGCGATAACACCACACTTGGAGAAGACGTCGCGGATCTCATCGAACTCGGCATCAAGGGGAATAGAAGTGACGAAGACGGCAGTGTTGACTCGTTGTTTCTTCGGCTTCTGACCATTATTCTGCGATTAAGTCGAGTCAGTCACTGTAGCTACAAGATAGATTGCAAGGCCATATAACTTGCTTCACTAACCTCATTCCCACCGGCCTGCTGCTTCCGCTTCTTCCTCAATTGTTGCGCAGTAACTTGTTCATTTTCGTCCACCCCTTGAATCTTGTAGGCTTCTTGTTGCTGCTGGAGCAAGTCATCGTCGACCTGGAGAATACCCAACGGCGCGGAAATGTCGCGCCAACCACACAATCAGTTTCACGAACCGACCAAGACCCATGTAGCAACGGCGATCACATTGTATCTGCAATGAAACGCTGTGCTCCAGGAACGATACTTGGCAAGTGGGAAAATACAGCGTGGGAGGAAGGAAACTCATAACAAGAGGGAGACAGAAAAGGTAAGAGTTCAATGATCGCAAGATACAAGGGGAATCGACCAGCTGCAGAGGAAGCGCGCACACACCGTCGGAATCCATCGTTTTAAAACCGTATCGTATCCAAATTCCTGTCCGTCTTCAGTCTCTAGTATGAATTTGTTGTCCAGCTTCGAGAAGGAAATCCTGGGGTCGCTGTCAAATTCAGCCGGGTCCTGCGGGAAGTTGCTAAACGGCGCCGGTTTGGCTTCTTCGCTGGGACTTCGAGATGCCATCTGCGAACGACTGTAGACCGATACACGAAATATAAGAATACAGCAAATGGGAAGAAAATCACGAGGTCTAGAGAATAGTGTGCGCTCTGATTTGAAGAATTGGAATGGTTTGCGGGGTGAGACCTAGCTCCAAGCTCCAAGGGGATTTCTAGGTGGTGACGACGGGAAGCTCCAACGTGGCTTATCATTGGCCGCAAGCCATGACATCTGCCATCACCTTATCCCATGAGAACTGCAACCCTTATGAATGTTACGCCTTAGGTATTCATTGCTTTCTTCAATATGGGCTGCCGGTAACCACTACAGGATTGGTCCTTCAAGAACATACTAGATGAACAAAGTAGGTGCCGCCGACCCATGATTGACGGCCAGGCTGTCAAAACACTACGTACACCTTCATCATACGAGCAAAATACATCTGGCATTGAGGGATGCTAAAATGGTTCTACGAGCCAGCTGCTTATCTGAAAAGGCACAGAAGACCTGACGCATGATGGTTCAATGACTTCAGACGAAGAAAATAGAATGTTCTGTACAGCCAAGGGCATCTTCCAACGTGACGAAAGAAACAAATGATAAACAGGAAATATATACAAACAGATCATGATCGACAGAATGAGGACATGATTATTAAGGACAGGGTATCATAGAATATTAGTGAGGCTGACGCAGTGTTCAAGCCTTCGTTTCAATGGTGCCCTCGTGGCCCTCCGTAGGGGTGATTGTCCGCTTGGAAGAGCCATCGAGGCCTTCAGTGCCCTCAACGCCGGCGATCACATCGCGAGTGATTTCGACATAGTCATACTAAGAAACTTGTTAGCTCAAACGATTCAAGTCGCAGATCGTCCGGAGCACATACAGCAAACTCGCCGATCTCGGCGTCGTCAATACCCAGAATTTCATCTTCTTCGGCAGCGCGGAGGCTGAGACCAGGGACCAAGTTGATGAGGAAGAGGATGAGGCAGCTACCGAAGAAGGAGTATGCAAAGCCAGTAACGGAGTCGGCCAGCTGATACCCGAGTTGAACCCAGTTGTGGTTAATCCATCCACCGGGGATCTCACTGAAACCATCGAGGTGCGCAATGTAGTCGCTGGCAGGGTGCATGTCAGTCATATATCAATCTCTTCTTAGTTGGAATAATACTTACGCGGCGAAGAAGGCAGTCAAGATGTTGCCAGCAAGTCCTCCAATGCCATGAACGGCAAAGATATCCAAGGCGTCATCGATCTTGAGCCAATATTTGAGCTTGGTGGCGTAGTTGCAAGCGATAGCACCGACAACACCGAAGATGACAGCGGCCCATGGAGGCACGAAGCCAGATCCAGGAGTAATAGCGACCAAGCCAGCAATGACTCCCGAGCAGAAACCCACAGTAGACCACTTCCTCTCGAGTCGGTAATCCAGAAGACACCAAGTGACACCACCGACAGAAGCGGCGAGGTTGGTCACAAAGGCTGCCATGACAGCTCGCATGTTGGCGGCAAGGGCCGAGCCAGCGTTGAATCCGAACCATCCCACCCAGAGGAACACAGTGCCAATGACAACATGGGTGACGTTGTGAGGGCGGTAGTTGAGCTCATGGGTGCCGTGACCACGGCGTTTTCCGAGCATTAAAGAGTAAGCCAATGCTGCTGATCCGGAGGCAATATGTACAGGCGTGCCGCCTGCAAAGTCCAAACCACCGAGCTTGAAGACCCAGCCGGAGGAATTCCATGTCCAGCAAGCGATAGGATCATAGATGATCGTGGTCCAGATAAAGGAGAAAACCATGCACGGAAGCATACGGCCACGTTCGGCGGCGGCACCGACGGCAAGTGCTACACTTTCCAGTTGTCAGCTGTCCTATCTTCGAGCGCGACGGGAATGCTTGAGTTTGGACTCACGTAATGCAAGCAAACATTCCCTGGAACACGGCGAAGAGCAGATCCGGCACCTTGCTGCTGCCAACCGAAGGCGCTGCCAGCACACCCTTGAAGCCAAAGTTCGATAGATCGCCAATGTACTTTCCAGCAGTATGGGAAAAGGCTAGTGAGTAGCCCCAGAAAAACCACTGGAAGGAAACGACACCGACAGACATTATCGAGAGCCATATCAGAGAGAGGGCCGACTTTCGACGGGCAAGGCCAGAGTAGAAGAAGCTAAAGGCTGTTAGCGATGGATATGAAGATGAGTCGTCATATTCTCATACCCAACACCAGGAATCATGAGCAGGACTAATGCGGTTGATGTGACAACCCATGCAATGTCACCGGACTGGAGGGACAGTCAGCTACAAGCGTTCATTCCAGAACAACATACTACAATGGTGAGGTTGACGAACGCTGTAGTATATGTTCAAATCCTCCGTCAAGGAATCTCCACCCGTTGCTATGGTGCCATTGTAGGCCACCGGATATTCCGCCATTGTGAAACCACCTGCAGCACAGTCGCAGATTTGTAGATAGGGACGATTCGTTGGCTGAGGTCACTGACCAAGGCCGGTCGCCGTGGTGCTAGATAACCAATGATAGAAAGTTGAAGTCCCAAATGGAACGAGACAGGCCCTGAGCAGGAATGAGCTGCAGAATCAGAGTCGAAGTCGTCGGTCAGAGCTCAAGGTCAGAGCTGAACACGAGAAGAAGGAAAGGGAAGGCTTCGATGTCTGATAAAGGGAGAAATGTGACAGGGGGAGAGGGCCAGACCCATAAATATGCGATGCTGATGCAAGCCAAAAACGCTGTGGACAATGGAGCCATGGCCATAGTTCCTGGAATCAAACACAATGCTCCACTGTCGGGCGCTAGGGAAAGGTCTATGGCCTTGGCTCATCCGGCTGATAGTAGTCAAATTGAAGGATTGTGATAGATATCAGACATAATCTGGCCAAGCCTTCTAGAGTCATGGTGCAATGCAACGGATAAGCCCATGGCTGACTAGTTTTTGTTTTACAATGAATAATCAATATGACTAGGATGATGTCCAGAGAGCAGGTCTCTACGTAAGTTCGTCTATCAAGCGAGCTTTGACTCAGCCTATCTTCTGGGTCCAGCAGTATGACCCTCCAAGTACTGGGGGCTAGGACCCTTCTGGGGAATCCTGGACGAGGATGACCAGTCGAGGAGTGCGATGATAGGAAGCCATATAGCAATTTAGACGATAACATCAAAACCGTGGTTCATATTTCCCATTATCGTCGACAAAGTCTCGGAGAAACTGATGAGGATCATGAGGATACCTATGTAGATACTGTCCCTCGAGGTGATTGGAGAATGAGACGAGCATCGAGAGTGGTTGTAGATATGGACTTGCTTCGGACCAATCAGCAGCTCTACTGCCAGTCCTCAGCCTGATACAAAGTCCTTTAGGTATCTCTTCTTGATTATCCTCCCCATCCTTCAAAGGCAAGTATTATGATATAGGTCGGTTGCCGAGATAAATTCCTCTGCATTATACTCATATGCAGACAATGTTCATTGCTATACTGCGCGATGTTCAGTATGCAACTGTTCTTCGCTGCTGTACCCAAGGTACTTTACTTATCGTTACGGTGTCAGCGCACCTTTGACTACGGAGTAGTGTTCCGGGTTTAATAGGAAGGAGAAGCCGTTGGTACCTCAATTAGCTTACTATGTAGGTGGCTTTTCACAGCATCACGCCGACTGTGGCTTATATCAAGTATTCCAGTATTGACATGTGGTAACGCACCCTTTCTCGGGCTTTTACCCAGTTAGAAAATTCGCTTATCAGTCTGTTATCTTGAGCCAAACAACCAATCATCAGTCGCTTTCGCTTCCTTATCAGCCAGTTCCTCTGACCTCATGGGTACATCTCAGATTTTGACTTAGCATGTAGATATCTATCTCCCTCCTGTCATCCGACAGCTTCTCCTTAATATGTGTGGACGAGGTAGAATGAGAGAGTTCAACGACATCCAGTCGATCATAATTGGGTGAATTTTCAAACGGTTCCGTCTTCCTGCGCAATCGGTTTACCTACACAGAACCAAAGAGCAGATCACCCAAGTGTCTAAGGTTGGGTACCTGCATTCAATCCCAGGCTGTCCTATTGAATAGGTTAAGGTAATTGCTACCTAGTCTTCAGTTTAGATAGATACCTACTGTTTATTTTCGTACCTTGAGTACCTTACGTTCGGAACCTTATATGTGACAGGAGGTTGTCAGAAGATAAGGATCTCTGGTCTTATTGGTTGGGCGATTTCGGCAACCCGATCTGTTCGGATTAGGGGTCTTGGCACATCAGTAATTCAACGACTCTTTCAAAGAGATCAAAGATGGCATGGATGTTGTATTGAGCAGTAAGGTGTTAATTATCCGTCCCAAACAACCGATGCTCCTCCAGCGCCTGCTTTTCCAATGCCGCAAATATCTGTCAAGGCGACGGATGACCACACACCAATTTGGTCGACCGTCACATTCCTTCTTTGTTTCTTTCCAAGGCTATTGCCTTGCTTCAAAGCCACCCGCCATAGAGGCGTCTTAAGCCCTTTAACCCTCAGCTCCGGTGCGTGTGCCAATTAGAGGATTTCAGAGCCCAATTCCAAAAAAAAAAAATTACCAGTTGCTAGTCAGATACGTAACATGCAGGGGCCGATCTGCCAGGATATGTCTACTGAGTGCTTCCAAATACATATTCCTTGGGCTAGAGCGCTACTCGAAGGAGACTGACATCAGACTCTCCGCATATTGTCTACCTGTTGGCTCTTTTGAAGCTCCACCAGGCCTAGATCATGAAGACTTCGATAGTCCAGAATTTCAGGCTCAGATGGGACAAAGCGGGCTTTCATGGAGATCCGCACGCTCCAACTTGGGAACATCGAGTCCCACTGATCAGCATCAAGTATATCTCTTAGATTTACTCATTTTATGCATAAATTGCTATTCTTAATCGTCATCATGTACTCAGCAGGCATATTCCTTGACAGTCGCTGATCATTGAACGCCAAATTTGCCTGTGCTTGAATCCTAGGATCGGCATAGAGAGGTAAGAGATTCAAATCTGTCCAGCCTAGGATCACAAATGCTACCACCTATGATGTATATCAACGGAGCACATCATCTGTCCCTTTCAAACTTCAGCGGTGTTACCTCGAAAGCCCATGAGCTGTTTGGAAAGTCTCTCTCAAATTGCAGTCACAGTCTTATAGTAATTCGTGAGTGAACCTATAGAGGTCAAATACCTCCTAAAGCGGAAGACCGAGCAGGTATTGATTCGGCCACAACAAAGTGGTGCCGGAGGCCATACACTGTATGTCATCTAAAGTACATAAATCAGTGACACTCAAAGCTTCTATGGTGAAGATAGATTGGAATCTAATGTGTCCAAAGAAGCTATGTATTTTGACATCGGCTTTCTTCTCTACCAATGAAGAGAGGAAACCTTGGAATCATTCTGAGATATAAACATTGTTACTCGAGAAGACCAGGCTCAATCCTGTATGATTCGCTGCTCGCCATACGCTGCGAAGAGTTAGCTGAATTTGGCTGAAAAATATCTACATAACTCAAGCAACTACGATTAAGACAATGAAAATTATTAAAACCTGGCTATGATAACTGTCCAGTTCATCCCCTCTGGCAGAAGAAAACGGCGCTAGTAGGCCGACAGCCGTGTAGCCGTGTGGCGGCCTTAGGCAATTAGTTACTACGTACGTACTAATAAAACCCCGGAATGCACCGCCACACCCCTATCAAGTTTCGGGCTTGGAGCTCCCGCTTCTCCTCATTCACCATCCAACAGGACCAAAACTCCTAAAAAGCCATGCAAGATGGAGTCGCCTCAGGATCGTGAATTTCGAGTCATGGAGAATCCCGACATTCCCAATCATGACTCGGACAGCTCAGGGTCATCCGACGAGCTTCTACAGCAGCCGTATGCAATGAGGGCCAATTCTACCTTTCCAGAGATCTTCGAGCAAGCTCCGCCAGTCACCACTATCGCTTCGTCCCCTCCTGCCTCGCACGCTACCGGCTTACCAGCCTGGGCCAACACACCAGGTCTACGCCCTCGCGGCTCCAGCGTTGGTGCAGGCGCTGCTCTCGACAAAGTCCCGCCTGTCGACGGCCTCCCTCTAACCGATCGAGATTTGCGACCGCAACGCCCATCTGGCCCTGCTAGGACCCCGTCCAACACTTACGCCCCCAGCGCCGTCCACCTCAATACATTAGCCTCCAGAGCGACCGCCAAAGGTCTTCATCGGCTAGGAGAAGTTCCCGACGTGATCCTAACGCGCAATACCGGGCCCAAGAAAAGGCGTATGTCCAACGCATTCGGGCAAATCCACAGGCGTGGTATAACCATTTCGATGATGCCCAGAACATGGGTTTGACACCTGGCGACTCGGACTTGGAGGAACCTTCGCCATCGTCGGAGGCTCCGTTCGAAGATGACGCATATGATCCTGACATCCAGCTGTTCCTCCCGGATGATAACCAACCGACGCTCGAGGAACTCAAGAACCCCAAGAATCAAGAAAGACTCGAGTGGCATTCTATGTTGGCCTCTGTATTAAGAGGAGATGTTGTCAAACAGGAGAAACAAAGACTGCTTGGCTCAGCGGAGACAAAAAGGTCCGCGGCTCAGAACAATGCCATCTGGTTGGGGGTTCGAGCTAAAACATGCGGCCGAAGTGTTGCCTTACAACGAAAGCTCATTGAGGAAGCTAGAGCTGGTCTTGGGCCGATCATCGAAGATATCATTAATTTCAAAATCAAGGGTGAGACTGAGATTGGCAAGTCGCCTATCAAGCAGGTCGAGGACATTGTTCAAAAGATCGAGGAATGTGAGATGCTGTACTCTACACATAAAGAGTTCGAAGCTGCAAACCCTCGAGTGGCATCGGAGGAATACTGTTCAAGCCGCGAGGCCGTCTTTGCATGGCACAACACTATCGCCCTCATCAACACCGAACTGGCCATTCTGCAGAAGTGGGTAGGCAATGATGAGCTTGATTTCAGCAAACCCAAGGTCAAATCCGTCAACAGCGATCTCTCCGACGGATCGTCTTTTCTCGATCGCATCATGAAGGAAGACGGACTCAAGACTCTCCAAGGAGATCACAATATGCTCAACGGCATTGGCGAAGTGATCAAGAAAGCGAAGACTACGCTGATTGAAAACGCGGGCTCATTCGCCCAAAGACACCTACCTCCATACATCGAAGAGCTCCTCACATTGATCAATTTTCCCTCGCGCCTCATCCAAGAAATCATTCGTGTTCGCTTATCTTACGCCAAGAACATGAAGGACCCTGCCCAACAATCACCGATTCTCGTCGATCAGATGATCTCGCAGTTTCAGATACTGATGAAAGTCGCTGTTGACATCAAACAACGCTATGTAGACATATCGAGGCCTGAGCCTGGCTGGGATTTACCGCCTTGCATTGATGAGAACTTCGACTCGGTGGTATTGGATGCCTTGAAATACTACTTTCGCCTTTTGAATTGGAAATTGAACGTGAATAAGAATACATTCAAGGAAGCCGAAATCCTGGAGCAGGACTGGGAGTTCTCGAACGACATCGGTCGCCAACTCGAAGGTGGTGACATCGAGGTCGCTGAACAATTCAGGTATGAGCTCTCTTTCTATCTTTAAGTATACGCGATTGCTAATAAGCATTCTAGTGCTCTGACAGCCAAGTCACTTCAACGCCTAATGATCCATTTTGAGCGTGAGTTGACGGCACGTCCAAATGAAGACCCGATCGATATGGATAAGAGATACAAAAGTGTGCTCGACTCCACCAGAATCAGACAACGGAAGCTTTATCGATTCTCCCGATTTCTGCGTCAACTGTTTGAAAACGCTACTGAATACAATATCTCGGCTGATATCGCGTACGACTTCTTCGAAGCGTTGCTCATTTCGGATCATTTTCTGGTGAAGTCAAACGCCTCTGTCGGCCAGAAAGGTGTCTACCTCTTTGCGCATCATGCGCTGTGGAACAGACCTACAGACATCCAAGCGATCCTTGCGACCTCGTTTCGAGAAGAAGATGTGCCCAAGGATTCCGCCCACGCACCTTATATTCTGGTTATCCGCCCTGAAAAGCCCCTGTCCTGGGCCGGTAAGGAGATGCAGGTTGATTTCCTGGAACAGCCCACGGATGTCAGACTTGGCAAATGTCGTCTTGTAGTTGAAGGAACGCAGCAACGACTCGCCAATGCTCGGCATGAGCTGGTCCAGTTAACGGGCATGCAGCTGGACATGGCTATTGAACAACGGGCGAACCTTGGACGAGTCAACGTGGAGCTGAACAAGATTAAGAAAATCTCATTCAAGCTTTCTATGACTATTATGGACAGTGTTGCGATCATCAAAGATCAATTGAAATCGAGAGGCATAGAGAACACGGAGCTTATCCAATCTTGCTATGCTTTCGCAACAGAGTTTGGCAAGCGTTCTTCAAACTATGTCGACCCTAACCGACGTGCTATGAATAGCGCTAGACTTGTCGAACTATCACTGGAATGGGTTTCATTCATTTGCGATGACTGCGATGCCGCTGACCGAAAGACATTCAAATGGGCCGTAGCTGCCCTTGAATCCGCAATGGCCATCACCTCCAGCAGACACCTTCTATCAATGGACGATTCCCAATTCAGTCAGTTGAGGTCAAAAGTGGCCGGATGCATGTCGTTGCTGATTTCTCACTTCGATATCATGGGTGCCCGTTCGTCTCTTGCAGCACAAGCGGAGAAGCAGCGCATGGAGGAGCGCGCGGGAGCCCGGAAAATTGGCGCTGGCCGAATCCTCACGGATGCAGAAGCTACAAAACTTGTTCGCGAGCAGCGTTTGGCTCGCTTGCATGACATCGAAGATAAACGGGTGGAAGAAGATGCCAAGCGTCAGGCCCTCGGAAGAGTACTTGAAGGGTCCAACGAGGCTGACCGATCTCTTGCGGTCCTCTCGTCCTCTGCGACTAACGTTACACTCAGATGGCAGCAAGGTCAATACATCGGAGGTGGTACTTTCGGATCTGTCTATGCCGCCATCAATCTTGACAGCAACTATCTCATGGCAGTCAAGGAAATTCGTCTTCAAGACCCTCAACTTATTCCGAAGATTGCTCAACAGATTCGGGATGAGATGGGGGTATTGGAGGTCCTTGATCACCCTAACATTGTTTCCTACCATGGTATCGAGGTTCATCGAGACAAAGTCTATATCTTTATGGAATATTGTTCTGGCGGATCTCTGGCCAGTTTGCTTGAGCATGGTCGGGTGGAAGATGAGACAGTCATCATGGTCTATGCTCTACAACTTCTCGAAGGATTGGCATATCTACACCAAGCCGGCATTGTCCACCGCGACATCAAGCCCGAGAACATCCTTCTCGACCATAACGGCATCATCAAGTATGTCGATTTTGGCGCTGCCAAAATCATTGCGCGCCAGGGCAAGACCGTAGTTCCGATGGATGCCTTTACCGGGGCTAATCACAAGGATGCTGCTCTCGTTCCCAAGGACTCTCAAATGGCGCATCAGCGGGGAAAGAACCAAAAGACGATGACCGGAACACCAATGTATATGTCTCCCGAAGTGATTCGCGGCGATACTTCCAGGTTAATCCACCGCCAGGGAGCGGTCGACATCTGGTCATTGGGATGTGTGATCTTGGAGATGGCCACCGGTCGCCGACCATGGTCTACGCTAGACAACGAGTGGGCAATCATGTACAACATTGCCCAGGGGAATCAGCCCCAGCTACCCTCAACCGATCAACTCAGCGAACTGGGCATTGATTTCCTCCGCCGTTGTTTCGAATGCGATCCCATGAAGCGACCCACAGCCGCGGAACTGCTACAGCACGAATGGATCGTCTCAATTCGGCAACAGGTTGTCGTTGAGCCCCAGACACCAAGCAGTGACGGCGGCGGCAGCAGCATCAGCAGCTCCAATTCGTGCAGCCGCCAAAATTCCACATACATGTAAAACACCTGTCCAATCGTCTATTCCGACTTTCATCCTTTCGGTTTCAGTTCCTTTTCAGTCTTTTTTCACGGAAGCTCCAGCTCGCTTTCCACAGTTCACATCTTATTTTCCTCCTCCTCGTTTCTCTTCCTCCGCTTGAGAGGTTCGGCTCGCAAAAGTTTCAGCAAAGAGATTGCCCGTGATACCCCCAACTTGCTACGTTTCTTTCCCTTTGTTTGAAGCAGTTAAGATTTACTCTTCTGCCCTCTTGTGTATGTTGGAGTTGTTAGCCAAGGCGCTGTGCATGTCAGCTAGTTATCCGGATGTGTCCAAGCAGTACTAGCTATTTCAGAATCTTTCATGCTTGCATTGGCCGTAGTCATTATGTGATGTATCAAATATTGAACGGGTCCAAGTATGTGATGACCTTGGGGAATTACTGATACCGAATGTGCGACAGGCACGTAGTCTTCAATAGCTGCTTTAAGCTAAAAAAAGACATCAATTGCATTCATGAGTTCCAAGGAAATCGGAGATGAAGTGGGCAGACATGAGAGAGAATATGAGAGGTTCATCAGGGACAGCTGTTCAAACTTACAGCTGGATGACAGCGAACCCCAGTACAGGACAAGATAATGAGATACACAAGACGTCAAAGTAGAATCGAAAAAGACCATGTGAACCAAGTTGCGCCAAATGGTAAGACATCATGAGAGGAATCGTAGACTGTCAAGGAATGGTAGTGGTCGTGAATCTCAGGGCCGTTGAAGAAAGAAGACAGCGGGATCGTGACCAGTAAACCGAAAGAAATATAGACAACGACACAAGAGAGAAGAGGAAGGAAGAGTCAGGGCTGAAAGGTAGATAGAAGAGCCAGGTGCGAGGCCCTGGCAGTCTGCAAGCATCAGAACAAACCAACGCAAGGGTTGGCGGGTATCAAGAGAATCAACGGAACTCCATTGCGGGAGTGCAACCATGATCTTCAACGTGTTTTAATTCAAGCTGCTGGTACCTGCAGAGAATCGAAGATGCGTTAGTACTCAAGATCCAAGAATGGCTAGCTGTTTGACCGATACGTACTTCTCACTCTTCGCATGAAAGTAAATGCCGGTCACGCTTCCTTCAATCTGGTTGAAGCATATGTAATAGAAGCCCTCGAAGCTTGCGCCTGAGATCGTTCTCACCCGATGATCAGGAACGAGAAAGTACTCTTTCCATCGCATGAATATGTGCTCACGCTCTGCGAAGTTCCAGTAGGTGAAATCAGGCTTCTTCGCCTGTTTGGCAAGAGGCCGCCAGGCAGGAAATCTGGCCCAATGGTGCATGTCGGTCTTCTCCGTCGCACCCCATGCTTCATTTCTGGTCTTGAAAGTGTGTTTGGTTCCAATGATTTCTCCTTCGAAGAACGTTGTCAGAGTAGGATGATCCTCGGTGAGACCTACAGGGGTAAGAGAAGGTTAGCTATAATGTCTTACATATGGGATAATCCACGGACCTTGTATACGAAGATAGCCGCAGAGGTAAGATTCAGCCATATCGACATGTTTGATCTCTACGTCGACGTTGTACACTTGACGGTCCGACTGTTGTGTACCAGTGAATTTGCTTCCAGGGCGAAGATAAGAAGAGGTGTAATTAGGAAGGAGCTGTTGTCAGTGTCAGTAAAGCAATGATATCCGCGCAAGTGACTGGCTCACTAACCCGAACATTAGAAAATTCATAACTTAAAAGTGAAGCAGTGGATGGCGATGCAACAGTCGACGATGGCTTTGCGGTGCTTGCTGTTCCCTCGTAGGGCTCAATCTGCCCAATGCAAGTTCGTCATCGGATCCCATCGTGCCTTTTTTGGGGGCGCTATGACCCGATGCAACTCCTGAGACATCTGTGTTGGACTGATTGATGGTTCCATCAGGTTGGGCCGTCAAGAGGGTGTGCGCTGATCGAATGGAAGGTGACGAGGCATTGTCGGGGACATCGCTCTCCGTGGCAGAGGGCTCCGGAGAGTCTCTCCAAGAGGACAATCGCTCAACCTCAGGTGGGCAGGTCGTATGAGTAGATATGTCCTCGGTGATTGATGCAACATTCAGAGGAGATGTGTTGTCACTCGGTGTCGGCATTGAGGCTAATTAAGGACGGGATGACATCGGATCTAATCAGCTTGCAGGGCCCCACACAGGGTATAGAAGAACGACAAGAAGAAGAAGCAGGAACACGACAACCACAATAGCAGCAACAGCCAAGAGAGGAAAAGAGAATTCAGGGTTGAATGGAAGATGGAAGATTACTTAAGGTGCAGCGCAGAAGGGTGTCTGAGCGGGAAGACGCACTGCCTGAAAGGGATAGTCTGATCATGCGGGCGCGGGGGAGGCGAATTGGCGCCTGAGGCCGGAACATCTGGCCAGGCCTTTTGGGATGAGATGGCATGCGCTCACTTTTGGGCAGTGCTTGCTACTTATTTTCGAACTATAAGTAGATCAACTTCATGCCTAAAGGTTCTAGTCTCAATTGAGGTGACCGTTGTGTATAGTATTAAGCTGGGTATTTATTTCATTCCTCTACGTCAGTAGATTGCCACGGATGTGTATAGTCTCGTCACCGCGGCTAGATCATTTTGAGATTCATCATTATAAGTAAACCCGTTCCATACTCGAAGTAAACGCCCATGTTGATTTCCAAAACAGACTTCACCACATATCCGTATCATGACTTAGATAGGCTTAATCTGCAGAAGGGACGAAAGGGTAAGTAAAGTGTCTGGAGGGTCGAAAAAATATTTTGAAATTACCTTGAAATGGAGGGAGATGAGAGAAAAGATGAATGCTTTCAAATCCTGAACGAGGTAGTAGAAAACTCGGAGACCTTCAGGGTCTGCAGACTCGGTCACATCTACTAACGAACCGATTTTCGCGGTCTGCGCAATCGAAAGACGTCAGCACTTGGCTATACTTTTGCTTAGACCACCGTATCGGGGATTCAGCGCACCTCAAAGGAGATATGTTCGTTTCCAAGCCTGATCTCGAGCTCTTGCCGTCCATCCTTGTTCTTCTGTGGCCATTTCGAATCGTCCTCCCTAAGCTGTATTAGCAAAGACCACGATTCCTTCCATGTCACTGTCAAGGTAAGTCCCATACTTCATGATCTCGCTCTCTTTGATAATGCGCTTGACTTCCTGAATCATCGCCGAGCTCACGCACACTGTAAATCCATCAGTGAGCACGTAATCCTCAGCACCCGACCATGAATCCTAGCACTCACTTTCTTTGCGGATCAGGGAGTCATTGCGATAATTTGAGTTGTTCGCATACCGAACCGCGGCACTTCGGCCGTCGCCAAGGGTCCGAAAATCGAATTCTACAAGCCGTTAGTCATTGCGGGAGAATGAGGATAACTTCATGGTGCATACGGACCTAGAAACTCATGCCCAAACCGCCCAGAGTGACCTGAGCTGCGGGGCTGTCAGCAGCTGAGGAAATCTGGGCTACAGAGCAATGGTCTGCCTTACTAGTATCGGAGATAAAATGGTTCGTTCTGGTTCGACATTTTCGGAACGTTTCAGAGCAAATATGTCGGGACTGACGTTTTGAAAGCAGGATCGCATCGGTCGAAGACGGCCTTGTACCTTGACTGCCTTAGTTTACAGGTTGGCCCGGGCGGAGCTTAGTCATCCACACAGTCCGGACAGCTTGCTCCGCCGCGCAAATGGACAAGTTGATACTCAAGCCCCGGATTGCCAAACAATTGCACTGATGAATGCAAGGCAGGTGAGGGGAGATTAATTAAGTCAAATAACATCTACCATCCTACCTACGTGTTTGCCGGAGAGTGATCTTGGTATTTTCCCCCGTCCCTCTCGAATGCTAAAACGACAACTTGTACTAATCAACTCCCAAGCTCTCCTCTCTCCTTATCCTCCCACCACCCGTTACGGCCGTCTGCCTCTCGATTCCCAGGCACCATGGCGTCATTTCTGGAAAATGCTTACAGCTTGGTCCATTTGGACAATACTGCTGATCAACCAACGGTACAGGAGCTGAAACTGCAACTAGAGAAGGGCAATGATGAGACGAAGGTGGAAACATTGAAGCGGATCATCACAATCATGCTGAATGGCGACCCGATGTCCCAACTCCTCATGCACATCATTCGCTTCGTTATGCCGTCGAAGAGCAAGCCTCTCAAGAAGTTACTCTACTTCTACTACGAAATCTGCCCGAAGCACGACGCCAATGGCAAACTCAAGCAGGAGATGATCTTAGTGTGGTAAGGATACAGACCCGCACGCTTTTGGCTCTCCTACCAGTCTAATCATTCCATTTTTGCGCAGCAATGGTATTCGCAATGACCTTCAACATCCCAACGAATACATTCGAGGCAACACTCTCCGCTTTCTATGTAAGCTCCGTGAACCGGAGCTCATCGAACCCCTCCTCTCGTCCGCACGCTCATGCCTCGAACATCGCCACGCATATGTGAGAAAAAATGCAGTTTGGGCCGTGGCTTCCATTTTCCAACACTCTGAGTCTCTAATCCCAGACGCGCCAGAGCTCATTCAAACATTCCTCGAGTCAGAGACTGATAGTACTTGCAAGCGCAATGCGTTCGCTGCTCTGATGTCCATCAGCCACCAGAAGGCTCTTGAATACCTGGCCACAACTTTTGACAGCATTCCCAATACAGATGAACTACTTCAGCTGGCGGAGCTAGAGTTCATCAGGAAGGATGCGGTGCAGAACACTCAGAACAAGGTGGGTCGGTTGTCAACCATGCATCATACGCGACGCTAATAAATAAAAGGGAAAATACTTGCGCCTCATCTTTGATCTACTAGAGGCGTCGACAAGTACAGTGGTATACGAAGCGGCAACGTCGCTCACGGCTCTTACCAGTAACCCAGTGGCCGTAAAAGCTGCGGCAGGCAAATTGATTGAGCTCTGCATCAAAGAAGCCGACAACAATGTCAAGCTCATTGTACTCGACAGAGTCGACCAGCTTAGAAGTCGCAATGAGGGCGTCTTGGATGATCTTACCATGGAAATTCTTCGTGTTCTCTCCAGCCCTGACATTGATGTTCGGCGCAAAGCTCTCGGTATCGCCTTGGAAATGGTCTCGAGCAAGAATGTTGAAGAGGTCGTCATGCTGCTGAAGAAGGAACTAGGCAAGACGGTAGATGAGCAGTACGAGAAGGTATGGATATACTTTGATCTGCGGCAAGGATCGAATACTGACAACGTACACAGAACAGCGAATATCGTCAGCTCCTCATCCAGTCGATACACCATTGTGCTATCAAGTTCTCCGAGATTGCTGCTAGCGTCGTCGACCTCCTGATGGATTTCATTGCGGACTTCAACAATAACTCAGCCGTCGATGTGATCTCATTTGTGAAGGAAGTTGTGGAGAAATTCCCTAAACTTCGTGCTTCTATCGTCGACCGCCTCGTTTCTACTTTGAGCGAAGTTCGTGCTGGAAAGGTCTACCGTGGTGTACTGTGGGTTGTCGGAGAGTATTCCCTGGAGGAGAAAGACATCCGTGAGGCCTGGAAGCGGATCCGGTCAAGCCTCGGCGAGATCCCCATTTTGGCTTCTGAACAGCGGCTTCTTGACGAGGTGCCCGATGAGACTGCACTCAAAGAGCAAGTCAACGGTCATACCAAGCCTTCAGCTCCGACTGGTTCTCGAAAGGTGCTGGCCGATGGCACGTATGCGACTGAGAGTGCTTTGACTAGCGAGTCCGCTGCTGCCGCCAGACTTGAGGCAGTCAAGGCTGCTCAGAAGCCTCCTCTTCGTCAGTTGATCCTCGACGGTGACTACTACCTAGCTACCGTTCTCTCCTCGACGTTAACGAAACTTGTAATGCGCCACTCGGAAGTCTCGCAGGACGTCGCTCGGACGAACGCACTGCGCGCTGAAGCGATGTTGATCATGATCTCTATCATCCGCGTCGGACAGTCTCAGTTTGTCAAGGCTCCCATTGACGAAGATTCTATTGATCGTATCATGTGCTGCGTGCGCTCTCTCAGTGAGTTTTCTCAAAGAAAGGAGTTGGAGACTACGTTCCTGGAAGACACACGTAAAGCATTCCGTGATATGGTACAGGTGGAAGATAAGAAGCGTGCTGCCAAGGAAGCTGTTGAGAAGGCCAAGACTGCTGTTCAGGTTGACGATGCGATTCCCATCCGGCAGTTCACCAAGAAGTCTGGCCTCGAGGGTGCAGAAGAAATTGAACTTGACCTGGCCAAGGCCACTGGCGGCGATTCGACAGTGGAGACTGTGGCCTCGAAGTTGAGCCGAGTTGTGCAGCTTACCGGCTTCTCAGATCCAGTTTACGCCGAGGCTTATGTCACCGTCCATCAATTTGACATCGTTCTCGATGTGCTCCTTGTCAACCAGACTCTCGAGACCTTGCAGAACCTGTCTGTTGAATTTGCCACTCTTGGTGATCTGAAGGTAGTTGAGCGACCAACCACGCACAACCTCGGACCTCGTGACTTCTTGAATGTACAGGCTACAGTCAAGGTGTCATCCACAGATACGGGTGTCATTTTCGGCAACATTGTATATGATGGAGCGAGCTCGACGGAAACCCATGTTGTCATTCTTAATGATATCCATGCAGATATCATGGATTACATCCAGCCCGCTCACTGCACCGAGACTCAATTCCGGACGATGTGGACCGAGTTCGAGTGGGAGAACAAGGTCAACATCAACTCCAAGGCGAAGAGCCTTCGCGAGTTCCTGAAACAGCTCATGGAGAGCACCAACATGGCCTGCTTGACCCCAGAAGCTTCACTCAAGGGAGATTGCCGGTTCCTGAGCGCCAATTTGTATGCCCGAAGCGTATTTGGTGAGTACCTGATTGTTATCCTATCCTTCTCTTTTGGGTTGACAAACGCTGATCTTGGAATTTGTATGCAGGTGAGGACGCACTTGCAAACCTGAGCATTGAGAAGGAGGGTGAAGATGGTCCGATTACAGGATTCGTACGGATAAGAAGCCGTTCCCAAGGTCTTGCTTTGAGCCTAGGATCGCTGAAGGGCCTGAAGGCTTCAACGGCATGAAGAGAGAAAGTATGACTTCTTGGTGTCAGCGTTTTATTAATTGTTACCCTATGATTATAGTCACTCACCGTATTACATGGCTCTTGATTACTCGTTTTTTCTCTTCCTATGGACGAATCTGTTGACTATATGCCGCTTGTATTTCTTTCCATATTGTACCTGATTAGAGAATGGTCTATTCAGATGGAACAACAAAAGAAGTTTTCCCAATTCATTAGTGGTCCTTCAGTCAAGATGTCACTGGGAAAGAACGAGCACGGACAACTGAGCAACTAACCGATAACGCCGACAATAGCATGGTATGTGGGCTGATAAGGATCAGTGGAGACAATCATAGTTCATCAACTTCAAACCACCGACTGCACAATTGACCGAGAGATTTTGTCCTCGGTAGCTTGTGTCAGCCATGGCAATCTCTACGTGTCATCATCAATTGGCTGTAGAAGTAGGACACTTAAATTGACTGTTACTAGGGATACTTTTCCTGGCTATTATTTTCCGTCTTTCCGAAGCTACTTGGCCTGATTAGGCACCATGAACAACATCCAAGGAAGCTGTTCCTGAGGTGGAGAAACTAATCCACTCTGAGATCTCCAATATATTGGGACTAACCTCTTTCTCTCCATAACTACGGAGTACTAAGAAATAATAAAGTACCTGGGTCAAAAACTGACTCGACCTCAATCTCGAACATCCTCCAAGAAGTTCTTGCCTTTTTCATTCTTATATTGACTATCATTATTGACTATCATTATTGTCTTGTCTTTTGGCCGTTTCTGTATTCTTTTTGGAATGGTTACTTGCTTTCGCAGGTAATAATGGCTTCTCCCGACGGCGCTACTCGCCCTTCGTTCAATGCGGATCAGCCGGATTCCCAATCTCAGTTACTCCAACCCGACTCGACCTTGACAGTCGCACAGTCAATTAAGTTGACATTGGGTAGCGATGCGCTTGTTATTGCTGGTGAGCAGTGTCTGACAAACCATGCTTGCAGGTCATGGGTGCACATTGCGCATTCTAACCAGCTTCTCGTACTTCTACAGACGATCGCTCCACGCGTAAACCGGACCGCGGCTGCTGCGGATTCCTGTCAAAATCGAGTAGGTTTCTCCATTACTTCGCTTTTCTATCTCTTCGACTTTTATCGTGTGTCTCTGGTATCAAGAGGCACTTGCTACTCTTGCGATCTGAATCAGGCATATTTCAAGGCAAATTAATCGTCCGATCTGACAAGGACCATGGCTGATGTGACTTTATAATGCAGAGATCAAAGACACTCAATCTATCGCATTGTACAACATCCTTCATGCAGAAGTTTCCTCTGCAGGTCTGACTATTACATATGCGGACCCTGTAACCAAGCACGATGTTACCGTTGGTGCCTTGCAATACACCATTGCCGAGGGAGACAAAGCAAAAGCCGAAGCATTCGCAGCCAGGTTACTCGATCTGGCGTACGGTAACGCCAAGCGCTACAAAAGATTCAAGGTCCTGATCAACCCGTTCGGTGGGAAGGGGATCGCCTCGCGACTGTATCATCAATATGCGGCGCCGATCCTTGCTGCTGCGCGTTGCGTAGTGGAAGTAGAAGAAACAACGCATGGGGGACATGCCACCGAGATAGCGGAACGGATTGATATAGACGCATACGATGCAATTGTATGCTGCTCTGGTGATGGATTGCCTTACGAGGTCTTCAATGGTCTGGCCAAGAAACCCAATGCTCGTGAGGCGCTATCTAAGCTCGCTGTCGCCATGATACCTGGTGGTTCGGGGAACGCCATGGCTTGGAATCTTTGCGGGACAGGTAGTGCCTCTGTTGCTGCGCTGGCTATTGTCAAAGGAGTAAGGACTCCCATGGATCTGGTCTCCATCACGCAGGGCAAAACTCGAACCCTGTCGTTCCTGTCGCAATCTTTCGGTATCGTCGCAGAATCCGACTTAGGAACCGATAATATCCGCTGGATGGGTGCCCACCGCTTCACCTACGGTTTCTTGGTCCGTCTCATGCAGCGCACAGTGTGGCCATGTGACCTAGCGGTGAAAGTGGAGATCGATGACAAGAACGCGATAAAGGAGCATTACAGAAAGTACGCGGCCGGAGAACCTCCCCGCCGCCCCTCTGCAGACTCCGTCGCCGGATCGGGAGGGCTCCCCGACTTGAAGTACGGCACGGTCTTGGATGAGCTCCCGCAGGACTGGGAAGTCGTCCCCGGTGAGAACATGGGCAATTTCTACGCGGGCAATATGGCCATTATGTCCGCAGACACGAACTTCTTTCCGGCCTCTCTGCCGAATGACGGTCTGATTGATGTTATCACAATTGATGGGACCATCAGCCGCCTCACATCGCTCAAAATGATGACAGAGATCCCTGAGGGAGGGTTTTTTGATATGCCGGATGTTAAGATTCGTAAGGCTTCGGCATATCGACTCACTCCCCGGGAGAAAGAAGGCTACATCAGTGTCGATGGTGAACGTGTACCTTTTGAGCCGTTCCAAGTCGAAGTTCACCGTGGTCTAGGTACGGTGTTGTCGAAGTCCGGGCACCTTTATGAGGCCGAGGGCCCTCGGCCATGATTACGAGTTTTATGGTCGATGCCACCATTCATTTGCTCGTACATGCATTGTTATTCGCCGGTCTCTGTACCACAAAATGATACCCTCGCGCAAGACTTATATATATTTTTTCTTTCCCCACCCCCCTTTTGTTATGATGTGGCTTTGCTGCAGGTGATATTTCCGCAAGGCTGGCGGGCAGCGGTCATTGCCGTGTATACATAGTGGGCTAGATCAGACCAGGAACTGATGGATTTTGACTGTACAAAGATTGATATAGATAATAAGAGTCGGCTAGACGCCTTGCTCCAAGCAAGGTCAAATGGACATGCAAAGCCATCACTACCATGCGCCAGAGAGAAATGCGAAATAGATGAATTTTGTCTTCACGGGCCGAGAGCTCAGTCGTCGGCGAAACCACCCCATTCTTGCTCACTATCGTCGTCATCCTCCTCCTCGACTTCCCTAGTCTTGAATCCCCACTGAACCAAACGGTCGTCGTTTAAGGTTTCTGCCGCTCTTGTTCTCACAGACTTGAAGGGACTCTCCTTGCGCAGCTTCTCAATGGGACGTAGTAGGAGATCCATGGGAACCTGACCCTTGACTTTCCGCGAAGACTCATCTTGTCCATCCCCCTCCTCGAATTCGAGCACCTTTTCTATCTCATCAATCCAGATATCCAGCAGGTGGTAGCGAAGCCCATCCGGTCCATGGGGCATAGGCACATAGTTTGGGTTCTTGTCATCGGCGGGAGGCTGGTCCGGGTCGAAATTGAGCGGACACAGAGGCCCTTCCTCGATGATAGTGATATACGACTCGAGCTCGGCCCAGTCACCCTCGCCATCCTGTCCCTTCTCCGCATCCACTTCCTCGCGGGCTTCGTCCTCCTTGTCTGCTTTCGAGCGCTTCTTCTTCCCCGCTGCGGCTTGTTCTTCGCGCTTGCGCTTTTTGCTGGCGCCGTTGGTGTGGGCGGACCGCTGTTGTTCCTGCTTGTTCCCCTTGAGGAAGATCTCGAATGCCACGCCGACGTAGCAGCGGATCAGGTAGAGATATTTATCGAGCCGCAAGCGGTCCAGCGAGTGGAAGTCCCTGCCGATGGTGATCCAGAATGCGCGCAGGAAGCGGTGAAGTGTTTCCCGCGGGAGAGTCGGGACGAGCGTGTAGGAGAGGTTGCGAGCTAGGGCTTGTTGTGTGAGGGGGCGGTCGGAGTGGTAGAAGCCTGTGCGATTGGGGGATGGTTAGTCGACTGAATAGTTCCTGGAGTCTGGGTTGGGCGGGAAAGAGCGTACAGAAGAAGAGGCCTTTCCAGAGCTTGAGGAGGTCGAGGAGGGTGAGGTCGGTTTTGGAGCGGAGAAAGAGGGTCAGGGATTCGGTTGCCTTGTCGCGCGTGCGCCTGTCTGTTTGGATAGAGGGCTTGTTAGTTAAGGTGTTCGGACTGGTAAGCTGAAGCTATACGGCGTTCAGTATTTCCTGGACATACCGCTGGAGGCGAGCTCCTTGACAAAAGGGGCTTTTTGCAAATTGCTCATGATTGATGATCTATGCTTTGGTTTTATTCATGTAAAGAGAAGTAGGAACGGGTCCGACTCGTTTAATGGCAATGGCGTATATTCTTCTCTCTTTTCTTCAATGTCGATGCGGCCTCGACCATTTTTCTTTTTCTTTTGTCTTTTTTTGTCTGTGTTTGCTTTGTTTGATCTCTATGGTGGGGATTCCTGGGCGGAGGCAGACTTGAGGATTCTTATTGGAGGAGCTTATCGTACCTGTCCAGTTGACACCTCAGGTATCTACGTCACCACGTCCTGTACTATGGCGGAATCATCTCTCCTTTCATGCTAACGATGCATCTGTCATAGCAATAAGTATGGAGTACTTGTTTACAATATTTATGCAGGAAGGAAGTACTGACAACGAAGCTCCTATTGAAAACTAAGAATCAGTGGTGGTTAGATGCCTCTTTTATCTACTCTCCGCACCTATTAGCTCTGTGGCTATGCTACAAATGCATGTATGCTAACCCAGACAGTTTCTCTTTGATTGTGTTCTCATTCTACCCAGCAACGCTAGACTCTCCTATGGTTATACTCACAGGAAGCCTAGAACATATCTTGGAGACTGCACATTCAAGTTAGAGGAACCTGATGCCCAATCCAGCCAGAATCTGCCGATCAGACTATACAGGATGCCGGGCAAGAAACCAACAACCAGACCAGTCGCGGCAGCGAGGTGAAAGCAATGTGATTGAGCATATGCCGCTAGAGCAGAGCGCAGAGCTGGCTGGCATTACGTTCGAACTCTCCCAAGCATGGGCCGGGATTCTCTAGTCACTGACCTTGGCGTTGAACGCAAGGACACGCTTGATTGTCTCGAACTCAACGATTCAGTTATTGACCTTACGAGTGATCAGTTCGACCATTAAGGATACCTCACCCGTCGACATATCCTGCCAGATTCTGGCCGGTATCATCGCCTGGCCCTGTACTATCAACCGACCTACGGCGCGAGCGAGTCGTCCCAACGGCAGGGGCTCATGTTACTGTTTCTCGTACAATTCTACATCTTCGCCTCGTCGTTCGCTTCGAAGATAATTGCCGCATTGCCCGAAGCCGAAACCGGTGGCACAATTGCAACCCTACTCTTCATCATAGCGCTGATGACCTTCAACGGCGTCATGCAGCTGCCACACGCCCTGCCCGGTTTCTGTATTTTCATGTATCGCGTGTTGCCCCTGACATATGTAGTTCCAGGGATCACAGCGACGGCACTACAGGGCCAGGCAATCCAATGCGCCAGCGCCGAGTTGAGCGTGCTCAACCTACCCACGGGGTCCACCTGCGGCCAGTATCTCGCTCCGTGTGCAGGCTGCCGCCGGCCAGTTGTACAACCCTAGTGCAACGCAGAACAGCGCGCACTGCCGGCTGCAGAATGCCAATCAATACCTGGGTTGCTGGAACATCTGTATGCCCCTTCATCTCTTTGATCCTTCGGGTACATGCTGACATCCGGACGAACAGACTTCTGCGACGGCTGGCGCAACTGGGGCTGGGGCTTCGGCTTGGGCTTTGCGTACATCGCGGCTCAGGGCTCTGGAATAATAAGCAATAGGGTGCCATTCTCCACCAACCCCCACCACCAGGCCCTTATTGCCTTCAGGCCTCAACACATGATACATGCCTGACACATTTCAACAGGGCGTCCCATCATTCTGCCACATACGACCACATGGTGTGGAAAACAGGGCTTCCCGTCCGCTCAGCCGTACTTAAGCCAGTAGTATCAACGCGGCCAGAAGTTATATGCGCCCTCAAAGGCCTGCTGCTTTATAGGTGAGAGACACTAAACCACAGGGTGAGTGTGGGTGAGTAAGGGTGAGTGAAGGCGAGCTGAGCAATGCTATCTAATAGTATAGGTAAGTATGGGTGATTAGTAGGTGAGTAATTCTGCTTTATTACCTGCTTAAATATAAGGGCCTCCTCTCTTCTTAACCATTATCTCTTTTCCTATCTATGAAATAGTTATTTTCTTAGTTTTTTCCTTATAGCCTGCCTGCGGATGCACAGTCTGTGACTAGCATAGTAGCACCATTAGCTTAGTCGCTCTGCACAGGCGCTTCAGCTGGGTGGATCAGGCATCCGTGCAGGCTGTGATGGGCAAATGCATTATGTATGTAGAGTTGGCTTACCCCTATTGGCGAGAGAACACCTTAGACATGACACAAACACGACATTAGCTTGAGTGGAACACTTAAATAATGTCTTGTCCATCAAGCCACTGTCCACCAGCTTCCTGCAACATGAAGGGTCAGCAGCCATTGGCAGCATCAGAAATGAAGCTGCCCGAGGGGGAACCAACAATGGAGGAGCATAACCTGCCAGACATGCGCATCTTCATCGAGGAGACGCTCAATCGCCAGGGGCTTCGCAACGCACCGCCCGGCTCGAACCAGCAAAAGGCACAAGACAAGATCATCGAGAAGCTGTTGGAAAATGTGAAGGGGAGCTATTCGAGGCTGAAGTTTGGCCTGGATGATGTGATTCGTCTGCTGAGCACACGCACGGCGATCCTGGAGCTAGATCAGATGCTGGACCAGTCCATCAGCAGCCATGAGGCCGCCATCAAGAACCTGCAACAGTCGTTGACGGCCAACCAGATCAAGGAGTGAAATGAATTGCTCAAGTGGGTTCTGTATAGAAATGAGCCTATGACGTTGGACCAGCTCGTGGCCGCGATGATGAGTGGGTAGTCCTGTATCAATACAAGAAGGCTACCAGCATCAAGTTCCTCTTTTCACAGATAGAGTCTCTCGCGTCGCTGCAATACATCATCAAAACCAAGTACTCTGCCTTTCTGAAACTCAAGGATGGCTACGTCTACGGCGAAGACGGCGTCAAGACTATCTCCAGAAGGAGAAAGACGCCTCCGGCCAGTCATTACACTCCAAGGACCGTGCCACGATCTGTATGACCATCACAGTCAACAATGTGGACGAAGAACTTTGCGGGCACTTCCTCTGGGACCTCACACAGAAGGCGATCCGGGACAAGTTCAAGTTTAACTTCGACGGTGCCGGTTCCACCTCCCTGACCCCAGCAGCCAGGGCGTCATCACTGTGGACGATTTCAAGGCGCATCCCACCATCATGAAGTGGGCCTTTGTGTACTTAAAGACGGAGCCCAGCACGCAGACCAAGGAGATTAGAAAATACCTCGTCCGTTGGCTGCCGTACCACTTGAACCGCCTTGGCGAGCTCAACGAAGAAAGAGGCGAACTAATGCAGAATGAAAGGCTCCAGATTGGAGAGGAGCTGTATGGGCTGTTTAAAGATGATGCAGCGTTCAGGGGTCATAAGGCAACCCTTGAGCAGAATCATTGGGCCGCGGAAGAGATGGACGATATGCAGAAGTGGTTCAAGGATTTAGGCGTGGTGCGCACGCTGGAGAAAGCTTGGCGGAATGCAGTCCAGTCGGCTGCAAGCCCGTAGAGGGTATCTAAAGGAACTCGTGGCGATGGTTGTGAGGGGGCTCTTGAGGGAGAGGAGCTGGGAGGTCCATGGCGCTTGGTTGTGGATCAAGCAGTTTATGCATTCTGTGGGTCTTTTCCAGCACACCATGGCATGGCACATATGCTGACTATCGATTGCTCTGAGGAAAGGATGTCAAAGATCATCAGAAGGCCTCCAAGCCCTCTAAGGAAGACAATGCAGATTTAGACAGCAACGCCAATTCAGCCAGTTCATCTAGCAAGATTAACTGGTATAGCATGGGCGCCTGGTCTCAAGACATCCTCTGGCTATCTGAATCGGAGCTGGACTCCCTATGGTACGAGCGACTTGCTGAGGTTTCATCCTCAGAAAGCTACCTGCGCGATGTGACCATATCACTCTACGAGCGCGCCATAGAGAAGGAGAACCCCAGCTGGTTGCGTCATCGCGGCCTCGGGAAAACACTTCAGCAAGAATTCCAAACTCTAGAGGCTATCGAGCAGATGCAGCTCGCGCTGACGGCAGCAGAACGGGATGATGCTAGTCCCAAGCCAGAGGCCAGGGACATCGTAGATTTGCATTTGCGACTGCGCCCCTATGCCTTGGCGGCCAAGGATATGAAAAAGTCGGCAGATCATTACGCGCTGGCGTGCAAGAGCGACGATGCTCAGCAAGCAAACGAAGCGTTGATGGGTCTTCTGAGAGTCATGTTGCGCTCCTCAGACAGAGAGAAGACGAGGGAGTTACTCCAGCACACACTTAACCGAGAGGATGGACAGGAGGAGATGGCCAGTGTTCTGAAATTAATTACACAGTCCCCCCGGCATGACACTCCTGTGTTGCCCATGTTCACTACGGTCAAGGCGGATCCGGATCTCCTCAGAGGCGTGGTGCGCGCCATGGAGACGGCCACAGCAACATTGGAAGAGGAGGACTGGTTTGCTGAAAAGAGGGCTCGCGGTGTGCTCCTCTACTACCGCGGCTTCAGGCGTGCACGTACAAGATGGCAACCGACGGCGCCGAACCAGTCAGTGAAGCCCTGCGACTGTGGACGGAGAGCTGCAATCAGCTCACCGACATTGGTGTCCTTGAGCGAGATGTCCCATTCCGCAGCCAATCTCTCCTTCCACGCATCCACGGTGATCTCCAGTCCATCAGAGTTCTCAGCATACCGAGCCCTTAAGATCTGCTCATCCCCGTCCACAGTCTCAATACGTGCCAGCACTCAAACACTCTTGGCCTCTAGTCCAGGGAACATATCCCCTCCGTATGGTGGGATCTGAAACCAGAGGTGGTTTGGGCTGCATGCAGTTATCTCACTGTCAGTTGTGGGATCGCGCAGTCAATCAAGGCAGTCCCGGCAGAAATCGCATGCCGAACAGTAGACGCAATGATAGAGCTCATTCTCAAAACCGGCCCCGTTGTTGCAGCCCACGCCATCCGCCGTGCGGCCGTCGCAGTACCAAGTAAAGCCCAACTCATCAAGGTTGACAGTGGGGGTGTGAGTCTCGGGCAGGTTAGAAGAGGCGGCTTTCAAGCAGGCGGAGCGCGCTGGCAGTCACTTTCTTGTCTGTGTCGTGGCTCTCCGGTTTTGTCAGCGTCTCAGCATACGCACGGGCAGCTTTAATGCGTTGGACCTGTTGTCTGGCATCCGGAACCTGGGTTTTGGCTGCCTGAACTGTGTCCTTGGCCAGATTGCGGACCATGTCCAACACTCATTGCTTGTCATCGCCGTCAGCTACATTTGTCGGCTTCGAAGTCCAGGGCGCTCGTCGCCAGATCAGGTCGCACCAGGAGAGATAGAGCAATGGCCGCATTCTGGAAATCTTGGTACAGCTCCAGCATCTTGTGAGGGATAGAGAACCCCAAGGCATCGTTGTCGGCTACATCATCCGATAGTATTTGCAGCGACAATTCCACCCGCCGCGCTAGTACGGCCCTCGCCTGCTCTCTCTTGCCGTTCCGAGCGAGAACCACGGCCTGGAACCCGGCCGACTGGTTATAGATGCCGGAGGAATCGGACTCGTCCGACTCGGCCAGCTTGGCCAGCTTATAGAGGTCGTCGAGGTGTGATCCATCCAGCATACCCTGGAAGTAGTGCCTTGCAAGCGCATCGGCGGCCTTTTGGCAAGATTTCCCGTCAGAATACCCGGGGAGGCGAGGAAGAGACAAAGGGAGAGTAGGTAGTATAGTGCAGCGGTCGTTGGTTTGTATTTCGCTTAGGTTACCTAATCAGGAAGGAGCTGCTTTACCCACCAGGGCGCTACGACAGGGGATCGAACCCACGCAAAGGGGGAGTAGTATGAGGTCAAGCATTAATAGATTCACTGTCACTTCTTCCATTCGACAAGTGCTTTTATCTATTCACTCGGCTGTTTTCATGCATGACTATGGAGTAGAAGTGATGGACATCCGGCGGAGGAGACAAGACATACATCTGGCTTATCATCTTGATCGAGATTTAGATATTAGTTGTTATATTAAGATTTACTGCTGGACTTCGCATGCTGCCAAGGACAGGGGAAATGGTCGAGAAATGTCTGAGTGTATGTGACTTATGGGATAAGTCCACTGGTGCAGGTCCGACAACATCCATGGATTTGATTGATCTAAGGAACTGCTTATGAGATAAAATGAGCGTCAGAACTTGCAATCAGTACGTCATGAAGTCATAATTCTTGACCACAGATGGCAGTGCTGGAGACTTTTTGTTCTCTCTGCACCGCTGCGCTGCACAAAATATCCATAGACTCTGGTCTACTCTCTCAGTCTCCTCGTCTTTACATGGTGGCTGTATCCAAAATCAAGACCCAGTCTCCGCCCAAAGACTCAAAGATGTCGCTATGGCGAAAGATTGCCAAATGGAAGAAACTGCCAGAATACCCCGCCATACTTTGCTTGGATGAGCGCACCTTCCAGAAGATCTACCAACACCTCTCACTAGTTGATCAAGTGTGTCTATCCCTCAGCTGCAAAGAGCTCTTTTACCTATTCGGGAGCACGATCGTACAGCATAAAGATCTCAAATTTCCACGGCTCTTGCGTATCAGGAATCCAATCCTGTGCGTGAACAGTCGGGATGTGCCACGAAACCAACTTCTTCTTCGACTTGAAAACCGCCACTGGGCCTACTGTGCACGGTGTCTAAAACTCCATCCCCGGAAAGAATTTCCAAGACATTTACTAAGACGATCTGCGCTGGAGAGATCCTGCACTTACTACGCTGGTATAGCTGACCTATGTCCCTGTATCTCTCTGACGGTTCGAGGTCGAGACCAGCTTATCAAGATCCTCAAATCACCCGCGAAACCAAAAACCCAATATGGCCTATTCAGGTATGATGTTAGCGATGGAAGAGATCCCTCGCTTAGCCACTGCTGTTCATTTAGCACTAGGACTGGCTACGTTGTGCGAGTTGTTCTGGTTTTAGATATTAAGGCTGGCCAGTTGTGTCTAACAGGTCGGCATACTATAAGCTTCTATTCCTCTAATGCTCATCTGACAGCTGAGCCCACCTTTGCTTGTCCTCATCGAGATCTCCTCTCTCTTGTCCCTGAGAATCTAGCCGCAAATGATCTTCAGATGTACCAGACTTTGATTTCTTCAAAACCCCATCAGGATCTCCTGTCTCTTATCCCTGGAAAGCTGGTAAAAGCCTGTCCCCGGTGTCCAACTTTAATTGCGAAAGAAACTTTGCCTGAAGAGTCTGAAAAGATGAACCAGTCTGTTTTCTGGGTGTTGCGAAATCTAGGAAGCTGTGAATGGCCTGCAGACTATCCTTGGCTTAACCAGTGTCGTCTCACTGGAGCATGGTTTTTGCTTAATGAAAGTTACTGGTGAGTTTATCAAAGGATCTACAGAGAAAGAAGAACTATTACTGAAATTCTCCTATAGGCATCGGTCACAGAAGTTGCTGATGAAGATGCAAGGTGTTCATGGTCAGTGGAAAAGAGATTACTACATGGAACAGGAAAGAAGATTGCTTCGACATCGACATCGACATCGACATCAACGCAGAGCCTCATGAACTGCTGATGAGGGAGTCCAGATAGCTAGTACCATCCCATTGCTGCTTCTTACAGCGTTGTGTTGTTAAAGGAAAGAGAAAAGAGGAAGACTGACTGAATAATTGCTACTAAATTAATGAGACTATATGTTAAGCTCCAGCATTCTGCATCCAGCATAAAAAGCAGCGACACTATGTACATGAATAGTTCCTGTCACCCTGATAATTAAAGCCCTCACGCCTGCTTAGTTCGCCCACCTCCCGGTGTTCCCACTAGAATTGAGTCGTACGGCTTCGGCAGGCCCACGTAGAGAAAAAAGAAAGGGCGAAAACCAAAGGGTAGTGAATGGTGGCAGGTTGACACTGAACGCTGAGACTGACCAAGAATAGATAGGTCTCGCTGCCATGGAGTAGGTGGAGAAGTCAAAGGGTATTGATCATGGACCACTGAACGTCCTGGCTGTTGAGAGTTTGTGGAGAGGACATTGAAAACGTCAGGGAACGATTGAGAACAGAGTGATCTTGGGTGCAAACACCATGTGGGCGAAGCAAGGAGAGAGATGCTCAGGACATGGGGATGTGAGAGTGAATGTGTTCTGGTTGTGCGCGGTAATTAGTCAGACTACCTTGGGGATAATGTACTGACCCGAGCCTATCCTGGGAGACCAGATGGCATAGAGCTTGTCCGTTTGAAGCAGGAATATTGTTGAGAAACAAAAGGAAGTAAGTTGTCTCATGTCATTTCCTTATGCTTGAGATCCCCAGAGCAATGAATCACTCGCATGTGGGCTTGTCTTGGCTTCACCTGAAGGTTACTAGTCACCAGCACTGCGAAGAAGTGCAAGCCCGTTGCTGGTGGCCCTACCACTCCATCTATCAAGGTGAGCCGCCTCGAAAGATGGAGCTCTCCTACACCATTCCCTCTCTGCCACCCTGCTTTCCGGGTGTAGGGGCGGGGTCTCGGAGTGTACCAATCCAGTCAACCGATCGAGTCAAGTTGACCTTCATGCCCTGCGCCACTCCGTCCTCGTCAGGGCCTCCTTGAGTCGGTGCGCTGAACAGCTCTGCCACCATCTGAGTGAGATGGTGCCGAAGTATCGACAGTATGGACTCTCCCGACAGGGCTTTCACCCTCGAGCTGCTCAAGTCTCCTCGTCAATTTGGCAATTGCGGCAGCAATGCGGGCTTCAAGGTCTTCAGCCACTGTTCTGCCCACAGCACCTGACTCGGGATCGGCTGGTTGGTGCACTTCATCCTGGTCCGGCTGCGGCCACAGTCGGGGAAACCAGTATTGCATCCATTCCTTGACAGGGAACAGCAAATTTGCTGCCGACACTCCGAGAGAGAAAAAAGCAACAATCAGCGCAATCCAAGCTACTTCCATGATGGGCGGGTATAAACTTGCCTTTGGAATGAGCATCCACAGACTAAGAACTGTTGCAGTGAACAAGATGCCGATTGAACTTAGAGTGGATGCGCGAGGAGAGGAAAAAAGAAGACAGAATCAAATCGAGCGGGAAGTCCTTGTATACCCATGGTGGAAGCTATCACGAAGGCAGGTGCATCTATCGTGGAGGGAGGTACGATGGGAAGGAAAGAACGTGCGAAGATCCTACAGGCGCAGGAACGTTGAATCAAGTACACAGTAGATGTCCCCCGACTGTCGGGGTTGCTCGTAGATGGTTTGCCGTGCTTACACAGTCGTAGCTTGCCAAACAGGATGCTCTATTGCCGTAGTACTTGCTACAATGACAACATATGCGTGCTATAGCATTTTAGTCATAAGCTAAAGCACCGCGAAATTTTCTTTGAGGGTATCAGTATCAGCAAGGTCATCAGAGAATATAGTTTTAGCAGTACTCAGGCTATAGAAACGCTTTAGGTACATGATCGCATTCGCAAGTCCGGCGAGATGGTCATCTGCATAGCTCTCTTCGCCCTAGAATAACGAACTTTCGTTCATTTTCCAGGTTGGATTCGGGTGTAGATGGCCCTTTGTGGAAGAAATCCTTAGATCTTCTAGCCCTCATTTCCTTCAGTTTGCAGTAAATGCTCGAGATTATTCTCGGCGCTTTGCCTGGTGTGATCGAATACTCTCCTTATCCCAGGTCTATCCAGGCCAGTCACGGAGGGAGTACTGACTCGGGAGGAAGGATGAAGAGCAACCTCTTCGGGGTAATCCGTATTATGGGCGGCTGATGCATCGCTATGGTAGACATCGGGTGAAACAGATCGGGGGAGGCGGCAGTTTTATCCACACCTTTTTTACAGAGAACATACCTTATTGACCGTCCAGGCCATGAACTGAATCACATCTGGCGGATGAGACATAGATACATCTTGCGAGTATCTGGCTTAGCCTGTTGATTTAGATATACTGACGATATTTCGTATCCGGTCACACCAGAGGATCATCGGAGAAAAAACCAAACGAAATCAGTCATAAGAAAAGGGCTCTGGCTACTGATGATAGATATGGCTGTTCTATAGAGTTTCGGAAATTCATTAAAGCTCTTTGAGCTACATCCTGTCCATAGAGCCCGCCTATACCAGCCTACCTGCAGCCTGGGACTGTTAGATAAGGATTATTATAGCCAGCCTGAGTGTTAACTACCTCTTTACCCGGCCCTTTCTGCCTGCGAGCCTGCACCTTGACATTGATGGTTAATTTAACCACAAGTACCACTGCCACTGCCACGACGACAGCTAAACCATACTCTCCTCAGCAGACTGTGATTGCTGCAAACTGTATGTCTGCCATTGGCTGACTCAATTGTGTTGTCTTCGCTTATCATTCTCGCAGGTAACAAGTACTACTTTGTAGAAACTGGTGACGGTTGTGCCAACATAGCTTCGACGTATGGTATCACCCTCGCCAGGATTTCTACAGCTGGAACCCAGCTGTTGGGACATCCTGCCAGAGCCTTCGGGCTGGGTACTATGTCTGCGTTGCTGTTTCAGGTAGCTTTTCTCTTCTCCCCCACCTCCTACTATCTCTTCATCACCAACCTAATTTGGTGTCATAGGGTCAACCACAAGCACAACCACTACAAAGACCACCACCACCAAAGGACCCACCACAACAACTACGGCCAGCGGTCCCTCTCCGACCCAAGCCGGCATCACGGCCGACTGTGAGACATTCTACCAGGCCAGGCCGTTTCGGGCGATAGCTGCTGGACCATCGTCAGCGAGAAATATACCTATTTGACTCAGGATGAGTTCTATACCTGGAATCCTGCCGTCGGTTCAACTTGTAGTAACCTACAAGCGGGATACTACTACTGTGTTGCTACCAAGACTGTCCATGCCATGCCTAGCACCATCTCCACGTGTAAGAAGTGGCACTTGGTTGCCAGTGGTGACAGCTGTTGGTCTATTGAGCAGCAGTACGGCATTACTGCTACCCAGTTTGGGGCCTGGAATCCGTATGTTGGGACCTCTTGTGCATCTCTCTGGCTAGGTTACTATGTTTGTGTCGGTGTTCAAATACGACCACTTTATTGGACGGCATGTAACAAATAGCCTTGAGGATTTTTTTGTAACGAGGAGGAGATTCTATGGGGGTGAAAGGCGACTTGTCTTAGTAGGCTAATTCGAGACTAGTGAGATCCATGAAATTAATTTCTACATTCCAGAACATACCAAAAGCTCTTGTATTGATAAGTTTTAATGCATAACAATTGGTGCCATGTTGGTTGCACTATGAGATACCCTGGACTTGAACGCCACTTGAGAATTACAGCCACTCCGTTACAACCGACCATAATGCCCAGTAATAATTACCGAAATCAAGCTAAGGGTTCTTCCAGTATTGCCTTTCCACAGGCCCAAGCCATTTGGCACTTTCCTTTTGCCCATCCTCCTTTCTGGTTGAGATTTCCTAGCTCTTCCCACCTGTTCTCATCAACTGCATTGTCTCCATGTCTCTTGTCCAGCTACCAGATGAACTTCTGTGTAGTATTGGTGGATATCTAAGCTGTTATAGAGATGTTCGGGCTCTCGTCTTTTCAAATCGTCGGCTCAATAGGATCTTGAAAACTATCCTCGTTACATCTAGCGTTAAGGGTTGCCACGGATCTCTGTTATTCTGTGCAGTGCAATGTGGAGATATTTGCCTCGTACGGGAGATTCTGAAACAGCTATTTGTGATTAATAAAAAGCGAGAAGAAACGGCTTCTATGGAAGAAAGCTGTATAACAAACACCCTAGATAGTACCGACGAGGAAGATGGAGCTCGAGACTGGGATGGAACGCTTCACTGGGATCTCCAACAGCATCCGCTCTATAAAGAAGGGTATCGAGTCCGTGACATCCTTTTCGTCCAGCGTGCCTTTCTCGCTGCCATCTCAACTGGACTAAAGGAACTCGTCAACTGTTTTCTTGATTGCGGAGCGGTAGCAGGATTTGCCTTTCCTGCTAATGAAAAACATCCACTACCTGTTTCTCTCGCGATCAGACACGGCTATGATGAGATATTCGATCTACTTATCAAGCACAAGGCCTGTACATGTGGCGGAGATGAGTGTCCCATTGTTGAGGCCGTCAAATATCACCGTTTTCATGAGCTTCCCGTCCTGGTCAGACTTGGAGTATGCGGGCACTGGGACGAAGCGCTTTCCCTTTCGTTAGATACTCGGCCCATGTTTGATCTTATGGTGGAAAACGGGGTCGAAATCAAGAAGTATGGCCATGTGGCTCTATATGGAGCTATTACTGAAGGGAAGAAAGACTGGGTTGAGTTCCTCATCTCTGAAGGTGCTGACCCCAACCTCTGCCTATCGACGGAAAGCGTTATTGGAGACGGAGAAAAGAAGTATAGCTCTATCTACCATGCTATACTTCATGGTCATTTGGATGTATGCAAATTTCTGATTGAGCATGGCGTACAGCCTGAGGAGGGTGATCTTCAACTGGCGCGGGAGAAGGAATATAATGAAATTGTGGGTATTCTCTCTGGGTTTTCCTATGTGGATGTGCCTGAAAAGGAGGACCTCGTTACAAGGTGGATAAACACCCATAGCTGAATAGGGAGAAAGGAGCTGTGCTTTAGATTCCTACTTTTGAAGGCTTTTCTGGCTGCGTTGACCTGTACCCCTGAAATACTAACTCTGAAACCATTCCTGCCTGGCTACAACTAAGCAATGACAGGGTGCCAATTCATCAAGCCTATGGGACCAGCTTATACATTTGATCCTTAAGCCGACTAGCGGGGTCGAAAGTGTTCAGAACTTGCGAAGTGAGGCGAGGCCCAGGCCCTAACTACTGCTGCATAAAAGCCGCTAGATTTTCCTAGATCGTTGGGATACGATTCCTTCTCTACGAATTAATTACCAACCCCAATATCACAGTGAGACTTCTTTCAATCTGCCTATTGATTTTCACCCTCTCAAGCAGCACCTTAGCTGTATCTCTCCGGCGTGTCCGAGGACCCGATTCCTTCCGGCCAGGTCGAATCTCCAGTCCCCTCCAAAAGAGTTACCCTGGGTCTATATCCGGGCAGAAACAATCAGACGATGCCTTAAGGAAAGTTACGCAAGGCTCCTACAGCACAAACTGGGCCGGCGCTGTAGTAAGCAACTCAACTCCAAGCGCAACCTTCTCCTACGTCTCCGCGACAATAACTATCCTCACCGCCACCGCCACCGGCGACATGTCCTATCAAGCAGCCTCAGCCTGGGTCGGCATTGACGGCGCGACCCACACCACGGCTATTCTCCAAACGGGTGTAGACTTCTACATCCTCAATGGCGAGGCTTATGCCGATCCCTGGTACGAATGGTACCCGAACTTCGCCATGTACTATGACGAGCTTCTCGTCAACCCTGGCGATGTGATTGTCGCGTCAGTTAATGTTACGGCGAGTAACCGTGGGGTGTGTGTGATAGAGAATCTGACTACAGGAGAGTCGGCCACGAAATCCGTTAGTGCGCCAAAGAGCACGGCGAACGATTAAGGGGTTGAATGCGGAGTGGATTGTCGAGGACTTTCAATCTAATGGAGCTGCTGTGCCATTTGTAGGGTTTGATGCGGTGGAGTTTACGGTTTTGTGTTGCGGAAGCTGCTGGGGTTGAGTTTGGCGTCGTGAATGCCACTGTCTATGACTTGGTCCAAGACGATACGCTGCTGGCGACAGCTAGGGTGATGGGTGATGAGGAGATTATGGTTCCTCATATATAAGCTGAAGTCGTTTATCGAGCAGGACCGAGGAGGTAGAGGCATATCTATCAATCCAAAGGATCTTATCGCATGGGACGCCTTTCTGGCAGCTAAATACGCCACCTACATCCTAAACCGCCTTGTACGCCCCGGAGAGGAAGAATTAAAGTCACCTATCTCGCAATATCGCCGTTTGTTTAACCTCCTGAACCACGAAACTACCATTAAGCATCTCCGTGTCTTTGGCTGCTGTGCCTACGTCTATATCTCTAAGAAGGACCGCGTCACATCCTACAAAATAGAGGAACAAGCTATAAAAGGATATCTAGTTAGAACTAAGGGCGATAATAGCCACATTTAGAAGGTCTGGATATCAGGAAAGAACGCTGTGAAGAGATCCCGCGATATACATTTTAACGAGTCTAAATCCTATAAAAACGACCAGGATAATAAGTCTAGAGCTCCTACAGTTGCTTCCGGTCTAGTTATATGGAACAAGAATGCTTATGACGTGATGTATTCCCATTTCTCAAGCTACCGTCTTGATAGTGGGCACCAGAATGAAGAGTAAGAGATGTTGAAGCTGGTTTTGCCCAGGCCAACACAGGCTCTCTCCAAATTCGTTAGGAAAGCAATTGTTCACTGTACATAAGGAAGGATATATAGATAGATAGGGTAAGGAGAGGGATAGGGAGATAGATAGGGAGATCCTGCATATCACTGACGGAGTTGGAACTCTGAACGGAGGTACAAGTGCGATGATATTCTTGCTGCCAATGAGCCCAAATGCGGCTACTTATAGCCATAGTGGTTGCCCCCCTCGACTGGTGTAACTGCAAATGCCCTTAGAAAAAGAAAACTGCTTAAAGAACCTCTGCATGCCGCTAACATTCTCAGACTTGTCGGGATAGATCTCTAAGTATATACCTTCGAGATACAACTGCGAGAGAATACCTAGCGCACGATAACCGGGACCGGAAATAAAAAGGACATCGAGGTCGTAACCGTCGTATTCTTAAAAAGGCTGTTCATATAAATTAAGGTAAATGACTGGCCGGGATTAGATCTCCAATAGCGGAGCAGTATCGATTATTGCTATTGTAGATGTTTGAAGGTGTCAAAACTCGCAATACCGATGTGAGATTGGAATACGCTAGCAACCTATATGTAGGCTTAGAATTCATTGAAGGTCTTGCTCTCCTCAAACGAGTGACTATCTAGGCCATATGTATACTGTAAATGTGGCAAAAAATAGGCATGTTTCTTCCATAGAATCTTCCATCCACGTCGTCCTCCCGCTGATCAGTACCTTTGAATAGCATCAAATACGTGATGGATGTTTCGATGGTATTCTAGACATGCCTAGTTTGGTTAGCGGCAATTTATATCAGCAGACGGATACCCAGACCTCCACGTAATAGCGATGGATGGACACCACTTTTACTAGCTTCAGAGGACGGCCACGAAGCAATCGTAAAGCTTCCTATTGAGAAAGGAGCTGAGGTCATTGCTAGTGACAAGTATGGACGGACACCACTGTTGTTGTTAGCTTTAAGGGAAGGTTACGAAGCAGTGGTAAAGCTCCATATGGAGGGAGAAGCTGAGGTCTATACCCTTGACAACTATGGGTGGACTGCACGTTTACTGGCTTCACAAAAAAGTTACAGGGTAATAACAAGGCTTCTTATTGATGGAGGAGCTGAAGTACAACGCCAGTGATAGAGATAGACACCACTCTTATTAGCTTCACGGGAAGGTCATAAATCAGTAGTAAGAGAGGAGATAGAAGAGGCTTCTTGTAGGAGCCGGGCCAGGCAAGACGAAAAGAAAGGGACCCAGGACCGAGCTGTAAAGGGGAGCCTTTTTCGGCGTTGTTTTGGTCGCAGGTGGAATTGCAGGGAGTTGAACCAGTACTAGCTTTATCCCCAGACAGTAACTAAGAGTGCTATAGAGGGGTACTGGAAAGGGGAGGCGGTCAAGCCCTTACCCCTACCCCCTTAGTTCGACCACCTTCCTTGTGATTATTCTAGAATCTAATATGAGAATATTGATGGGCGCAGCTTCTTTGTACTTGGGCTATTTCTCGAACTCTCGCTTGAACTGGCACCCATATCCATGTGTAGGTGTATGTTCCGGCTGGCTCATCGTATGTCGCTTTTCTTGTGAAGCTCATAAACTTTTTTAGGCGCCAAAATTACAACTAGCATCATTGGTCTAGTGGTAGAATTCGTCGTTGCCATCGACGAGGCCCGTGTTCGATTCACGGATGATGCATAGACATCTCTCTTTTTTGCATTCTTTTTCCGCAATCACCCCTGCCCATACATCAATTTTTATTTCCTGTTTTTCTTCCGTTTTCTTCTCATTCCCTTTTAGATATATGAAATAGATCATTTAGGAAGCATGTCTGTCCGTATCAACCATGGACTCGCTGAGTTGCGTTCGCGAATGAAATCTCAGTGGCACTAGAGTGGTAATCTGCGGAAATATATATCCTACAATCCCGCGCCACGTATAGCGCATGCTGTTCATACCATGGCGAAATATGGAGCGGTAGATTGATTAGATCATTGATGCTATCAGACTAGATTTAAGCACAAATAACAAGGAGAATCATCGAGAGACAGTGTGGCGACACGAAACGCCCGACGTTAGTAGGAGATAAACCATATCATAAAACAAAAATGAAGCGCACCACACCAGGCTGAAAAACAAGACGAATGGGTATTATGCGAACCGGCTGAACACTGGACGCCGTGAGATTGCAAAGATCGTAACAGCATAAAGGTGAGATGTCATGTCATAATAAAAAAAGAAGTAGCCCGACTCCAAGGGTCGAGAGTATACGAGAGGTCGTTGAAGTGCCACATAGGGCTGTTTATGTGGTATGGACTGATGGTTTTCACGAGGCTGAAGGCCTGGCGACGACCAAGGCATTGATTATATTGCCTGCTTTCCAACCCTGGTTTACAAGAGGCGTATTTTCGCGGAGCATCCTACCCAGGTAGACGATCCTTACCCGTTGGTTTGCAGGGATCTGCTCAAGACGACGTTAGGATTCTGCTTGATCGGCGGAGACTGCACAGCAAAAACAAGACATACCCCGGCCTCCTGCTGCACCCTGCGGGCAATCAAGCTCACGGTCTGGTTCTTGCCAACCGAAACGACAACGTCCGATCCGCGGTCGCTCAAGCGCGCCGTGACCCGGACCAAGTCGCGCTCGCTTATCTTTCCCTTCTCATCCCTGCGGTCTTCAGAGTCACCGGCAATCAGCTCGTCACCCGATGCCTCGTCCAGCGACAGCTTTGAATCATCCGTGTCAAAGTCGTCGTAGCCATCATCACGGCGACTGGCCGAGTCATCCTGCACCATGTTCTCCGGGTCGCTTACGATACACCGAGGCAGACGGTAGAGGGCACCCTGCTCATCGTAGCAGCCCTGGCAAAGGTCTCCCGTAGGCACGGTGACACCCGCCGCGTCGACGATACTCTGCGCCGTGGCCAGGTCGTTCACATACATGAACGAGATCGCCGCGGCCAAGGCGGCCCACACCTCTGCCCGACCGGTGACGCGGGTCTCGAAGAACTCCTTGCGCTCCTGGTCTAGCTGCGCGCGAGACCAGGTGCGCCGCTTGCTGTACCAGACATGGGGGCGGATCGGGGCATTGAAATGCTCGCTCAGCGCTAACTGAGTGGTGGTCGTCGCTGGGGTGCGACGGTCGGCATGCCGACCTGCGCGGGATGTCGCTCTGGTCAGGGAAGCTGAGGGACAGCTGGAGATGATAGCATTCGTGGTCGAGCGGAGAGCATTTGAGGAGGTATCAGCACGGCGCTCCTCCGTTACTTGGGTCGCATGGGAGGGATCGCCGTTGTCACGCGACAGGAAGGACAAGCAAGAACCCTGGAGATGGTGAAATCAGACGGCATGCTTCTAGCAATATCGCGAGGACAAGGGTAATCGAGAGCGACGAAATTGACAGCTACTGAGAACAGCGAAGTGCAAAGAATTACAAGCGACAGGTACTTTCACGTCTACAGACCCCAGGAACCAAACAGCGATAGAAAAGTGACAAACAGCAACAGAAACAAAGGTAAGGTGAAAAAAGGAAGGGAAAAAAAAAGCTCCATGTTTACTCACCATACTGAAGCGGTAGACGATACGACTCCATCAGACAGACAAAGTAAATAGTAGATATATCCTCTCTGTAGAGAAGGAAAGCAGCAGGATGGAGATAGCTCTAAGGCAATAGATAAGAGGAAGAAGAGGAGGAGGGGAAAAGAATGCGGGAAAATATGGCACCAATAAGAATGAGAATCAGCAGCTAATGATGTTGATATTCCGTATTGGTTGGGCAACCAGATTGTCAGATAGATCGATGGTTAACTTATGGCTCGTAAGTCGATTGGAGAACGGGGCGGGCAACGTAAGACTCGCTGTTGTGTTCGTAGTGGCGATGACGACTCGGCGGGTTACAAACAAATACGGAATAGTTCTGGTTCAAAAAATTAGAGAATCAAAGCACGCGAACAAGATGTATTATTCACTAGGATGGGTTGAAGCTAAAGAGGGGGACAAAGCAGAGATGATGATGGATCTGATCCCCGTCAGTCGTGCATTGGCATGACAAGGAGGAAAAAGTAGGCGAGCAGGAGTCAGGTAGCAGCTGGCTGTTCTTATTGTCTACTGGTACGGAGATGTGGTCATCAAAAGCTTGTCTGCAAACCGTCTATCCACATCCGGCAATGTCATCCAGAGCATTTACCACCGTCAGGCAGCAACCAGAACCGTGGAATGAATCGAGTGCTGTTCAACTGTTGGTTATCTGACATCGTCCTGTTCTATTAATAGCACTGTCATTGCAGCATTCCCGAATCCTTGTCTAGTCGATATTAACCAGGACACACAAAGGCTGGCGCAGATTACCACCCTCAATCTGCTCAAGTTCAATCTATCGTGATAATGCAAAATGGTCGCAATCATCCAAGGCGTGCTGTAACATTCTGCGGTGCAACCGCTCGTCTGATCATCATGCACTTAGCCACTGTGCTACATGCAGAGCACCAAGGATGAGCAGCTTCAGATTGGTTCGAGACCGCGGTTTTGTTGCATTTCCACTCTAAGCCTATCTACTAGGTATCTCAAGCTTTGCGCAAAGGCGTTCAAACAGCCCGTATAAACATCGTGAAAAAGGTGTGACCGATATGATTCACTCTTCCTCGTCCTCATCATCGCTTCCAAAGATAGCCTTGAAGACCGCCTCGCCGGGCCTCTCAGCCTCAAGTGCTTCGTTGCGTTCGGGTTCAATCACTACCTCCTTCCTGACTTCCGGCGCTGTCGCCCGTTCAGGCGTGGCAGTGTCGGATCGTGCTGTCAGTGCTCTACCGCTAGTTTCGAGCATGAGCTGGTTCATCACATCCTTCGATACGAGCTCTTTAGGTCCGGATGCTGTCTGGTATCCAGCAGACTGGAATCGATTGCCAATACCAGCCTCGGAACCCCCTGGCTGCTTTCCCGGGTCCATCTGCACATGATCCGGTGGCTTGACATTCAGCCGTTTGCAAAGCAGCCGCGCGGGATAGAAGCTGTGAGTGCTCCGAGTCATCGGGCCAAACATACCGATCTTGGCCGCGGCCACGGCTGGATCCTCAGGCTTCTCCGCGGGTTTGCGGAGTAATGGTTCTGTCGACGTAGATGATTCCAGTTGATCAGACGATTCCTTGGGCCCCGTAGATGCTGAAGTGAAGCGCGAAGCCATTACCCCAGAGACCGGCTTGAACACCTCCGCAGCTCGAGCAAACTCGTGGAGTTCCGCAACCCATTCATCCGTTGTCGAGCCTGGTACTCGGTCTGGGAGTGTATCGCGGAGGCCTGCCCGTATCTCAAGGAATGTGCGGTATCGAGTCCGTTTGCCTTGGTCTTCCGAATAAGGCATCCAGCCGCTGACTGCGCGAGTAAGAGCCTGAACAGCGACCTGTTTGTCTAATTTGGGAACAAGGTCCCACAGATCCTTGCGTCTTTGCGATTCCGATAATTCGAATCCCTTCGGTGCTTTCTCTCCCAAGGCTGGTGGTAGGTCTGTTTTCCCAGTAAGTTTCATGATCCTTTCGCGAGCCTCAGGGGTCATCCAGTCAAAAATCGACTTTCCGGGCAGCTGGGCCTCCCCCAGCAGCGCAGCTCGAGACGTAGGGTCGAGCGAAGAAGCCTTGGCCGCCTCTGCTGTAGAGACATAGTTCGAAACATCCCTTGCCCCTGACGGTGTTTTGCTTGATTTCCAGTCCTTTGGGATTTCTGGGGGCGCGTATCTCTTCTCTTGTGTAGATATTGACAGGCTGGAAATACCATCGGCTAGGAGAAAGCCGTCTAACGGGAGCCGGCCGTCATGACATTTTCGAAATCCCGCCGACGATTTTGCAGTGAGCGCCTTCTTTGATATGAAGACGGGCTTGGTGTTCACCAGAGGATTAGATGCAACAAGTGCCGGCTTAGACTCATCCGTGGTCTTTTTCTTCTTTTTTTTGTCACCGCCGATGACCCGGTTGTATGAGATTTGTGGGCCAATAGAATATGGATCTTCGTCATCTGACCCTGTATCGTTCAACACCCCGACGCCAAATGCGCCGCGCCTAGGTTGCTCTTTTGACTTCGATGGTTTTCGTTGGCTCCCGGACGTCAACCGTTGCCCAAAGAAATCATCTTCATCAGACTCGTCGGCACCAGCTTTGTGAAAATCCAACCGACTTTCACCCTCAAACCCAAGCCCCTTGTGATCCGTCTTATGGACAAATGCGATCATGGGCGAATCCTCCGGTGCGAAGAGGTAGGTCTTATCGGCTTCGTTTCCGTCAGCGCCAGCACCGCCGCCAAGGTTGGCTTTTCGCCGTACTTTGGGGCCGATCCCTTGACCCTCTCGCCAACCCATCTTCTTCAGTAGCTTGACTCCCATGGTTTCACCGCCGGCCTTGAGAAGATCCATCAGCCCTCCACGGCGGGTCGCATCGGTCGCCGCAGATCCAAACCCAGCAAAGTCATCACTGGTCTGCAGTCTTTTCGCCTCCTCAGCTTCTCGAATGTCTTCCTCGTCCATGAAGTCCTCCGGCCGCTGCTGGAATTTCTGCTGAGAGTCCTTGGCTCTGTTCTGGCGCGAGGACACAAACGTCGTAGGGGTCCAACCCTCCTTGGAACCGACGGTATTGAAGTATCTGGAAAAGTCGGGCCATATTTAGTCGTGCTGTTCAAAGCTATCCAGGAATCGTGGGCTCACCCGGCGCTGAAACCACCGGTGAAGGCGCCATGTAAGCGTTTCCTTCCCCGGTCATCTGTAACTTCCTGCTTCCAGATCGGTACATATGACCCATCGTCTCGAGTCCCGGCATCTAGAGGGGGTAGAGGCGTTCCGTAAAAGGCGTATGGGGAATGATGTGCTTGTAGATCACCCTCGAAGGCTGCTCGAGATCGTTTGCTCGACATTTGTGGGGTTTCGGAAAGCAGTGTGGATTGCGGCGACTTCTTAGGTAAAGCTTGTTGTCATTATCGCTTGGTCTCTTGATTGACGATGGGGTCAGTTCCTCTATCTAGGAATTTCTCATAAACTGGAAACAGGTGTACTACCCACCGGGATGTTGGGACAGTTGATCTGGTTTCAAAAGGTCTATACGGTTCCAGGAAACAAGACACAGCTGTGGGATGAGGAGGGAAGGTCGGCCTTGGGTGATGTGCTTCATGGAAGTTCATCCTAATCGTTGAAACCATGGGACGTTTGTCCATCCATACGCACCGCCACCGCGTCACCTGCTGTGGCTTGGCACCGAGGTAGACTTAAAATCACGCGATCTACGGAGTACCAATAGCCAACAATTTCCTAATTGTCTAGATCTCGAAACCTTAGAGTAGTAAACTGGGAATGCAAGAGAAATAGGCTCATCCAAATGCAAGATGACCTACTCCGTAGTCTACTGTTAGATACCCTGTCGGACGGTCCTGCCCATCAGTGCCCAAAACACCAGCCTCCCGGCCGGAGAATGGTTCTGATTCGACCCCCGGATATGAGTGCGCCAATTGCACGTGTGATAGACAGTGGGTTTTACTTGAAAAGGGTTGATGGAGGAGCGATGGCGGTGGCCGCTGCTGGTTCTTGTAGGCTGTAGCAAGCAATCCCAGTAACGGTCAGAGTTCTTTCGCACACCGAGAAGATCGAGGTCATTGCGATTGCCAAGCTGCATGCCTCTCCAGTGTCCATCTGGAGGGGAGAAGTGGACTCTGAAACAAGTCTGTCCATTGAGTCTCGGTCATTTGCCCCTGCATGCTGTAGATAGACCCAGCTATGACATGGATGATGGTGATAGTCCATGCCACCGGCCAGGGATGATTGAAATAATAACCGGGAGAAGCACCGGATATTCAGAGAGAAGCAGATTGATGATATTAGAGTTGCGAAGAATTAATTAATCAAATGATCATAATAATAATAACAACCACCCAGTTGTGGTAAAGATGTGACAAACTTATTCCCTCATCTGGTTGCGGGCCCCCTGGGGCCTTAACCGACTGCTGTTATTTTTATTAGTGTTTGGTCTGTTTCTTCTCCGCAGCCGCATCCATCACCATTCATTCTCTCAAGCTTCGTTCCCCCATCGTTTTCTCCCTCACCTTCTTGCGATTTTCTGTCCTTGTTCGTCCAATCTCAGCCTTCACTCATTTTACTGTTTCAACTTCTACATCAAGGGTCGTACATGGGGCCATTTCGACTTGTCTGCTGGATGTCTCGACGCTGGCTGCCGCTTCCTTGAGCGCTCGTCAGCAAACGCCAAACATCCCCCCCGCTCCCCGACCGGTCCAGATTGAAGTACTGAGGCCGTCCACTTGGGCTTCCTCTCTCTCCCTTTTCCCTTCCCCACGATCTTCTTGAATTTTCCTCCTTGACATTGCTGGACTTGTCAAAGCAAGTCTTGTTGGTTGAGGCTTAATTTTCGAGATATCTATCGTGATGTCTACCAGTATTCCTGCGTCAGCGTCGCCCACGGTCGTCCGCAGCCATTCCACGTCCTCTCGGCCTCACGCCCATCGCCCTCCTGCTTCTGATTTACCACATCGAACTCGAAGTGTCGCAGTCAGACCGTCCACCTCTTCACACTCCTACCAATCCCATCACAGTAATCACAGTTACTCCAAATCCCAGTCTCATGACCGGCGTCCTCCATCGAACCAGGCTGCTTTCGATAACATAGCCCGTCGGGATTTCGACGCTTCACGGGGCACCCATTCCAGCTCTTCCCGCCGAGACCACTCCAAGGAGCGCTCTAGGGAGCGTCCGACTTCTGCTCACCGTACCGATTCATCGCCCAACAAACACCGGAGAAATTTATCGGTGCAAAGCCACCAGCGGGACAGTATAGATATGACTCCAGCAGGCCCCGTCGTGGCGGAGCCGGCGCCCGCTCCCGCGCAGGCGGCTTCTGGTTCTCATTTACATCCTAGTTCATCTGTGCAGCCCAAGCGTCGCACAACAATTACCACTCCGTCCGGCCAGTGGGCCCTTGGAAAGACCATCGGCGCGGGAAGTATGGGCAAAGTGAAGCTCGCGAAGAACATGGAAACGGGCGAACAGGTATTTCGAACGGAAGCAACATATCTGACCTTAACACTAATGGCAATCGCAGGTCGCTGTAAAAATAGTACCGAGACAATCGGCCGATGAACACCGCAGCTCGCGCGACACCGAGAGAGCAGACCGCTCGAAGGAGATCCGAACCGCCCGTGAGGCTGCAATCGTGAGTCTTGTGAATCACCCATACATCTGCGGCATGCGCGATGTGGTGCGAACCACGTATCATTGGTATATGCTCTTTGAATACGTCAACGGGGGCCAGATGCTCGACTACATCATCTCACACGGTAAATTAAAAGAGAAGCAAGCGCGGAAATTTGCGCGACAGATCGCCAGTGCGTTGGATTACTGTCATCGCAACAGTATCGTGCATCGAGACCTCAAGATTGAAAATATTCTGATCAGCAAAACCGGCGATATCAAGATCATCGACTTTGGTCTGAGCAATCTTTTCTCCCCCAGAAGCCTTCTCAAAACATTCTGTGGAAGTCTCTACTTTGCCGCACCGGAATTGCTGCAGGCGAGACAATATACGGGGCCAGAGGTGGATGTGTGGAGTTTCGGCATCGTCCTTTACGTCCTGGTCTGCGGGAAAGTTCCATTTGACGACCAAAGCATGCCGCAACTTCACGCAAAGATCAAGAAGGGTCACGTAGAATATCCGCAAGGACTGAGTGCAGGTTAGTAAATCTTACTTCTCTGCTTTTGGATGGACCCCGTTCTGTATTAGAAAATGAGTGTCTGACCGCAACTGCTAGAATGTCGCCATATCATCTCGCGTATGCTGGTTACGGACCCCAAGCAGCGTGCAAGTCTTGCGGAGATCATGAACCATCCGTGGATGAACAAGGGGTTCAGTGGGCCGCCCGAGAATTATCTCCCAGCTCGTGAACCCATACAACTTCCTTTAGATCCCGAGGTTGTTGAGAAGATGACTGGCTTCGATTTCGGGCCGCCAGAATATATCACAGCGCAACTCACCAAGATCATAGAGTCGGAAGATTACCAACACGCCGTAAGAACGAGCGTTCGCGAGCAACCTCTTCAAGCTCATAGCGAGAAGAAGCGTGGCATGTTTGATTTCTACAAACGGCGGAATTCCGCCAGTAGGGACACACTCTCGGCTCCTTCAGTCGAGGCTGTTCAGCTAGGGAACGACCCTCTGAATGCATACAGTCCCCTGCTCTCGGTGTACTACCTAGTTAAGGAAAAGCTTGTTCGAGAGAGGGCCGAAAGCAACCCCGGCGCTCTCGGCATCCCGCATTCTGCTGGCGAAAACGTGCTTAGGATGCCAGACTTACCAGCTCCCGAGGCGGCGCACACCAATCAGTACCAACTACCTGGCGAAAAAGATACAGGGAGAAGATCTCGCCCTCGCGCGAGGACTCACGGCGATGATGATCTTAATGATGGCATCAAGGACCTTCATCTTGCACCGCAAGCAGGGCAGGCAACCCCTATTCCTGCTATTCCGCCTGAGACTCCCGTGAAGAAGGAGAGCACGGCAGCGGGCCTTCTCAGACGATTCAGCACGCGCAGGGTCAAGGATCGTAGCCGAGATCCTGAGCGCGAGCGCATCACCAGTCCTCAAGCACCATCGCTAAGTGTCCAGCCTCCCGCCGATTCGGCTTCCCCACTTTCGAGAGGGTTCAGCATGCGGAGAAGCAGGCGCGCCGACCCATCACCGTCCGATGTTCCCGGTGCCGGCAGCCAGCCGCAACAACAAGATTTCCTCAAGGCTCCAGGATCGGCCGAGCCGGCCTCGCGGTCCAACAAGTTCTTGGAGAGATCTACGAGTGTCAATTCGGCTGACTACCGTCCTCGGAGAGCTGCGCGGAGGAATGACCCTGACGTGTCGGATACTGCTCCCGACCGCCAACCGCCACAGACCAGTGGCTCTGACTACTCGAGTCTGGGTGGGCAGAAGGTGGAGACCTCCGCGAAAGAGGTGAAACAGCCCGGTCGCACACATGCCACGCGGACCATGTCACTTGGCCACGCTCGTCGCGAAAGCATTCAAGCCCGCCGAGCGAGGCGAGACGCGGCAAGAGAAGCTAATGTGCCCGAGGAGACAGACGCAGACATATCCGGTGCAGGAAATGCTCTGGAGAGCGCGAACGAGGGAGAAGATCTCTCTAAGCCGGTATATCTCAAGGGTCTCTTCAGTGTCTCGACAACAAGTAGCAAGCCGCTGCCTGTGATTCGGGCCGACATCATTCGCGTTCTGAAGCAACTTTCTGTGGACTATGTCGAGATCAAGGGAGGCTTCAGTTGTCGTCATGCCCCAGTATTGAACTTGATAAAGTAGTGGATGTCGGCCATCCGAGCCCTGATCGATCTGGCCAAGTGAACCACAGGCGCCGTATCAGCTTTGGAGGGTTGCTGAACCACGATGACAGCAAGGAGGACCCCCGATCAGTGCATACGCCTCGATCTCAACGTCGAACTCGGGCGCCTGATCGGAGCTTTGTCAGCAATTCCGAGGGATCGGACGAATATGTGGCTCCTCGTGACAGCAATGCACCCACGGGAGAGCGTGTCATGGGCGAAACCACGACAAGAGTCCAAAGTGACACGGGAGAGAATCTGGTTCTGCGGTTCGAGATCCTTATTGTCAAGGTGCCGTTGTTTTCATTGCACGGTATTCAGTTCAAGAAGGTCTCGGGAGGTATGTGGCAGTACCGTGAGATGGCGAAGAAGATTTTGGATGCTTTGAAATTCTGATTGCCTTGGTTACATTCTGCAAAGCCAGGGCAGAAGCCTGATTATGACTGGGTTTATTCAGCGTGGAACATGAAGCATTTATGCGAGCATTGTAATTTTCCCTCTTCTTCTTCCACTTCTTTCATTGCTTTTACACCCTTATCACCTGTTTATTCTTCGATTACGCCTAGGCCTGCTTTTACATTGAGCTGGCTCAGTCTGCAAATTCTTCTTTGTTGTCATGATGTACAAATAGAGCTGAACAGGATGCATCATCGATTACTGGAATTAGCTTTCCCCTTTTCCTGTGACTATCGATCATGATTTTGTACAACTTTTTACGTCCTGTATTTCCTAGGTCTAATCCCAATTAGCCCATATTATCGTCAATAATGTAATTTCACCATCAAATGTGTTTCTCAGAGAAAATAGAGAGGTACAAGAACTCTAAGAAGTTTTCGAGTATAGGGAACATATTGGATCAAGGGCGCTTTATATGTGAACGCGTGTATGGTTAATAGGCTGTGTTGTAAGGGCGGTGTTGTAGTTGATCTAGGCCTTACCGCAGCCTCAATTGCTTAGTAGGCAGGCTTAAAACTCAGGGATCGTCGGGGCTATAATAGGCTACCCTCGGTACCTCTGCACCTCATAAGGCTTGCTGCGCCGCAGTTGTCAGCTAAGGTAACGGCAAGCCTGCTTAGTCACAAATCCAGGGATATCAATGCCAAGAAATCCATCCATATCAAACTGAGCAAGAAGAGCAACTTGACCAAGTTTCTATGGGAAACTTGCAATGGCAATTACTCCATCACCAATGCTTGGAATTGAATTTTAAGAGAAGATTTGGAATCAGTGCTGTTATATTTATATGACTATATAATTTTTATGTGACTATTTTAATGTGATGTTTTCGGTCGGTCAGGAACCTGCTCTGGGGTTTTGATGGGGTAAAAAGGGTAGAAAACTGCTTTGTTTGGTTCCCGCAAGCTTATTTTGGAGCTTGACTCAACAGGCAACTTGACAGCACTGCTACTTGCCAGTTCTCGATGCATAACAAGATGTTTTGTGCTAATTGAGGACATTAAAGAAGTTTCTGAGACATAAATCATGTCTTTTAATCCTTTCAGATCAAATCCATCTATATCTTGAGTTTACCACCTATGTGACTCAAACAACATCTATAACTATCTGGCATAATCTGATAGAAATACATGACTAAGCTAGCCAGACAGACACAACTAACCGAAAATAGCAATGACTAACCCCCAACAGGCATAGATCATTCACTCACTTACCCACACTATCACCAGCTAATCAGCTTTTCCTGGAGTCTCACTACCTCGTCATGTCGTTTCTCCCTCCTCCGCCTCTTGCATATACAGCTAGAAGGATCCCCTATCCTGCTACATCATTTCTTTTCCCCTTTTCTGGCGTTGCCCATTGCAGACTGCAGGCAGCTAGCAGTTGGCAGGGTTTTCCCGCCCCCTTCGCCTCCTCCAATGACGGTCATCGACTTGACCCTGGACTCTGATTCGGAGGATCGGAGGAGACTCGCTGTAAGTGTCATGTCAACCTCCGCAAATCCGCGATCCGCGTCCTTGCCCGCCCTCTTAGCAGGCTATTCCGCTATTGAAAAGTGTTGCTGTTCTCAGTCTGGTTGCAGACTCCTAAGCTACGCATTGAATATAATATGCTATGCATGCTTTTGGGAGTTTTACAGTTAATCACAACTTGTTTTTTGTGCGTTTATTAAACCGGAAGACCTTTAGGCTGACAGGAGCCTTAATGTGGATGTTGTGTTGTGTTGGGTTTCTTTGTTCTTTCTTTGTTCCCTGCCATCACCAGATTTATTGGGGCGCGTCTTGTGACCGGTTAGCTGATCTAGTGATATAGGCACAAAGAGAAAGTCAGAAACAGACACAGCAGAGCCCCAGAACCACATTTTTTTCGAATCTAACACATCGCACGCCATCTTCGTCAATTCCGTTGAAAAGAAAGTCGGTCAGAAGTTCTGACAGCCCTTCTCTTGCCGTGCCTAAGGCCAATCACTTGAGCAACAATAACATACACCGTACTGCCAACAGTCTGGGTCTTGGCAACCACAGCAACCCTATCACCCCTACCAGCAATACTACCAACAACGCCATCACTAATGCTAATGCCCCCAACTCTAATCATGTATTCATCCCAAAGATTCAGAATCCATCTACCCCAAGCCCAAGCCCGAGTTCTCAGCAGGAGGCAATCGGTGTCGTTATTCCTTCTCCCTCGAGGCAGCTGAGAAGGGAAATTGAGAAAGCAGATTGGGTCAAAGCGCCCCTGTAACGCCAGGGAAGGCTGCACTATCGACCGAGTATTATCCGATTGATGCTCATGAAAAGCGTGCTCTCAAAGGCGCCTACCCTAGCGCACGAAAGGTCAAGCGTTCTGAGATTCCCTTTAGCATTGGAACGCCGGGCCCCATCCTAGCAGATAGAATTCCTGTACAACGCCAATTGCACGAGACTCTGCAGCGGAAGTTGTCAAAGATCAATGGCCCCCCGTGACATTTGCGCCGGGCGAGGAGGGCCTGCTGGCGGACTTTGCTTCAAATTTCGAGTTCGTCAATTCCTATATCCTCCGCAAAGGTGTCTCACATATCCCGGCGGACTTCATCGCAGGCTGTGATTGCAAGAAGATCTGTGATCCTGCGCGGTGCGGCTGCCTCGAGCAGGATGAAGAGTCGAAAGAGATCATCGTGCCGTATCAGCGCGCGCAAGACAACGCACGGCTCCTAGTCCTGACCCCGGAGTTTCTCAAACGCACAGATATCATCATTGAATGCAGCTCCAAGTGTACCTGCGACGAGCAGAAATGCTGGAACCGAGTCGTGCAGCATGGTCGTACGATCCGTCTGGAGATTTTTCACACCGGCAATCGCGGTTTTGGTAAGTTGTACAAAGCCATCGATGCAAAAGAGTGCTAATGAGGCCAGGTCTCCGTTCTCCAGACTGGATTCGCGCGGGCCAATTCATCGACTGCTATCTCGGCGAAGTGATTACCAAACAAGAAGCCGACGTGCGCGAGGAGGTGGCCACCTCGCAGCACGGCCACTCCTATCTCTTCGAGCTAGACTTCTTCCACAGCGACGACCAGATCTACGTCGTGGACGGACAGAAGTTCGGCTCTCCCACGCGTTTCATGAACCATTCGTGCAACCCTAACTGTAAGATGTTCCCTGTCTCTCGGACCTACGGCGACGACCGGCTGTACGACCTGGCCTTCTTCTCTCTGCGCAATATCCCACCCAACACCGAGCTGACATTCGACTACAACCCCAACTGGGAGGAGGGCAAAAAGGTGGACCCCAACGCGGTGCGCTGTCTCTGTGGGGAGAAGAACTGCCGCGGACAGCTCTGGCCGAACCAGCGGAAGGGCACCAAATGATTGTCTTCGTTTCTTCTGGAATCTGCATAGCATAGCATGGTATGACATGGCGCTGCACCGCTGCATTTGAGCGATTTCATTCAACCAAAGGGCTGAACTGGTTGTTTTACCCTGTTGACGATCTGTTGGCGCGGTTTACGGAGTTGTCTTTTTCTTTATTCTCACTCATGTTTGATTATACCCAAGCGGCCACTTCTTTTTTTTCCAATGTGACATGGATTTCCGGGCGTATCCCACATGTACAATATCCGGAGAATACGTACATTTCTTCCTGGCGGTAACAAGCAAAGCAGCAGCAACATTGTAATTCAACCCGATCCATGATATGTCCAGCGTACCAGCATCGCAAACAAACAAACAAACCACCCAAACCAGCGCTAAAACCCGTTCATTCAACATTCAACCTGCTAAACGCCAAACATCAATCCATAACGCAGACCAGACCCGAACCCAAACCACACTCCACCCGCAGAGGAAAGAAACAACATAACCAGCGAAGCGAACTAATCCCTGCCCTCCATAACCTCAAAAATACCCCCCATCACAAACCGCGGCCGAACGAACCCAAGTCCCCTCTGAGAATCACACAGATGGCCCTGAAGCTGACTCTGCAACGACGATCTTCCCCGAGAAGCTTCAAGCGCGGACGGAAACGCAGAAGACGCAAAAATACTCCCATCCATCGGCAGCCGGTAATCCACAGGATCAACAGGCCTCGGCTCCATGAGATCCAGTCCCTGGCGCTCGATGGCGTCGCCGTCGCAGCGGGTGCGTTCTGCGCTGAGCGCCAGGTCGACTTTTGAGGGGCGCCGGCGGAGGAAGAGCGCGGAGAGGCGGAGGGGGCTTGTACTCCTGCTTCTGTTTGCGCTTACGCTTCCGGTGCTGCTGGGGCTGGCGCCGCGGTGGGGGTGGAAGAGGCGGAAGCTGAATGGGGAGGAGGCCGATGGGGATGTGGAGGAGGCGGGGATGTTGTTGTAGAGGTGGGGAGGCGGTTGTTGGGCGAAGGCGATGGGAATGAGGTGGTGAGGGAGAGATTGGGGTACATTTTTGCGGGTTTTCTCTCTTGGTGTCTCTTTGGATGATGTCTTAGTGTAGGTAGGTAGATGTTGAAGTATGTTGAAGTACGTCGGTGATGACGATGATGAAGTGAGGTGCGGTTTGAGTGTCGCTGCTGACTTGTGTTGATGTTTCACAGCTGTTCAGGGCGCTGCCTGATATGTGTTGTTGATGTGTTGATGTATGTATGAGTTGGCAGATATCAGAAATCACGAATCGTCTACTATTGCTGTTTGGCAATAGAGAGAAATAGATCATCAATAGACGTGGACTAGAAAAGATCAGTATATCAACACAAAGTCCAACAAAGTAAGTGAAGGCTAAAAAGATAAGATGAGAAAGAGAGACGCAAATAAAGTAAACCTGAAAGAACGAAATATGAAACAAGCAAACTGACATGTCATCTGTAGCGACTCCGTACAGCTTAGAATGAAAGTGTCTCATCCAGAAATTAAAGTATAGAGAACCATCAAAAGCAGACTCACCGACACTTTTGTAGATGGACAACAGCCTCTAACCGAACCAAATCAACTCGGTCGCAGGGAGATTAAGAGGAGGAGGCAGGAGAGGAGAGAAAGTTTGACCACGATGTACGGAGAAAACCTTGAGAAGAAAAGAAGAATATGGAATCTTCAAGATGGAAATGATTGACTACCAAGAGCAGTCGATAGCATACACATAGATACTAGATAGAAGTGGCTGCAAGGATGCTCTGGACTAGCGACGCGCCAGGGGGCCAGTTTATACTTAAATGGACTCAAAGACGAATGCAGTAGTTGCGAAAACACAGATACATACTGTTGAGAACAAAAGCGATCCATATTCAATTCGCTTCAAATTCATCTGAATGGGTGAATGCTATTGTTTGGAGGCTTCCTATGATGACATACGCAAACGGCGGATCGACATTCGATTGCCTCTTCCCCCGACTCTCCCTATCCGGAGTGATCTGCATCACGCGCAATAGAACAGGAAAAATCCCCTCAATACTTGATCAACAGTAATATCCGCTTCCGACTCGTTGTCCGCGTCCGTCAATGTCTCCCTTTATTGTCGATAAAGTTCAACTATACGCTCGTATCCAGCCTTACTTATTGTTGCCAGGGGCTTGTCCGGAGAACCATTCTCTTATTCCCAGAGTCCAATCGTGTCTAGATCAGAATCCTCCGAAGGATCTGAGGTATTGAACTCCTTGATTGAGGATAATTATTGTAGTCAAATATAAAAGCATCAATTCACCCACACGCCATGGCTATGCAATAACCAATATCGGAAACTGTCTATGTGCGAGACAGGACAAAAGAAAACGAAGAGTACAGGTCCTGGGAATCCAGCACGAGAGATGGACTCTGGAGAATGAAAGCTATCTACCAACCAACCACCAACCAAAAAAAAAGGACATGTAGATACCACACATTCGCACATTTATATCATCACGACATCACTCACGTGTCAATTTCTTACGGTTGACTACCGTTCGATCGACGTTGGGTGAAGCTGCGCCGGATACTCTGGCCCCAGGCGGAATCATCCAACGACTGCATCACGTCCTGTACATTCATCGCGCTGTTCTCTCGCGAATGGTTGGATCCCGCGGGACTAATGGGCAAGTCCGGCCCGGCGTCGTAGGATGAGAGGGTATGCGACCGTTCACGGCTTCCTGGTGCCAGCGACGGACTGATGCTCGACCACTCAGTCGGTGAGCTGACATTGGACATGCGTCCGGTCAAGTTGGTGTCCAGCCGGGGCAGTTGCCGTGATGATGTCGGGCTGGATGGGCCTCGCGTCGGCGAGATCGGTGACAGCATCGGCTGCGTGTCCTCGTCTCCACTCATAACGGCATCTTGGGCCCCCAGGCTGACTCCACCGTCCTCTGCCGCTGTCCCAGACTCCCCTTGATAACCATCGTCCACAAAGATCTCCGGGACGGTGAACTGCGGTACTTCGCTCATCCGTGACGATTTCTTTGCATTGACCTTGCGGCGGAATTCCCGCGACCAATACAGTGTATCAAAGAAGCCGATCACCGTGTTTCGGCGCACAGCCTCCTCTACTCGCTGCAGACGCGCACGACGACGAAGGAATTCCTCTAATCTCAAGCTCTTGCTGTCGCTGATGACATTGTAATGAGCCAAGATCATCAGGATTGAGTGGAAGGAGATACCGCGCACTGGGTCCGCGGATACCAGCACCTCTTCGTAAAACCGATTCAGCCGTTGTCGTCGTTTCCGAACAGTCTCAACTGGAATTTGCCGCAGAATCCGGGACAGTTTGTCGAGGTCCAGCCCTTCAACCACTCTTCTATGGGCAATGAGCGAGTCCCTTTTATCTACTCGACACTTCTCAAGGATCCGTCCAATCGTGAACTCGTCGTCATAGATGCGCATGGCAAAGTCGCCCGAGAGTTCCTTATCCAGTCAGTTACTTTGCTAACGCTTACTTCGGGGAGAGAACTTACGCCAAGCAGACGGGGGAATTGTTCCTTGGTGATATACCCCGTCCCGTCAGGATCGAAGGTCGCCCAGGCCTGCTTGAAGCGGCGAATTTCTTCACGACTGATTGCGTAGAGCCCACTGCTCCGTTGATACACATAGGAAAAGCTCTCGAAGATCAATGAGACAAATAGAGACACAAAGATATACATGCTGATGATGTTCCACGAAATGAAAAGTGGCCGAGCCCAGGCGGCGCTGCCGCAGTCGTCATTGAAGAAGTCGCTGTCATATGTGCAAAAGGGCGGCACCATCGACGCAAAATCTTCCATCAGTTGGTTCCATCCCTCCCCACAGCTCATTCGAAAGAGGAGAATGAGTGCCCTCGGAATGTCTCGGAAATTGATGTTGTTATTCTCATTCTCACCGAACTTTGTGAGACCGAAGGCTTGATTCAGGGCTATCGCATAGACAAGGAAAAGGACAAACCATGTAGCGAGTAAGTTCCCGATAGCCGTCAAACTGGCTGCAGCCGTCTTGAAAAGCTGATCCAACTGATTGTTTCGCGGAATCAGCAGGAGGGTGATAGACACAAGGAAAAGCTTGTTTAGCTCCACAATGACCTGATTCCTCAGCAGGTAGTTGAGAATAGTCGTAATGAAGGTACCAGGCACGGCGATTAGTGAGTAGAGGTCCCAGGAACTCCTACTGAACCGGTGCCAGCCCAGTCCAAGGAGTCGTATGAGGACATTTGCAATATAGAAGAATGTGAAAGCAAAAAACAATGCCTCTGTGAATTTGTAAGTCAGCACATATGGAAACTAAGGTAGGAGGGGTCAGACTTACGCCTTGTCAACTCCCACAAATGAGGTTCCGGATAAAATTCCAGCACAAGCAAGAGGAGATGGAAGACAAGAATAATAGTCACGCATGTTGCCCATCGACCATGCTTTTTGACGGCAATCCGATAGCACCATAACTTCCATTTACTGCTCTTGCGGTCAAGCGAGCGTTTCGATGGAGAGATTTGTCTCAGAAGCTTCCTCAACTCAAGCCAAGATCGCTGTTCAGCAGTCAAAAAGGCGACACCCGTCTGCTCAGTGTAGTTTCGCATGAACACAGACACGAACAGTGTCAGGACGAAGACGGCACCGAGCAAATTGAACACAATGAAGAAGAGGCCGTTGGCTGGCGCTGCAAATGACTGTGGCTGCATGTCCTTCCCTGTGATACTCATAGCGCTGTTTTGCACATCAATCCAGCCCTCCTGAGAGACAATCTGGAAAAGGATGAACAGAGCATGCCCAAAATTGTCAAAGTCGTAAAAAGGATTTGATGCGACACGCGGTGCTAAGACGTCCCAGTTGTAGGGTGAGCTTAAGTATTCATTGATGCACTGGTCTAGACTGCCAACTATACTTCCGTCATTGCATTGGACCATTTGTCCGTTGTAAAGGGTAACGCCGTAGATGGCAAACGGTATTAGAAAGCTGACCGAAACAAGGGCAGCCTAGAAATGATTAGTATGTGTCTTGCCCCGGACCACGAAGAGGAGGCTAAGACTTACAGCAATGACTTTCCATCCACCCACGATGATAACTGAATGGAAGGTGTCCTTAGCACTGTCACTGACGTTCAATAAACGCAGGGCCCTCAAGGCTTTGAAAGCCCCAATCGCTCTAGAGACACCCCAGTCCCTGAACAGTGAACTGCCCACATTGATCCAAAGAGTGATCAAGACAATTCCATCGATGAATCCCCATGATCCACGAAAGTATGCATTTGGTGTCCAGAAGAAACCGTCCGCAATGACCTTGATGAGTGCTTCTATTGTGAACAGGATTGCGAAGCCCGTATCGGTATAAACATACCACGGCATAGCCTCGCCATGCCATTGCACTTGATAATTGCGCTGATAGATCGGAGTAGTAATGCACGCGATCAGGACCATGGCAACAATCGCCGCGTAGACAAAAGCCGAAAACGTATACCAGACAGGCTTATAGGGATCCACTCCTTCGACTCGTTGATGCCCGCGTCCCGGCCCAACGATGCGTTGACAGAGTCTCCGAACCGGATTGTCAGGAGCGAAGATAAACAGCGACTTGTTGTAATTCGGGTGTCGCATCAAATACTCTCGCTGTGCTCGTTTCCGCTGCTCAGCGGCAGAAACCACCTCCTTGGCCATTTCCTTCGGATCTAGCTCGTCGTATGCTCTAGAGAATTTTAGTTTGGAATAGAAGGGATTCGGCTCCCTGCGCAAAACAGACGTGGTAATGGCCGTCCACCACCGCGAGAACACGCCAGGGCGGGCGGTCTCAGTCGCCGCGGCCGCTGCAGTCTCTAAAGGCACACTGTGCCCTCGTCGACTTTCCGGAGGCGCTTCTTGCTCATCAAGAAATTCCCGCACAACGGCATCTTTCAGTAGCATTTCTAGGGCCGCTGGTCCATGATCGAGAGGATCCCTGTAGCGGTTGGAGTCTCTGCCCAGCATGAGGATCTTCGACAGGGATAGGTTCCCCTGAGAATTACCGCTGACCTGTTTCTGCTCCAGGAATGCCCTAACCTGCTGCAACCGTTTCTCGTCTTCAGAGACGTCGAAACTCTCCTGGATGACAGCAATGAACATGTTGAGAACGATGAAGTTCGCCACGATGAACCATAAGATAATGAAGACGGCGGAAATCCAGGCAGTGTTGAACGGGTACGTAAATGTGGTTGCGTCGTATAACATGGTAGTCCAATTTTCGCTGGACAAAATCTGATACATGCCGAGGAATGAATTATATATATCAGCGAAGTTGATGTCGATGTTATCACCACCATTGTTCTCTGCGGGTATCTGGCCGCGAAAAAGTTGGGTCGCGAAAATGGACGCAAGGAAGGTGATCAGAAACACGAACATGATCAGGTTCAACAGACCAGTCGCGTTACCAAAGACAACCATGATGAGGTTCCTGGTAACCGAGAACGCTAGTACCACTCGGTATACCCGGAGAATCTGAAAAAGAGTGAGAACATCATACGGACGCCCCGAATGCTTGATCGCGGGTATCTGGATGACGCAGGTAATGAGCGCGAGTCCTAGATCAACCCAGTTCCGGCGACTTCGGTGGAATCTGCGCCAATCGGATGCAAAGCGTATGATGATTTCAAAGAGAAGAATGATCGTGACAAAGACTTCGACAACATTGATAAGATTGGCTCGATTCTTATCCATCGTCGAGCTTCTCATAGCCTGCACAACGAGATCGAGGATGATGATGCCAATCCAGAGCCATTCCGTCTTGTCATAGAGGCGCTTGAAACTACTAGTTTTGCGGGTAGATGTGTTCTCCGTATCAACTGAGTCGAGTTTCTGAACAGCGAAGGCGCTTCGCTTGCTCTCTTCTCTGATGACTTGGAATGAGTGCGTGATCACTGCAACCAGCAGATTGACCAACCACAGACTTAAAATGACGATGCCGAAGGCGAAGAAAAGAGCAGCTGCGAGATAATCGCTGTCGGTAGTGTAGTATAGAAGATCTGAAAAGGTGTTTGAGCTCATGATCACAAAGACAAGCTCCAGCGAATGCAGGATGTTATCGAAATTGACTGTTCCCCCATACGGATTGGTGTTTTCGACACAAATGGAGCCTTGGGGGCAGAGATACCCTTTCGCTTCCCCATTGCTCGGAGTGAGATCGTTTTTCAGCCAAGGCTCTTTGGCGCCAGTAGTTGCATTGAGATATCCACCGCAGAATTGTAGCGTGCCGTACGGATCGTTGAGATCAAAGTCAGTCTCATTGTCACGACCGAGCCAGCGGCAAGTGCGTCGCAAGCTCGACTTGAAGCTCTGGATTCCGACAATAGCAAACAGTAGCCAGAAGAAGCCGATAAGGAATGCAACATGAACAAGCAAGGGAGCTGCTTTCTTGAGACTTCGGAGAATGACCTGTTCTGAATTAGCTACCGATATCAAATTGATGAAGTTATCCAACTTACTGATGTGCCGTTGGTGAGCGCAAGAAGACGCAAGATCCGAAGGCAGCTGAGCATGCGGAACACGTATAACTGCTGGCGAGTCTCGACACCGGTGAGAGAGAGTAAGAAGGATACCCAGAATGCCACGACAGCGACGAAATCGAGACGATTGAACGAATGTCGGAGAAAAGCACGGTGTGCGAGTCGCACGCGGCGTGGCTGTAAGGGGTCATCGATGACTTCCGGCTGCAACTGATCGAAACCGCCAGTGAAAGTGCGTATAATTGAGGCCTGCTGTGGCTCTGGAGAGCTAGAGGCTTGTTTGGAGGCAAATTGCCGTTGCGGTGCGAGTAGATTCTTCCCTTTCTCCGCAATTGCCTTTCTCAACCCCATTGATCGATCTAGGGTACTGTATTCGGCCGGATTGATGATAAAGCCCGACACCAGGATCTTGGCTATTAGCTCCAATGTGTAAATAACAAAGATGATAAAATAAGCGTAGTCCATGGGATTAGAGCCCCAGCGCACAGATCGCGGATGGTCCCAGACCGACTTTGCGGATTCGAGAGCCAGCAATATCGTCTGAATGATGATCACAACCAGAATAAAAGGCTCCATGAAAGGATGAACTAGGATGTCGCATAGCCACACCCGTATAGCGTTGTCCGGACCCAGGATTCCGAGTGCTTTGCCTCTCAGAGGATTGTTGTACATCCTCCACGCTTTGCTCGCGGACGTTCTCGTCCGCGGTAGTTGATCATCAGACATTCCGACAGACGGCGCATCGTGTGCATATCCGCTCAGGGAGGGAAGCGACGGAGGCTCTTCGAGTCGTGCACTCTTGTGCTGTTCCTCCCTCATAATTGCTTGTTCAACCACCTCCGGCTCATTACTCAGGTTAACAACACGCTGAGACATCGACTTCATCATCGAACTCGCCCGCTGCAAAGCAGATCCAGTGGCCGAAGGAGACAAGGAACGGGCCCGACTATCTCCAGCGCTGCTGCTCCCGCGACGTCTCCGACCCAAACCGCTCTCAAGGTGTGGCAGATCATCACCCAAACGCGACTCTGGACGCGAATCCGAAGGGAAACGGTCACTGTGCGTGCTGCTTCGATCATCCTGTCCGCCTGAAAAGTTGTGCGAAGCCCGCTGATGGGCTGGAGAAAGCGATGATCGGTCAACGGGGCCGTATCCTCGTAGGTATCGGTGGGGGAAAGGTAGTGTTCAGCTTCCTGAGGCCCAAAGTCATCGAGAGGGACATTCGTCAAGTCAGAGCTAGATTCGCGGCGTCGCGCTGAAGGTGTGGTTCGATGTGTCGGGTCGAAGCTGAGGCCCACCGTCGACATTGCCTGAGCAAATGTCCCCGGATCCTCGATATGAAACGCATCTTCATTATCATGGCCAGCATGTTGCGGACGTGCACGCCGTGCGACTGGCGGGGTTCAACAGGGGACTCCTCCGACACCCTCTCATAGTTACTCAGTGAGCCTCCTCGTCTCAAAGATCGCCTTGACAGAAATCTGCTTCCTACCCGACTTGTCCTGGACTGATTGCGCTCCAACGGCCCGGAAAGGTCTTGTAAAGGAATTGATTGATCTGTGAGAGCATTGTCTTCGTCGTGGCCGCGATTGTGGCTATTCGAAGCCATCGTAGGCAGGTATAATGCGCTAGCCGAATGTAGACATTGCAGACTGCAGCTGTAGGAACCGTACCTGTGTCAATAATATCTTGCAGTTAGGGACAATTCGACAATAGAGATAAAAGAAAACGTGTTGCTTTCTGCTAAGTTATTTTCTTCCGTTCAGGAACTTACTACTGTTGTTGCCTTGCCAAGTATGCGGGTATGTTGTTCTCTACCAACACCAGTTCTTCCGTACCTATCAGGCAAAACTAGCGGGAATCTACGGGCTTTTGTCAAGAGGGAAAATAAGACCAGTGCGACAGAAAAGGCAGGCTACTGTACAAATCGCCCTGAGATCGCGATATTATTGAACAGCTGTGAGCAGCGGAGCTTTGCTTGGATTGCGCCAACGCGGCCAAAACTGGGGCGGTTGGCTCGTAAGCTGGCTTCTGTGTGGTTCGTTGGACTTGGTCTCACCTGCGATGGAACCTGGGACTTTGGAACCCACGCTTGTGGCTCATCCAAATTTAGCTATTTTTAATTTCTCACTCTAAATTGGATCATTTAAGGCATCTACTCCGTCTGCTTCTTCGCTAACTTCATGGTGTCCACACCGACGGGTTTCTGTTTGAGGTTTTGGCGATATAGCCTAGCTCCCAGGACTAATGAGCTATGAAGGGTCCAGCCTGTCTCCTGTGATCCTGTAACCAATTGGAGAAATATCGCTCTAAAACTACGGAGTATATTCTATCAATGATTGGGTTTTGCTAGTCGACGCCTTGCACGGGGTATTTTAGCTCGTCCCAATCTTTGAGCGTAGTTCAGCACCTGGTCTTGCCCATAAACTGCTAACAGTAAAGCTGGGAGTCCAAGTTGCTTCTTCATGTTGCAACGTGTCCAAAGGATTGACGAACCGGCAGCACCCAAAACTTTTGGTCTCTAGTGTAAATCTTCTGTTGCCAGTGCGACGCTTCTAGTGCACGGATAGATCATGACACGAGGTAGTTACAGGAAGCTTTTTGGTACAAGACGTGCGGCTCAATCAATCTGTCCCCATCTGATTCTCCTGATCCGATTCCTTAACATGGTCCCGAACGCCCCTGAGAAAAGCTTCAACAGCATCCCCGCCACCGAGAGGAACACCTCCTCTATGCATGAAACCACCATTTTCAACAGGGATCTTGAGGGCCTCGCTTATGCTTGGTAGGCCGCCATCTCTGATAGCAACAGTCAAGCTAGCAAGACTCTGCGAGAATTGAGGGGAATGAAGGACTTTCCGTAATATGCTCTTCTTTTGCGACAGGTCGAGCGAGAGCATTGCTGCTTCTACGATCTCCGGATCGGTCTCAGCAAGGGACAAATCTTCGGATTCCTGCGCTAAAAGAAGGAGGGTCGGTGGTAGGTAGCTTAAGAGATTGTCAACGGTTCGATCGTCCGCAGACTCTAGAAAAGGGATCGTAGATGATGGCGAAAGGAGGTCTTGTAGCGTTGTAAAAGGTCTGTCGGGGTCTTGGGATTGGTTTTGGTTCCCCTGCAAGGACCTCAAGAAGCTCTGTACAACAGACGAAGGGTTCGAGTCGGCGGCCGCCCTGAGAATACCAGATCAGCTCAGAAAATTTCAATACAGCGATGGTCAAAAACCAGGAAGTAAATGTCGGTGCGGGAGCCAATGGGGACCGCAGAATAGAAGCAGGAAGATGTACCTACGCTCTTCCACCGTCAGCACCGCCCTCCCTCGCTTCCTCTCCTTCTTCTCTGATGTCTCCACCCGTAGCGTCCAGTCCGGCTCCACCACTTCCTCCATGGTTATGGCTTGGATTATGGTCCGCGCCCTCGACATCCTCCATCGTTTCATCGTCGTCGCCGCCGCCAGAAGGACCACCTCTGGGAAGGTTGGCAATTGCGTGCGCGACGTCGACTTCTTCACCCTGAAGTAATTCGTTGACAATTTCGCCTAGCTTGAGATCTCTGGGGCTGAACCAGCTAGGATCGCCCCTCTCATGCTGAGATTTTGACTGGAGCCAGAATAGATAGCGCTGCGAGCTGGAGGAGAACTTCAATACGAAGACTCGGCCGTTTGTTGGTGCGTCTTTGCCAGCTGGTTGATACGGGGTGAAGGTTCCGTCTGATGGGACCATTACGAGATCCAATTCGGGTTGGTCAGGAGGAGCGGTTCTTGGACGCCAGCAAAAGTGCACCAATTCATCCTCAGAGTAGAGGTAGATGTAACCTGGAGTAGGCTTTGGTTTGACCACGGGGTTTGAACTTGACACCTGCTCAAACGGAAAGTAGAGTTAGTAAGGGTCATAAATCAGTTGCCAGACCGAATCGTGGCCGTTTGATAGACAAGAGGTTACGGTCATTTTGTCGGGGTTGTAGTGGCAGTCACTCACATCAAGGTCACAGATACCAGCTTTGAACGTAATGAGTGGAGCTATAGACATGGCGAAGGTCTATGAGAATGAAGAGTAAAGGTGGAGAGAATGGTAGAGCTGGAATTTGTCGGCCGTTTTGTGATGTTGATAGAGACGGAACGGTGTTGTTGTGATGTTGGTAAGCTCTGAAGCAGCGGGCCAGCAGGGTACGTCAGTTCAGGAATGATGGGGCTGAGAAAGCTTCCATTGCATTAAAGGTTTCTATGGTTGACCGGAGCTCGACACCTCAGGCCAGCACCAGTGACCTTATCAGGGACTCCAAATCGGCACTAGTGCGATTCGGTTAATTGATAGGGCTCGCGTTCCCACAAACCTCAGGATTTCCGCCCGGGGCCGCAAGTAGTCAGTCACACTTCAATCCAACAACCACCCGCCGTCGACAACCACCCACCCCCTCCTACATTCTTTTCAGACCACCTTCGTCCCCGGTAGCCAATATGTCGGACTCTACTGTTGGCCAGACGAAGCAGTTTGGAAAGGGCCAGAGGACCGTTCCGGCTCAGAAGGCCCAGAAATGGTACCCCGTTGATGACGAGCCGCAGCCCAAGAAAGTCAGTACGCCCTGTACAGAGAAAAAAAAAATGCTTGATTGGAGATGCGGTTTTCATTTATGAATGAATGCGACGATTGCGCCGGTCAATGATGCCGCTTTTTGTGGGTGGATCAGGGCCAGTGTCAATGAGAACATGCATTGATAAGGAATATCGCATCTCCGGGGATATAGCTACATATCCATGACTTGCAAGTGTGTCCGGGTTAATGCGAACAAGAGTTTCTGACATGAGTGTGCATTTGAACAGGTTCGCAAGGCTATTCGTCCTACCAAGCTCCGGGAAACCCTTCAGCCCGGTACTATTCTGATCCTCCTCGCCGGTCGCTTCCGCGGCAAGCGTGTCATCCTCCTCAAGCACCTTGACCAGGGTGTCCTCCTCGTTACCGGTCCCTTCAAGATCAACGGTGTTCCTCTCAGACGGGTGAACGCTCGCTACGTGATCGCCACTAGCAAGCGTGTGGACATCAGCAGCGTCGACCAGAGCGTCCTCGAGAAGGTCAGCGCCTCCGACTACTTCACCAAGGAGAAGAAGGCCGAGAAGAAGGCCGAGGAGGCTTTCTTCAAGCAGGGAGAGAAGCCCGAGGTATGTGGATTCTGCCGATCAACTTGGTCCTATGCACCATGGAGGAAGATACTACTCCGTTGTGAATCTCGACGACATGTACTAATACGCAACTGTCTACTATAGAAGAAGAAGGTTGCCAGCGCTCGTGCCAGCGACCAGAAGGCCGTCGACCAGTCCATCCTGGCCTCCGTCAAGAAGGAGGCCTTCCTCGGCAGCTACCTCGCCAGCTCCTTCAGCCTCCGGAACGGCGACAAGCCCCACGAGATGAAGTGGTAAACGTGCGTGGTGGCCGCGGGTTCGGTAGTGATTGTGGGGAAATCTTGCGCGAGGGGCGGCTTGGATTGCAAATGGGCGTCCCCACTCCCCGGGGATCGCATATCTCTTTTGCAGCGCGGGAGGAACAAGTTCATGAAATAATGTAACTCGATACGGGCTCCGTCTTTGCTTAGGATTGCGGTCAATTCGGAAAAACCGGTTGTCATTTCCTTGTTTCAACGAAAAGTCTCCTCCAGCGTGGCCCCGATTTGCAGGACCTCATTAAAGAAAAGCCGAAATGTCAAAGAAAAAAAAAGAATACCTTTTCCAGCTGTTACACGAGCCCTTGAAAAGACTAGGCTGGGCGTTATCGTTTTATGTTAAGTATGATACATCTCTCATTTCTAGGTTCAGGTCGAGATCCAAAATTAGGAACTGCCAGGTTCTGTTCCAACTTCCAACTTCAGCTTCGTGCATATCGCCATCCCTTCTACTCTGTCCCATAGCCCAAGCGACATCGCCTACAGCGGGTATCAGCCCAGAGAACCTGCGATTGCGACCTTACGAGGATACTCGCTGCGAACTGTCTCGAGAACGCCGTTGCATCAGTCTGTACAGAGTAGTAGCTCATGCCACTGCATCATCATCAAGCATCCAAATCCAAAATATATAAGCAACATCGCACCCATATCACATAATCATATATCGATACAAAAAGCCATGAGCTCATGAACCCACAAAATCCCAAAAATTACTCATCCCTCCGCTTCCTCCGCAACCGACGCCGACTACCATCCCTAAATCTCCTCGTAGACTCCTCCACAGCCCTCCGAATCTTCTCATCGAGATCCCCATCCTGGCTCAGGCTAGCGCTAAGCTGACTCTGCGCATCATCTATAATACTAGCCGCTCCATCCTCACCATCGCCGACAGTCGTCCCACCCATCCAGTCCAGAATCCCCCAAGGCCCGAAATTCCCTTCCGCCCCACTTAGCAAATGCACATCCGTGCGACGCGCAATGCCGCCCAGGAAGAAACTCGTCGGCATCACGGAGTACCCGGAGAAGGCGAACGTCTCCTCAATGGATATTGTGGACAGATAGATGAGGTAGGTGAGCATGTGGAGGCGGAAGAGCATGGCAGGAGCGTATGTCGGGATGAAGTTAGCGAGGAGGTACGCGATGGGGTGATCATAGTGCCCGGTGAGGGGAAACGGTGCGCGTAGTGAGTGGTACCATGATTCATGGTACTTTGCGACGCTATATTTTTTGGAGTGGAGGACGTAGCGATGGACAGCGTATGCGAGGATCTACAACGTCGCAGAATGCGTCAATTTCAGTCCACAGAGCTTATCCGACCAGAAGGACGAACGATCACTCACCTCTCTCCCGAACAAACCTCGGAACAAGTCCTTCACGATCTCCCAGGGCATAGGCAGTCTCATGGACACTTTGAGAGCGCTGCGCATTCCGAGCACCTTGGTGCGAACGAGCTCAATGGCAGCTTGCGCGGCGATGCTCAAAGCAAGGTTTGCCAGCGCCCATCCCGCGACCTTGAAGTCCTTTGCTCGGATTTTGCTGCGCTTGCTTCCTGCAGGAAGGCCGAGCTCGCCATGCGCCTTGATCACCACTGCTGCAGAGGGTGTCAAGATGTCAAACAGGAAGAAGAGGACCGAGGGGAGAACGTAAAAGAAGAGTCGCACGGCCACGGTACCGAACAGTTCAACCCTGAGAGGAGGATGCGACAGCACAAGGGTCGACCATGTCATGAAGAAGAATAATAAGTTGAGGCTTGTGCTGTACGAGGAAATTGTAGGAATGAGAAATAGCGAAAGAACTGGCAGGGAGAAGAGCGCATCCATTTCGTTTGCGATCTGCGCGTTAGCCTTCAGTATAAGTGTTAGATGTCCGTATTTGATTCAACAATTGCATATTCTAAGGTTTGTGACTGAAGTAATTTTGTAGAATATGAATCTCCTGCCTGTAGCTTGCAGTTGTGTCTGACATGGCGATATTGTGGCTGGGGTCTCGCAAGTAAATACTAAGTAGGGCACAAGTTTCGCTGGTTGCGGAGACCTCGATAAGCGTTACGTCACTGTCAGCAAACTACAGGAATGCAGCAAATTCGAACAATGCGATTGTTGCTTACTGATTGGGAAATCGGACTTCTTAAAATGAAGATAGCAATCCGATTGTTCGAAGACCATGTTCAGGTAAGGACAAGGGATGAAACGGACACTGTTATCTACATCAAGACTGTATATATATTGCTTCGCCGTGATCGTCAGAACCCTCATTCTGAGCAGCTATCGTAGCACACGGCGCCATAATTCTTGATTTGATTCAATCATTCCACTAGGCTTTTATAAATTCAGGAATGAGAATACTGATGTGCTTGGCTCCCGTATGTGCATTCATTATTGATTTGCAGAAGGCCCAAGGTGACACAAGAGTATAATTGAACAATCAAACTAGGCGATGAGCAATTACCAAGTAGAAGAGAACAACAATATAACGATAATACTTTCATTTACAATTTGATGTCTGAGGCTTAAGCACAGGACCATCACAAATAAGGATAAGAGACAGAACAAAATGCTCGAGGGTATCTAAGAATACACCGCACAATAGAAACATGACGATTTACCAAACTCCTACTTCGACTGAGACGATGGAACGCCGTTCTTCAAGCCCCAATTGAAAGCCTTCTTTCGGAGATCAGGAATCACCTGCAAGAATACCAGGTTACTGAGCCAGCTGGTCAGAGTATCCCCAATGATCGAGTTCCTAGGGCTGGCACCAAGAGCGCTCGCTTTCATCATGTGGCCGACAAACATCGTAGTAATCAAATAGTCGCCTTTCTCCAAACCTTGAATCGATGCCTTGGCGACTTCGATCGGACGCTGTGGCTTGTCGGCAGCTTCCAGTTCCTTTGTAAGTTGAGGCTTGAGTTCTTGCTCGTTGTCAAAACCGGGGCTGAGAATACCCATGGGAAAGATAGTATGAATCTTGACATCGGCCGGTGGAGCTGCATTTCTGGCGCTCGCTGCCCGAGCACCGTTGTACACCTCAATCTCTTGACTCAAAGTATCGGCCAGAGACCGAATCGCGGCCTTGGCCGGAGAATAGGGAGCGTATCCCGCAATGGAGACAAAAGCAAGAGTGGAACAGGTGAAGATAAGATGTCTCTGAGGCAACGGTACCTGCTGGCTGGGAGGAACGGGCGTGAGCCAGCTCTTGAGAGTGGCATGTGCTGTATTCGCAGCGGTCCAATATACGGTGTCCATCTGGTTTCGCAGCGTGTTGACCGAGGTTTCGACGAAGAAACCGGGCTCACAGTAGCCAGCGCAACACCAAACGACGTCCGGAGCGAGACCATGATTCCACTCAGTGACCTCGGCAATAACACGCTCGCATTCTGCGGCATCTGTCAAGTCGGCACTGATATAGTGGAATCTTTGTTTCTTGACGTCTTGGGCGGTTCCCTGCACCGATGTGAGCGCCATAGATTGAAGGCGGAGACTGGGAGTCTGTCTACCTTAATGGCCTCCAGAGCTTCCCTGAGCTTTTGGACGGTGCGGGCCACAATAACGACGTTGGCACCTTTTTCAGCGAGCTGACACGCCACAGCCTTGCCCATTCCATCGGAACCCCCAGTGACAACGACAGTCTGCAGAGAAATGTTCAGCATGCCGCAGGGTCTAAAATGAGAGTTCCCAACGTACCCGACCCTCAACAGGGAAATGATTTGTTCGAAAGCCGAACATTTTGGATACGCTATATACGATAAGACCGCAGAGAATGAGTGAAATTCCCAATGTAGCGGAGGATGCGTTAGAGGGTATAAACGAATGAATTTGAGACATGAGAACAGAAACAAGTGAGAAAAATTTGGGAAGAGAAGAAGCAAGTGGCTATAAACAAAACCAATGATTCTAGATGGACTCCTGCCAAATGGTTGTCGGCTTCTCAACTTGTGGAGAAGGAGCTGACAACAAAAGTGCCGGGATACCTGAGGCAAAAATTCCCATACCCGCCGATACCAGGTCCCCGGCGGGTTGGTACCCTTGGGCAATGTCCCGCCGGTATCGATCGGTAAATAGACAAATAAAACAAACATACTTGACATAGTTTAGCGCCGCGACGGCGGTGAGAGGAAATCCCAAAATTTTAATGCAAAAGTCATCAAGTCGATACAGTAGATCTTGGTCAAAATAAGCCCACATCAATTTCCCTCAAGATGGCCAAGAAAAGAAAGGCTGGCGGTCGCCCTGCGAAGCAGAACTCCGCTCAGGAGACTGAGCGCTCAAAGTTTGCTTTCGAGGAAAGGTTCGACGATTCCGAAGATGAGTTCCAAGCGGGCCGCGACCACATTTTGCTGGAAGAAGCCCCGGAGGCAAAGAGACGGAGGAAAATGGCAGAGCAAGGTTTGTCTGAGTAGTTGCATTTTGCATCCGTCCTGTTCGTTTCTGACTTTGTGTCCTTTAGAGGAAGAGCTTCAGCCATCCGACGAGGAGATCATGGCCTACGAGGAAGATGACGACCTAGACGACGAGGAGGATTACGATGAAGATGCCTATGAAGATGAGAATGATGATTATGATGAAATGGGGCTGGGTTCATCGAAGGCCAAAAAGTCCCGCCGTGGCGATAGTCCTGGTTCGAATGCTTCAGAAGATGAGGAAGGCATTGCTGCGTGGGGAACGTCCAAGAAGGATCTTTACAACGCCGATCAAATCGAGACTGAAGCTGATGCGCTCGAAGAAGAGGCGGAAGCAAAGCGACTCCAACAGAAGCACCTACAGGCCATGAACGAGGAAGACTTTGGCTTCGATGAAACGGAATGGGTTGAATCTGAGAAGAAGGAAGACGCAGAAGATGAGGCTGGTGTGGTGACGGAAGTTCTTCCGCAGGTGGAGATTACAGACGACATGAGCACAGAAGAGAAACTGAAAATCCTAAAGACGAGATATCCCGAGTTCGAGCCATTGGCGAAAGATTTTGTTGATCTTCAAGCAAAACATGCCGAGCTCGAAAAAGCTGCCAAAGACGTGAAGGCGCCGGAAGACGAGGAAGCGATCTTGGGACCAGCTCCGGCTCCCGTCATCAAGTTCCGTGCTCTGTCGGCTTACCTGGGAGCGATTAGCATGTACTTCATGCTCTTATCGTCATCTCAGGACGCATCCGGAAAACCATCCCCTCTGCCGCCCTCTCAACTACGAGCTCACCCAGTCATGGGTTCGTTGGTCAAGTTCAGAAAGCTCTGGGAGACAGTCAAGGATCTCTCCGTTCCCGAAATCCCTAAGGAGGATGCTACGAAGAAGCAAGAGAGCAAGCAGCGTTCAGACGCCTCTCTATCGACAACCAAGAAGCAAGTCCAGAAGAGCAAGCAAGAACAAGAACCAAAGAAGAAGAAGAAGAGCGAAAAGAAACAATCTAAAGCGCAGCGCGCAGCCGAGGCAGCACAGGCGGAAGCCGAAGCCCGCAGAGCAGAGAAGCTACGCGAGACGGAAGCGAACCTTGCGGACCTTTCAAAGCTCGTCACAGAGCCCATCAAAAAGCGCAAGAGCCAGAAAACCAAGTCAGCACGGGACGCCGAAGACTCCGACTTTGGTGATGAGGATGCTCTTACCGCCAAGGAGGCCGAAGAAAAGGCCAGACAGAAACGCTCGCTGCGTTTCTACACCTCCCAGCTTGCACAGAAGGCCAACAAACGTAATGCAGCTGGCCGAGACGCTGGTGGTGATGCGGATCTGCCTTATCGCGAGCGGTTGAAGGATCGTCAAGCTCGCCTCAATGCTGAAGCCGAGAGGCGTGGTAAGCAGAGACCAGACAATATGGAACAGCTTGGCGGCGACAGCGATGAGGAAGACCATAGACTCGCCAAGGAGATCAGGGGCGGCGGGGCCGGAACTGACGATGACGAGTATTACGATATGGTCGCGGCCCGCTCCAAGCAGAAGAAGGACGAAAAGAAGGCCCGCGCAGAGGCTTATGCGGCCGCAGCCCGCGAAGGCGGACGAGTGGAGATCCAAGAGGAGGTTGGACCAGACGGCAAACGTGCCATCACCTACCAGATCGAGAAGAACAAGGGTCTTGCACCGAAGCGCAATAAGGATTCCCGCAACCCCCGTGTCAAGAAGAGGAAGAAGTTCGAAGAGAAGAAGAAGAAGCTCGGCAGTATCCGCCAGATTTACAAGGGAGGCGAAGGTCCTGGTGGCTACGGTGGTGAACTTACTGGTATCAAGAAGAACCTGGTCAAGAGTGTCAAGCTATAGATCATCGTTTACTTCTCTTTGGATACATGCACTATGGGCGTTCATTGTGTTCTCTAAAATATGGGTTTGCGTGTACATATATAATTCATCCGAAGATATACACCTTTCAATCTCTCACATTCTACTTTCCTCCTGCACCTCCATCCTCTCCACGTTTTCATCAGATACTCAATGTTACTCAGCATTCGCAAAGCAAAAGTAAGCCAATACCACACTCGAGTAGAAGGAAATTGGTAACATGAAGCTCCAGCGCAATCACTCCAGGAGGTATACCATACGTTATTTTTCTGTTCTAGCAAAGAGGGACCCTAGCATCTCTCTCACCCCTTCAGCATCGCAAGTGTTCGACAAGTCGCAGGCCAGGAAACGCCTCGCTAAGACATCCTAGATTCACGAAAATTTACCATCAGCCTTCCACATTGCCCCGGATATGAGATGAGCCTACCGCTTCAGCCAGAGTCTCTGTCTCCTCAGCTGACAATGTGGCACAAGCCGCGATCAGATTTTCGCCGCGAGCGGAGAGAGCAGCGAGCTCATTTGCCCGGTCAACGATCGTCTGACTTATCCCGTTCATTGCTGCGCAACTGCTCAGATAAGCATCTTAGGGTAAGATCGACTATTGGGAGAGGCACATACATCGTCCCGAAACTTTTGTTGCTACGACCCGAACGGAAACTGTACTCGGTATGGATCAGATATCATGGGCCTTTGGATTGACCTGAAAGTATGCACGGGACCATACTTATAGAGATATGTGATCTGGTCTTCCACTTGGCGAGCCTCCCCAGAGATGCGAACTTCCATATGTCCCAGCTGGAGTCTAGGCCTTGGCTGAAGGAATCCATTTTCGAATATTTCGTGAAAATGCGTTGCCGCGATAACCTTCGGGCGTCCTCGAGGCTCAGCAAATGCTCGAGTATCCCGCAAGCGAGGCCGATGCCATCTGCGAGTCGTAGTTAAGTCCTGGCAGAGTGCTGGAGATAATAGAGAGACACACCACTTTCGTTGGTTCCGTTGCCAAATTCATCGATTAGAAGTAAGCTTCTCCCGGTTACCTGCTTCAGGTCAAAGGAGATTTGTTGTAGGTCGTTCATGAATGTGCTTTGGATCTGGTGCTAGTCAGCAGCTTATCTTCGCTGTTAAGTCACACAATCATACTTTTGACACGCTCTCTTGGGAGTTCATCTTCACCAGAATCTTGTCAGTCACTCCGATTTCTGCTTTCTCTGCTGGAACGAAGCTGCTACAATCAATTCGCTGTCACATAGTATGGTTATAGCACATACCTTCCGACTTGTGCCAGGTATACGTTCAGAGCAACCTGTCTCTCAGCTGAAGCCCCAGATACATGGTCACTGGGGATCCATACCTGTTTCATGTAGACGCTTTTTCCAGAATAATTGGGTCCGGTAAGAATAAGCATACTTGGACCATGGGGTTTCTCCAGCACCTCCTGTGAGACTCGACTTTCAGTCTCCGAGCTGCCTCCTACTAAGAACGTATCATTTGGTACATATGATGAGACTGTCAACTCCTGAAGTATGTGCCTTGGATAAGTCAGCGAGTTAGAAGAATGCATTACCAGAACGATCTCACCTGCCACCTTTGATTCTGATCATATTCTCCTCTACCATCTTGGGGCGAACCATATTATAGAAACTCGCTGCTTGTGCCATAGCAAGGAGACTGAACGCATGAGTCTAGATCATCAATATGAGTGTCAATGCATTACCTGTCAATATGGCCACATATATCTGACGCTTGCACGAGCACAACCTCATATTGCAGAACCTTCTGCGCAAGCTCGTAAACAATCTCAATTTCCTTCTCTAGAGAAGCATACAAGTTAGCTCATTGTCGCTGTAAAGGAGACTCTCCGTGGAATACCGCAAATCAGCCCGTATATGTCGCCCAAGCTCTGGTCCATCTCCCTCATCCTGAAGTCCTTAAAGTATGCTCGATTCTCAGTAACAAATATAAGCTCCCAATCATTAGCCGTGCCGCTGTAAGCTGCTTTACCCTTGTCGTTGAGTGGGACGGCAATGTTGAACCCGAGCTGGGGGAAGTATATCACGTTGACGTCGATATCGAGGCTTTCGGGGATCGTCGCTGCTATCTCTGTTGCAACTTCTTTCAGGAGATCGTTTAGACCGTCATATGTGTCCTTCATCCGGTCAAGTTCTCGGTCGAGACCTGGCTTCACAACAGTTCTACCTTGGTCTTCTGAGCAATCAATGTCGACCTGAAGAAAGAATTAGCTGAGGCGTCTGGAACCACTGAACGGATTATACAATTTCTTGAATCATCCTTCCTACTCGATATAGTTGAGATGCTTCAAATACACGGAGCGCCTGGACATTCGTTAGTATGCTTGCAGCATTTCCCTAGACGATCGTACCTGAGTACGCAAGTTCAGAGTATCGGCACCGAATGTCTCCTTCAACGCATCATGAATATCAATGCCATAGAAGGCGAACTGAGCCATATTAGACATGCCCGTACAGAGATATCGCATATGCAGACGTACAGCAAGTAGTGTAGCCCAGACTGTTGTCTTGAAACCGGTGATCTTAGCACTTCCAGTACTGATGCCTTTTCGGACGTTGATCATCACGGGCCGAAGGTTTTTGATATGCTTCAAGCTCTTCACAATTTTATTTGAGGTATTATAATTGTCCTGCCTCAGGTAGACACTGATGAAGTCATGACGCTCGCAGATGACATTCATTTCGACGCTTGGGCGAAGGAACGTCTGTCTAAGCCGGGATCTCCCCTGTGGAGTATGTGCAAAGCGCTGGAACAAACCATACACGGAGAGGCCTTCTTTCGAGGCTGGTGACTTTCTTCCAGGGCCTTGATTGAGCATGCTGGGGTGGGACTCGGACTCTGTGATTTGCAGGGAAAGTAAAGTGCTTCTGTTGATGAACCTAGAACACTGTCAGAACGCATGTCGCAATCAGGGACTTGAGTTTCCAGGACCTACATGGTTCCTTTGAGGCTGAACATCTCGACAGAGCGGACTTGATATGCTGCATTCGACCCGAGCGTAGTTATCGAGTCAGTAGTTCTTCGCCTTTGGAGGTATGCGAGGACAGCTCCTGCACAGCCTATGGTGACGGTATTTTCCATATCGATGGAGCTTGCCATGTGCAGAAGCCTTCCCTCCTGAAGTGAGAAACCCAGACTCTCCGCATCCAGTTGCTCAGGGTCAATCAATCCATTGTGAGGGACAAAGAACTTAATCTTTTGTTCGTGAGCTGAAGCAACCTCCAGAGCCGCCAATTTAGCTGTAGCATTGAAATGGCTGAATTCTTGTGACGGGCGTATATCGAGTTGATAAGGCAGGTAACGATGAGTTCCTACAGAGCCACCAATCAGCTATATGCAAATGCAAGCATTATCAAGAATCAGCATACCACCTTGGTCTGAGCTCTCTGGTGTATTCAAGTAGTCAACGCGAGCTGAGGTAAGGAGCACAGTGGGCTTCGTCTGTTCGATCACTAGCCTGTTGTCAGTGCTTTCCTCAGGGCCAAGTGGGAAGATCTTGACCAACAACTATCAACTGCATCGTTACTTGAAGATCTTATGTCTCCTAAAAGGTAGAGTCTTTCTTCCTGAGCTGAGTAGTAAGAGCAACCAACGGTGCCTGATTCTCGCATATCGATTGCGACAATGACCTGCTCAAGGTCGTCATCAGAAGACCTCTCCAATGAGCTATTACGGACCCTGTGAGCTGGGACATTGTTTGAATGAAGAGGTCCTGATTCAGAAGTTCTTTGCAAATTGGGGCTGGAATTGTTTGAAATATTCGGTCTCTGGCGTAAGGGCACCGATTCGTCCGTACGGCTGTTCCTTGAATTGCGAGAATGTGGTGTAATGTATGACTGATGTGCTGTGCGTCTTCTCTTAAATTGAGACGACATATTGGATGAGGATTCTTTAAGGTAGCAGACGCTGATGAGATTGTTGATCGAGGGAGCGTTGAACTGCCTCTATTGTTGGTTAGTCTTAAGCCTCAGGCTTCCAGGATTCACATGGTCTTGATTGCTACAGTTCCGAACCACGAGAAATCTCAATCGTCCATGCAATTATTTTCAGGTCACTCATTTAATATACATAAGAGGAGATGCTATTGTACATATCCAAAGAAGATGAACTCCATCAAAGCCAAGTGGCGCCGGATCTTGAGCCAGCCAAGACAAATGCAGCACAGATGATACACCAACACCGACAAACAGATATGCTCCCTTACATTAAAGAAATCATGCCTTTTCCTCCTTTGCACCGTCTGCTGCAACCTCAAGCGCGGTCTTGTCCGCGTTGAACGAGATGACGGCAGTTTGTCCCGAGGTCAACTCACCACGAATGATCTTATCAGCGAGTCTATTACCAATCTCCTTGGCTATCAAGCGATTAAGAGGCCGAGCACCATACTTGGGATCATAGCCCTTCTCGCAAAGCCAATCTTTGATCTCGTTGTCAATTTGCAGGACAATGCGGCGGTCATCAAGCCTTGCCTGGAGTTCCCTGACTCGGATATCAACGATATCCCGCAACGCCTCTCGTGAAAGTCTCTTGAATATGATGAACTCATCGATACGGTTGAGGAACTCCGGAGGATAGGCACTCTGCACGACTTCCATAACCGCCTGTTTGATGTCAGGGGAAAGTTCCGCATCGCCGTAATCCTTGAAGGAGTGCAATGGGTTCGCGCCAACAAGGATGTCAGCACCGAGGTTCGAAGTCAAGACTATGAGGGTATTCCTGAAATCGACTTTGTGACCTTGGGCATCCGTTAGGAAGCCTTCGTCTAGCACCTGCAGCAGCAAGGCGGAGATGTCGCGATGAGCCTTTTCAAACTCGTCGAACAACAGGACTGCGTATGGTTTTCGTCTCACAGCCTCCGTGAGCTGTCCGGCATCATCGTAGCCAACGTATCCGGCAGGTGACCCGATAAGACGGCTGATTGTGTGTTTCTCCTGGAATTCGCTCATGTCGAATCTCAAGACGGCAGTCTCAGTTGAGAACAAAAACTCCGCCATCCTCTTGCAGAGTTCTGTCTTCCCAACACCGGTAGGACCCAAGAACATGAAAGATGCCAGCGGACGGTTTTGACCACTCAGACCCGCTCTCTGCATCCGTACGGCATTGGCAACGGCTGTGAGAGCTTCGTCCTGTCCACGAACCGACTGTCTAAGTGTATCCTCCATGTGGATGAGTTTCTCCACCTCTCCAGCCATGAGCTTGTTGACAGGAATGCCGGTTGTCCGAGACACGACGTTTGCGATGTCATCCGGGGTCACAGAGTCGTGAATCAATGTCGTACCTCCCGCGGCCGCCTCGTCGCCCTCTTTGGGAAGTTTCGCCTCAAGGCTTGGAATGGTCGAATATCTCAACTCTCCAGCCTTCGCAAAATTACCCTCCCTCTGTGCTTGGTCGAGCTCGAATCGAGCACGTTCAAGCTCTTCCTTAGTGCGCTTGAGGGACTCGATTTCAGCCTTCTCCTTCTCCCAAACCTCAGTGAGCTTCGCAGATTCTTCTTGTTTGGCCTTCAGGTCCTCTTGGAGCTTTTCGCGTCGCTCACGACTAGTGATGTCAGTCTCCTTGCGGAGAGATTCAAGCTCGATCTGAATAGTAGTGATTTGGCGATCTAATTCTCTGATCACATCGGGCTTTGACTCTTGCTGTAGTCGCAGAGCCGAGGCTGCCTCGTCAACGAGATCGATAGCCTTGTCGGGAAGGAACCTGTCAGTGATGTAGCGGTTGCTGTACGTTGCCGCGGCGACTAGGGCTGCGTCGGTAATCCGCACACCATGGTGTACTTCGTATTTGTTCTTGATACCACGCAAGATGGAAATTGTAGCGGCGACTGACGGCTCGCCGACTTGGATGGGCTGGAATCGTCGTGCCAGAGCGACATCTTTCTCGATCAATCTGTACTCGTTAAGAGTGGTGGCACCACAGCACTGCAGGTCGCCTCTGGACAGTGCTGGCTTGAGAAGGTTACTAGCATCGATGCTGCCCTCAGCCTTGCCTAGCCCAAGCAAGGTATGAAGTTCATCGATGAAGAGAATAACGCCACCTTGCGCGTCCTCAACTTCCTTGAGAACAGATTTCAGACGTTCTTCAAAGTCACCCCGGAACTTTGCACCAGCAATGAGGGAGCCAAGGTCAAGGGCAATGACACGCTTGTCCTTGATGCTTTCCGGAACATCCCCCTGCACGATTCGTTGAGCCAATCCTTCCAGAATCGCAGTTTTACCGGTACCGGCCGCTCCGATAAGGACGGGATTGTTCTTCGTTCTCCTCGATAATACTTGGATAGTGCGGTGGATTTCCGAATCTCTTCCAATAACTGGGTCGAGTTTCCCTTTCTTGGCCTTCTCCGTGAGATCGACACCAAATTGTTCCAAAGCGGACTTCTCTGGCTCGCCGCCCAGATTCATTCGATGTGTACCACCCGGGGGATGCGGTCGTCCATTAGCATAGTGGCGAATTGAAGATATCGACTGTAGGGCGGCAGGGAGGGAAGCTCTAGGCAGAAGAGACTGTGTTTGTGGGAGACAACGTAATGTCTGGGAAGAACGGAATATACGGTTCGGTGATAGAGCGGGCGTTCGAAGAAGCCGGGCTCGAGCGAGCTGCCTCGACGCCATGGGCGGTTTTGTTAGTAGTACAAGCAGCTGAAGTCAATTTTCGACCTTAGGTTCCAGTAAGGTATAAGATAAGAATTGAACGCCAGAGCACAAGCCTGTGACTTCCTATATACCCCGAGTCGCCAACGGTCCCAAGGTGATCCAAGGATCCTGATGCTTCTCGAAAGCTCCACCTTTCTGAGCGCTGTGAGTGGCGGAAGCTCTCCAGCAGAACCGACCAAGCTCCGTCACCTCCCAGATCACGTGTAGGGCCCATCGAGGGGCCTTTTTCGCACCTAACCCGCTTTTGCCCAGGACCCTCCTTGGGACGAAAAAAAACTTCTTCTACTGGACACCTCACCCCTCTCCTATTTATTGCTTCTTCTTTCCCTCTTCTTCTCTAACCACACACATATTTTTCAATTCTCTATATCATATCACAATGGGTTTCACCGACTTCGTCTCTGAGGCTGGCCTCACCCGTATGTCTTCTTTTTATTCTTTTGCCCCTGGTCAGTAGCTAATGGTGCCCCTCAGTTGCCAACAACTACCTGGCTAGCAGGAGCTACATCGTTGGGTAAGACGCACATCTTTTGGGCTTTCTTCATATATTGTATCCTCCAAGCACAAGCTTCACCTCGATTGCATGATGAAAACAAATTGGTCCGTGTTTAGGAGGCGGCTTAAGACCCCGCTGGATGACTACACAACAATTGCGAGAAATCGTGTTTCTGATTACGAGGAAAAATCTGCGTGCTATTCTTGAGACAGACACAACTTGTGCTCAAAGAAGCAATACCTAGATTTGTGTTGACTAACATGTCAAAATAGCGATGCTCCTTCCCAGGCCGATGTTGTGACCTTCAAGGCCTTCTCTGGCGCCCCTGACGCTGAGAAGTACCCTCACGTTGCTCGCTGGTACAAGCACATTGCTTCTTTCGAGCCTGAGTTCTCCAGCCTTCCCGGTGATGCCTCCAAGGCCTACACTGCCTATGGCCCCGAGAGCACCGAGCTGCCCACCAACCCCAAGGACAAGCCCGCTGCTGAGGAGGACGACGACATGGACCTCTTCGGCAGTGACGAGGAAGAGGAGGACCCGGAGGTTGTTGCCCAGCGTGAGGCTCGCCTTGCTGAGTACAAGAAGAAGAAGGAGGGCAAGGCTAAGCCTGCTGCCAAGTCCATTGTGACTCTCGAGGTTAAGCCTTGGGGTATGTTTGACCGCTCATAGTCCCCATTCCGGACTTGAGACTAATTGCTCTTGTTTAGATGACGAGACCAACCTCGAGGAGCTCCTCGAGAATGTCAAGGCCATCGAGATGGACGGCCTTGTCTGGGGTGCCTACAAGTGGGTTCCTGTTGGTTTCGGTATCAAGAAGCTCCAGATCAACCTTGTCGTTGAGGACGAGAAGGTTTCTCTGGACGAGCTTCAGCAGCGGATTGAGGAGGATGAGGATCACGTCCAGTCCACCGATGTCGTAAGTTTCAGCCTTTGATCTGACGGCGAGACAATAGATGCTGACATTACCTCACAGGCCGCTATGCAGAAGCTGTAAATGAAATGCCCGTTATGAAGACCAACGGTGTGATGATGGAATATTTATGCGACTTGTAGTGTCATGAAACAACTAGAAGTCGACTGGAGCAGTCTCCAGTCGTTTTGATGAAAATCAAACTCAATGCACAAAATACCCACATTCGTTCGTCTCCTGCTGTAGCACAGAACCTGCCTGAAAACATGAATATAGGGGGAAGCCCATTGGACCCAGCCGTTCTTATTCCACTTCAGATAGGCATACTGTCAGGAGTTCTTCCGAATCCGAAGTTTCAGATGCCCCATACCAACCGCATTTTATATATCTAGGTAGTAAAGGCTCAAGCTGCCGATTGAAAAAGTAAATATCTTACACCTGGCTTCGCATCTCAATATGAAAACACTTCCAATACCATGAAATCGTCAACTCCCTTTTAACGCCGCTGTACAATCGTGGAATCATTGGTATCATCTTCATACGCCAAACAAGAACTGCGCTGCTGAACAAGAAACCGACGTTTCACTCGTCAAGATCACATTCTTCCACTCTTGAAAGGTTTAATCTTTATGGGCAGCGCAAATATCAACCGTTCCTGCTTCATCTCATTAGCAACGCCTGGTTTAGTTTTTATTTGCCGCTCTGAGCCATGCTTCGGGATATTATGTAAAACAGAAGAATAAGAGATACCCGCTTCAAACGTTGGAACTTTAGAAGATTTCTCTTGCCCGTTTGAATCTTCTCTATCTGGTTCAAGAATAGCTTCCTCAGTAGATTCACCAGAGATCTTTTTCGGGCGGCCTGAACGTTTGCCATCTTCCACATATTCCGGCAGAATACGGAAATCAACCGCTGGATTGTAGCCTCGCTCTCTAGCTTTCTTAACCCAATATTGGATGGTTTGACGCGAGAGACCAAGGCTAGCCTCAACCACCTTGATGTCAACACCAATGGTCATCATAGTTAAGGCTTGAACGCGTATGGTAATCGGATAAGGCAGCTTAGGCTTATGTTCCATTTTGGCGGTCTCAACAAAGGAGGCAGGCAGGCAGAGAGATATGGTGGATTGTAGGGGAAGGTTGCATCGAGCGCAGATTAAATCGAGGAGATCAAAAGCGGCTCTAAATTGCTTTTTCTTGGAGATAATGATAGATCGAGTCACAGAGGCTACGAGACAGTGTTTTGATACCAATAGGTGCCTTTGGTCTCCCTAATAATTCTGGTGGTACCTGTACTATGTATGCATGTCTTGCCAAGCTTAGGTACCAGCGGCCAAAGTCTTGAACCACACCATATTTTGTAGGTACCTAAATGCGTATCATGATCCTCCGGTCACCCGTACAAGCTAGTGCACAATTGGTCGATAACGTCGTAGCCCAGTAGGTAGGTTCCTTACATGGAAGCTGTTTAATCCACGGAGAGCTGCAAATCTACAGGCACTATCAGCATTTCACTCCTTAAACAGATTGCACGATTTGCATTGATTCACAGCCAACCTATCCATAATTCCACCCTTGTCGTGAGAAACCCGCCTAGCCGGCCACCATGGGCTTCATATCGCGAATACTCACACTCTTCGGGCTCGTTCTGCTCGCACATGCGTATGCCACATCTCTCGACCCGCAAACTACTCCAGAAGACTAACTAGCTGAATCTAAATCTACAGAGGCTACTCCGCCCACGAACACACAGTTCTATACAGTAACGTGCGCCTTTCCTCAGCCTCCACCGCGCTTCCCCACGATATCGTCATCGAGGCCTTGGTCTCCCTCGTCATCGTCTCCGCGGGCCTCGTGCTAGGCACAGAGAAACTCAAGCCGATTAGCTGGAGCGAATGGGCAGGGGAGATTGAGAGGGAAGGTGGCGCCAGGAATCCTTATCTGCGGCTGGAGGAGCGATACGGTTTCTGGGATATCAGGGTGAGTTGACGTTCCCTTTGGGTGTCAGTTTGACCTGGGCTAATTCAGTACTAGGCGAAGAGAAAGGAATTCGCGGAATGGGTTCGGGGGAATGATGCCTTGGCGGAAGCGAAATGAGGAGGATCAATATCTTGAGATGAGGTTATGTTATGGTACATTGATAGATCGCCTCGATTATAACTGATGAGGGGCATCTGCCTCAGCATCATGAATTCTTTCTGCACTATCTTTATGATTTTGAACATGCTCGATGGTCCGGTCCTAGTATCTCCGCGATATGCTTCAGAAGGCATTCCAAGAACTGGTCATGAATTACGGATTTGGCGATTGCCTAGGAGCTACGAAAGCCATATCAATGAAGAGATGAAACGAGGTACAGGTCGTTACATGAAAGTACACGCCATGGCTTGCCTAGGTCTATGCAGTAGGCGAACGCTTCGCTTATGGGGCCATCAATGAAGGGCCAACGAACCACTATCTACCTGGCAAGAGAGAAGTAGACCGTGATAGTGAGTGGCGAGTCAGATCCATCTAACTTATAGTCACGCATAGCCATATGCTAGCGGCAAGCCGCTTGCAAAGGGAACTCGATTCGGTATCATCGTTTCGAGGACTAGTTTAAGGGTCATAAACAGGACATTTCGACGAGTTCTCCTTTCTATGGTAATGTTTCGTACAGATGTACCCGCCGCTCTGAGCAAAGTCCCGCACAGTGCTTGATTCACCCTCATGCTTGGAGTCGCCTTGACCCTCATATTCGCGCTGTGGCGGTACGGTAAAGAAGAACAATGGACTGCCGAGGAATCTGACAATGTGGCCTTATCCCGGACAACGCTCTTGCGAGACAACCAGCTCATTCTCCATCCGGACCTCGGCGGCTCGACCATCACCCCCATCAGCGGGCTTGGTATCTTCTTCGATAAATCTGGCAATTCTGCCACCACCCCAGCGATATTTCTCCATTCCATCCAGAAGTTTGGTGCCGCGCCGGAGGTGTCCTTGTTCTTCCACTTACGGCCCTTGTCAGTTCCAACCGTTGCGCCTAGCGAGAGGTACGCAGTCGTGCGCTGCCACTCATACGGTAATGGGCCAGGAAAGCAACCGATCCCGAACTGCTTCAGACTTATTGTTCGCCACGGCTACACAGACGAGGTCATCACCCCAGACCGGGGAATCCTGGCAGTCATATTTTTAGTGTTCCTGTAGTGAGAAGCCCAAGGCTAGTGCTTGATACTGCATCAATGTCAAAATTGGATAATGTTAGAGCTTACAGTGTATCGTCGGCAGAATTGCCACGCTCTGGATAAAGTCAGGGCTATTCTTCGAATTTCAATATATGACTCTGCGATATGTTCCTCTAGTGCTGTATATTGCAGTCTTCACTGGGTTTAAAAAGCCTATAATTCGATTTGGATAGACCTCATTAGAGACCTACACTCAACGACAAAACGGCTTCTAGCCATAAGATTGCCGGCTACCTATACTCAGAGGGACGGCCGCATCCTTAGGAGTCCCATTCAGCGCCGGCCACTGAAATAAGGCCGCTGCACCGATGAAAGAAGAACACCACAGCACAGAATTACTGCGTCTAGATAAAGGAGATGGGCACAGGAAACATTGAAACTCATATTTATGGCCACCTAGTGGTCACAGACCTTGGACTTATATTTTGTCCAACGCCAAGGGAAATGACCTCTGAAATTCGCAGAGGCGAGTGGTACCTTCAGCTGTCGACTCATCACTGTAATAACTAATGCATGCTGCACTGCTACCCATGCAACATAGCCTTTATCCCTGCGCAGGATGTGGAGGGGGTCTTAGCCTCGATAATAGTAGCAATCATCCTTGGAGGCATTGAGCTCCAAATGAGAGGGGGTACAGAATTGGCCATATAATTCCTATTAATCCTTGCAGAGATCAGTTAATCGTGATGGTATCTGCAGTGGAACACTGAATAACTCACCTCTGGTGTCTTCGTTAAGCTGGTTAGCCTATATGCGTTGACGAGATGCAAGTTCTTTCAAAATTCTGGTAGTCGTCGTCCTTGCTCGGACGTTCCAATCCATGTCTTTTTCCACTTTCCTCCTCATCATCCAAGTAGTATAGATCACGAAGGATTGTAAGCTTCGTCATCATTTCTTGCGAAACACGCCCTATCCGAGGCCTTCAAGAGCACTAATTGCCCTACGAATAGTGGCGAATGGGGCACCGTGCCATTGTTTTGCGCCTGAATTTGTTCCCTGAATCGGATATCGTACAGATATACCCTAGTATACTGGCACCCTTGGGAGACATCCGTTACCTTGCCCTGATTCAATTGATATAGGGCGTATCCTTGTGCCATTGGCACCCTTATCTTGGTGGTATTGCCTTGGCACCGCTCTTTTAACATTGGATTCTGTCTCTTAGTTCAAACCGGATAAAGAAGTCCAGGTCACTGGACAGGAAAAAACAATGGGTCCAGTCCATGGCAATTAAGTCAGAACCCGCTGATTCAATGTTTTTGACTGCTGCCACCATTTTGAGTGAAAAATGGGCAGCAAGGTTCAGCATCGGCGCAGGCAAACTATGGAGTTTCAATCCGTATTCTAAGATCCTTCAAGGTAGGCCAGACCTCCACTTCTGATGTTGAGCTACACTAGTCAGCAAAGATCAACACGAGAGGGTAAATGGACTCACCCGTCAACCTGAGAATCCCAGTTGGAGGTCACGCTTCTAGAATTGACCGAATCCCTTTCCAAATCTAGATATCATGACCCCCGTCGGTTACCGTTGTGCATAAAGCATCAGTGAATGTAGGCGTGAATCTGATGCGATTAACCACACACTCAGTAGAAGAGGCTCTGCTCCCACGGTCCCACCACAGAGATCAGTTCTTGTATTAGCAGGACAAGATAAACATTCATGTCATCTGATCAGCTGGTGTATGACACAATTTCGGACCTCTTTTGATGCGAGAAAAAAGATCGAATTGCGTGGATAAATGTGCCAAGGGCCTCTCATTTAGCCCCGTGGAGTCATCCGAGCTTGACTCTTAGTCGTATGTACTCGTCTCTGTCGGTGGGCGCCGACAGCTTGAGAGAATACTTCGACCCACGGTTTCCCCAAACGCAGTTGGCAATGCCTTCCTTTGTAGCTAGGCGCCAGGACGCAAGATTCCTAAGTTGTTGTCTCATCGGCCGTATCAAGCGGTTTCTATTTCCCGAGGACGTCGTCATCTGCTTAGAGAGACCACCTTCATCCCAGTTTGCATGACCTTTTTATCCCAATTTCGTTCAAACGGGCTGCGATGAATACCTGCTCGGCAGGCTACACTGTCCGCACGATAGATTTTTCATTGTGCAGGAACACCTGATCACGGATGAAGGGCCACATGTTCCGCATTTTGGCGGGCCACGAAGAAACTCGAGGAGATTTATTGCTCAGGTTCGGGATCAGAGCACTGACAAAGATAAATCATGGCATCTGTCATTGTTGTTCGGCCGACAAGTTGGAGGGATGCTGTCCAACAGCCACGAACTCGTCCGCTCGTAGGCCCAACTTCGATCTCATGTTCACGTTCGGACCCGATTTCACCAGCGCCGGTCGAATAACTCCAGCTTGGTCCCACCAAGTGCGCACATCAGCTAAGTTGACTGCAAGACCCCTTTCAAGTCCCCACCTTCTGTCGTGCGGGCGCGCCACCACTAGGTACATTGTATGTGCCTTATGAGCTGCCTCACCCCGGTGGAACTGCTCATCGGGATGTCCACGAATCTCCAGACGGTCTACCTTCATTGGACTCGTGATATACCGCGCCGGTGTTGGGAATGGCGTCAGTCGCCACTCTTCGTCATTGCCTAATACTGAAGCAATAGGTACGCCGTTAAGTCCAGACGAAGAGCCCGCTGACAAACAGAAAACTGCATAGCGCCCAGCCATCCATCACCTGTTCCCTGGTCGAGAGGCGCGCGGAAATCGCAGACTGCCGCTTCCTTGCTGGCAATGTCCTCCAAGGACATCTAGTTGTCTCCGTCAGCACCCCATTTCCGGTGCTCGAATAACCCACTCGCCTTCAGAACTCCGGTGGTATCAAAGTGTCCAGACTTTTCATCGTGCAGGAACACCTGATCATGGATGATGGACAACATGCTCCGCAATTTGGGTGAGCCATGAAGAAGAAACTCCGAGGAGATCCATTGCTCAGGTTCGGGCATCAGAGCACTGACAAAGATAAACCATGGCAACTGGGTGTATTGTGAGACTTGGTGACTTGTCACGAGAGTGCAAAGTCCAGAAAATGCAACTGGAAAGCCACCTGCCGCACAAGAAGAACGGCGAGAGATAATGGGACGTCAGCTGGGGGTGGTATAGGGCAATATACCAGCAACGCAACGTGGACAATAGCGTATCCATCGTATAATGCCTGCTGGACATACCGAAGGGAGCGGATGCCACGTTGACGCTCTGATATACGAGCCCTTGCTCCTCTCTTGGCATCAGTAGCCGATACTAAGCCCTACATTCAATGCCGAGGCCGGTATCCGTCCTCTTGGGGGAGCAATGTTCCAGGTCGCCTGCGACCTATGGACTTGGGGGATAGAGCTCTAAAGCTGTAACGGGCCAGGGTACCCTGGTTCGATATCTCGACTTAAAAGCAGTCGGCGCAGGAGAGGAAAAGACTAGCCTGCGATGAAGTTCTGATGGATCTATTGGAGCAGGAGACGCCTTCTCCTTCAGCGTATACTCCTCTCGCTCTGTGTAGTCTGAGTGATTGACACCGACGTCTATGAATTGCCGGCCCTTGGCCATATTGCCCCAGAAATTCAAAAACCGGATCTGGCTCTTGAGGATCAGGTGGTGGTGTCTCTTCCCGAGGAGATCCTCATGAATTTTTGCTTGTCAGCAAGATTGGCATATATATCTAGGAGTAAATTTAGGTTAGTGTCGTTCCATTATCGCCCCAGGAGTTAGAGACGAACGTTTGACATACCACTGTCCTGTCTGCGAAGATTTCTCAAAGTCCAGCACTGGTTTTGCCCAGCACTCCAGAATATACGACCACCGGTCAAGCCCTCATTTTTAGGTCCATGGCCACTAATAGTCTCTGTACAGCCTAACTGCACTGATGAAGAATCGAAGAGCAGCCGTTCACGCCACATATCCAGGATCTCCAGGCATAAGCCCGAGGGATTTCGCAGAGTGAAGGATGGCGGTTAGCAAGATCAGGTAAAGCAGTGAGTAGGAGAAGAAGCAGTCTCCGATATCTAGCTGATTCCATTATATTAGGCAGTAAGAGTCATGAGTTGATGTATATTCACTACTCTCTGCTGGTCGATCTAAAGTGAATGACATTTTACTCACAGGGATAACATTATTTCTGCTCTGTCTGTGTGAAGGTCTTACAGAATTATTAATAGTTAACAAGCCTTCTTATCATTATCATAGTTCAGCTAAGTAAAAGTCAGAGGAAAGACTTGCTTCCACGTAATCTCCCTATATCTATATATAATAATAGGATAATGAACGAGAGACCACTCGAGGATAATGTCTCTTTCTACATGCTAGCACTCGACTGTCTATCCTATGTTTACCTCACTGGGTCAGGATACCATAAGTGGAAGTAGTAGTGCATGAGCCTCGCAAGTAAAACACTCGAACTGACCTGTTGACTAATAATTTCGTCTTCGTAAGTAAGGTCATGCAGAGGTCATCCAAAACTGAAGTCCCTGGTTCTTTCAACAGCCTTCTGAATAGCCCCTGCACATGGACCTTCCAATGTTTGCGAGATGGGCTGTTTTGCTCCGAATCTGCACAATTGGACTAGAGTTTCCAAGACGGACTGTTTACGGCGAATCTGGATGATTTCAGATGAAGACGCTGGGTAACGAAGCCTGCTGAAGCTGCAATAGCCACGAGATCCGTACTACTGGTTCAAGTGACTCATCGGAACTGGTAAATAAACAACCCGTGTCCTGGGCCGTATGAATAGGTTCCGCAATGACATTGGACCATTTCGATTGCGGTCGAGTACATGAGCAGGACTTCAACATCATTTCAACATACTTTGAACCACGCGGGGGCGCACATGGGATGGCCACAGTCCACAATCCAGAGGACGTGGTTCCAGGCCATCGAAGCGTGTCGAAACATGGCCAATGGAGTGGCCAGAGTCCAGACCTTGCACACCAAGAAAGGGATGAAGGAAAATATCCCGTCGTCACTGTTGCAGACAAACAAAGGCTGAAACCTGCTGTCCGGCAAGAATGTTCCAGATTAGGCGATGAGCAGAATCTAGCCCCACAGCTGGAAATGATAACTTTTGAATTATTCTGTGATAATTTGTCCTCGATTTTATGCCGTCTTAATTTGAACTAATTACCATAGAATGTTTGATCATTGTGATGATCGAATTTTCGTCTGTCTACGGACTACATGGAGTAATTTCGTTTGTCTATGGTGGGGTGACAGTAACTTACCCCAGAAATAGATGTTGGGCTAGACTACGGAGTAGTCTCACCCACAAACGCACAGCAGACGGCTAGTTTTACTGTCATACCACTCTGCGACAGCTATAAAGGGACTGTAGATGTAATATCTCCTGACTTGACTGAAGATTTCTTCCATTGACTTGAGATCTCAAGGTTCGGGCTGAAGGGTCAATCATAAATGAACAAGGGCTGTGACTGTGACATAAAAAGTCGGGAAGTGGCTCCGTCCTTTTACTTCCCTTGCATCAGGTAATTATTGTGTCACTGTATTTTAGTTGTCCAAGGGGATGTCCAAATCAACCTTAGTTGTTAATTGATTGAAGTTACCCTTGGATGTGGAAGCTGCTCCAGCTGATCTATAGAAGACAAGAACACCATGACCAACAGCAAAGGACTGAGACTCCGAGAGTTACTCTTTTTCTGTAGCTGCAAATAGCTATAGAAACTAATTTGTCTGCTATTAAATCTAATTCGATGTTCATACATACGCAGACTCCACCTGGGCATAATGTTGCCAAGCCGATGCAGGCATACGTACTCTGTACACGCACACCCACACATGAAGATTCTTCAGTACCTTCTCTTGTGTGATAAAAGGGTTATCCGCACTTCTGCTTAGAGAAATCCATAGACTGCAATCTGTCTAAGCATCTGATGCCATTTGCATAGCATCTGACGGCGATGTCAGCAGGTGGCTAGACCGCGTATACTCATTCGTGGACTATGGCCACGAGTCTCACCACAGAACTCATGAGTATCTTCATGTGCGCAGTAACTTAACAATAATAGGTACTGTTAGTCAGCTCATGTCGCACAGTTGCGCATCTCACCACTGCAGAGTTCACTCAGCCGATTGTGGCGTCGGTTGAGGGCGTATGCACAGTATGCGGCGGAGAGCCATTTTTGTTACTATTCTTGTTCGGTTTTCCGTCCCTCGGCTGCGGACAACTGCATCAACAAACAACAATTCCATGATATGAGGAAGTAAGAATTGTGCCTGATTTAGCCGAGTGTACTGCAGAGACAGGACTCGGTGTGAGGTAGATCTTGTCTTGATGGTGCTGTCGATCAAATAATATTGAGATCGGAACACAAATCACAAATTGAGGTAGATAGATAATTAGATGACAATGTGATAAATATTCGAGCAAGGGACAAACCAAGACAATGAGGAAATAATAAACCACGATGAATGAATCAGAATCAGACAGTTTGAGTTAACAAAGACCTGTCTCATTCAGGGATCTGCAGCGTTGCAGTCTTATTGGTTGATGGGCGCCAGCAGAGCCAAAGATAGCAGCAGCATACGCAATCCTTTACAGCCACTCCGTCCTTTTTTCATCCCATCAAAGTCTTGACCACGGGGACTCAGCTCTTATTCGGAGCTACGTATGTCGCAATGCAGGGCTTAGTCTAGGCTCTCGAGCTTAGGTGGTGTCTCTCCTTCCCGCGCCCTACGGGCCTACTGACTGGTCAAGAAGAATGCCAGAAGCGGATCGAGACCGGTGGCCCTCCTAGTCTGGTGGGTCCTATCGACCCTGTAGCCATTAATATTACTATGAGTCTGTGTGTGAATCTCAGACAGGGCTGATGGCCGATGGCGACTGACTGTGGCTAATTGTTTCTATTGTTTTGGCTTGCCTGGCAGCCTGGTCTGATGTGTCTATTTAAATGATCCTGCGCACCTGAGGTACCTGTAGTCCTTGGTCTGTACCTGTAACTCAAGTTCTCATCAATTACGCTCGTTACCCGCACACAAATCTACCAGCTACCTTAACAATCTTCGATCAAGTACGCTCGCTTCGGGTCATCTATCCAACAAACTCTACAAGATGCGTTCTTCTATCGTTCTCCTTGCCCTGTCGGCCCTTGCCGCCGCTCAGTCTTCTGGCTCTGTGGTATGTGACGCTCTCTTCCCATTCAAGCTTGCGCTTTAGACCATACTAACATCATACAGGAAGCTCAAACCACAGGTGTCACTGTCGTCGGTCCTGAGGTTAGCGCTACCGCTGCTACCACTGCCACCACCAGCTCCACCACCTCGCAGCCCGTGATCCCAACTGCTCCTACTGTCATTGGATCCAGCGGCCTCCCCTCTTCCTTCTCCACCGTCCCTTCTAGCAGCGGCGTCAAGGGCTCTACTAAAACCGGCTCGACTGCAACTGCCACCGAGACCACAACCGAGTCCACCTCTACCACCAGGTCCAGCGCCTCCTCTACCAGGTCCAGCTCCAGCAGCTCGACCTCCAACGCTGCCATGCCCATGGCGACCGGCTCTCTCGGCCTGTCCGTCATGGCTGGTGCCGCACTGGCTGCCTTCCTGTAAACAGTTCTACCGCTGGTCCGCTGCTTTTTGCTGAATACCCTCTCCTTTCTCGCGCGAGTCCGATCCTAGGGGCCAGTCGTTAAATAGAGCAATATATCTTTTATGAAACGCAAATGGGCACGTTTATTCTTTACGTGGTTAAGTCGATGGGATTGTCATCATGGATTGCTTTTTACCGCTTCTTGTCAAAATGCATCATGCGGCGCACATAAAGATTATCTTCTAGTTGAACTAATATTAATATTTTGATCTTGACGCGAATCCTGAAGATTCACTAAGTCAGGCATGTAAACTAAATCTGACTTACTAGACAAACGCACATAATACAGGATCTGAATCGCACAGCGATAGGTGGTAACATTACCGAATCATGATTCGCCCAAGGCAGCCCGACCCTAGTACTTCCATCTATTAAACAACTGCTAGACCAGGAAATGTATACAGTACTTTAGTATTCTTGTTTATGTCATAGTAACTTAAATCCCCGTCCCTGGAACTAGGGTGTTTTTATTGAGCTCATTGACCAATTCTGAAGTTCTACCATAAGGTTAGGACGTTCTGTAATTACCAGACAAGACTTATCATTGACTATCATCCAGTATTCGACTCATAGTCGACTTGCTGTCGGAAGAATCTCCAATTGCCTCTCCCATCCCAGGTCCATGTTCCTCCGATTACGGTCACCGTCAGTGTCTGGTGCCGACAACGTTTTCTTCGTTTGTTCCCATGCCATGCCCTCTAGGAGAGTCTTTGAAAACTGGTATAATAGCACTTTATGGTTTCGCTTTGCTGGCTTCCGTTACACTGGACCATATCCCATCCTTGAGCTATAGATTCCAGGAACACTCAGGCCCAGTAGCAACTGTCACGTCCTTCTTCCAGAGGTAGACGATTGAGAGATTTGCCATACGAACGTCGCAGAGTGGTCTTGAGCTCTATTTCCTTGATGTCCTCTGTATTGATGACAAGGCCTTCTCGGCCCGTGCAATTGTAGGGACTGACCCGTCCAAAGGACAGTCGGGCCCGCCCTTTGTTACACCGTGCCCCGTTTGTCTAGGTGCTAATAAGCTATCCCTTCAGTGGTTTGCAGGGGAGCTGTAAAGTATGTAGTATTCGCTAAAGTGATGTAATAGAGCTTTGCTCCCCTGTGAATATGAACAGTAGGGCTTTGAGGAGGCTGATTAGGATGAATCTCACCCCTCGAACTGAAGTCAAGTGGCTGATTCTTACATTTATCAACTTGAGTTATGTCCTGTGTCACGATGTTAAATACCTGGACATCAGAAAGTCTCGTATATGGGGGTGGTTCGGGTGTGTCCTGCATAAGTGCTTTAATGATTTTCCAGTCAGGTTTATTGTTTGAGTCTTCCTGCGCCGTCTGCGTATATCCAGGGAGTAAGGTAGGTTCTAGTTTTGCAACGATTATGACGACAAGCACTAACCAGTTGAACTTAGGGACTGGGCCTATATCAAGGTCGCCGAGGGTATTGGCACGGGGTATGCTCTGGCCCAATCCTCAAAGGGCCAGCTTGTTATGGTATGGGGAAGATCGTTATTCACTCCTATTGCTTTCGTTGATAAGTGACATACCACGTGATCGTTTGTTGGAACATACAACAATTCCCGGAATACTCCGTACAAAAGAAAAAACAGAAAAAAAAAATGCCTCGAGCATCAAAGAAAGCATCAGTCAGCTAGAAAACCGCAGGGTGTGTCTCATTGGTTGCCTTGAAACCCATAAGCAATTGCAGCAAATGCTTCCTTGCTTTGCCAGCGAGCTTCCATTCACCCAGACTCTGATCCGACATTGTAGTTTGTTCCGCCTTCCGCCTCCAAAAGGTCGAAATAGGTGTTCTCCAACCACCGAAGGGCCTTTCTAGCCTGGTCGCTGAACATGGCGTTGTTGTCATACCTGGTTGTCTTTGCAAGAGTACGCTGCAAAGTGATCGCTGGTTTACCCCAGGGGTATGTCTTTGTATCATCGTCGACCTTGTTTTGCCCCTGTCGAACAAGGACCGTTTCGCATCAAACGCAGGGTCGACGGCAGACCGGCATACGAACTCGAGCTACCGCCGTCCTGGTGGATGCACCCAGTGATATCGGTAATCCACACCTTGAAGCAGGCATACCTCGACGAGGTTCACAGTCCAGGTCTAACTGACCTGCCGAGAAACATCAGTTTTGAGTCAGCCAGTCGTATTTAAGTTACTGGCTACCCGGTGGTACGCCTTGGCGAATCAGGAAGATACTGGCTAACAGCGACGACACGATGGCAATTAACAAGATGATTTCCCGCCTCGCGTTGCTGGAGCCGAGGCATTCCACTTTGATCGAGTAGACCCCAATTTGGCAAAGAGATTCGAAAGAAGGCTAGATGAGAATCTCCTGATTGCCTGCTTTGAAAGACGGTAAGCTGTTTTCTAGCACTACCCAGATGACCCAGCAGCACACCTCACAGATCATTCCGCCAGACCTGTAGCATTGGGGATAGCTGCTCCTTTTGACCTTCTGTGAAGATGAGGTTGGCCCATGTGGACCATTAATCATTGAGGCCTGGTCCTGCCATGGTTGTGGCTAAGGAATCATGAGCTAGTGGATCTTCACATGACAAGCTTTGAGCAGTGCTGCGTGGATATTCCAGCCCGGAAGATTTTGGTGATGCTGGAGAATCCAAGATCCGTGAAAGTAACTCGGTGGTTTTTTTTTTTTTTGGCATTTCCAGACGATTCCGGATTCGCGTGCCTCTCATCCCCCTCCTTCCTTCGATGTCGATAAGGCCAAAGGACCCAAAGGACTGGATCATTAGAGAGGGACGATGGCTTCTCCAGGCGAACACTCGACGGAGTCCCCTTCTTCGACGCAAACGTAGGAGGATTGAAAATTTTCCCAGACCGGGTACTCCGAATCGACGAATCACCAGAAATGACGACTTCAGGAACCTTCTGCTTGACGGGGGTAACTTTTGCGGAACAAGGGGCCTTCAAAGTTGATGTTGGGATGGGATCGGACTCCTCAAGAGGCCAGTCTTTGACCACCAAGCTATCATCATCAAGTGTACGAAGTCTGCCTTGCTTAAGGAAGAACCTCCACCAGTTAGAAAAGAATGAAATAAAAATAAAAAGAGGAACAGGGATAGTACAAATCCAGGTCTGATTGATTTCTAACCACCATTTCGCCCAAGGTAAAATGAGCACTCTGCAGCCTTTCCATGCCATAAACAGTTGGCGCAGGAGCCAGCGAAAAGAGAACGCTTTCTTCCAGTCTGGTCAGTCGTCACATCTGGCGCTGCGACGCACAAACCAAAAACCCCTCGCCCACTTTCACAGAGAGTACATATTCGACCTGTACTGTGTAAAAGACGACGATACTAGGCTAACCGACCAATCTGAGCTTCAAAGTCTAATACACAGGGACGTCTGACCGTTTGTCTTCCTCCTTTTTGTCCTTTGGCTTATCTTCTGGTTCTTGTGTTGGTATCGGCAGTGTGAAGTTCGTAAGTCTCCTTAATGAGCGTTTTACCACCTGATTATTGTTGTTCAAGTGGTTTGCATAGAAGGTAAGAAATCGGCAGTTTGCTTTAGAAATCTTTGTACAGCCGCAGAAAGCGTGGCTCGGACGTCAGAGCAGAACAAATAAATCACGGCTGCCTTTTGTCTGGCTCGTGTCAACTCCTTTTGCATGGCATTATTCCGGTTGTTTCTTGCCCGAAACTCTGCAGTGGGATTTGCACGCAAAGCTTGCTGACAGTGGTACTGGTATAACCGATCTTTCTCTGGTGTCTGCTGCAATCTGGACGAGTTGTTCTGGTGTATAGTCGTTGTTATCCCGGATTCCCTCCATAGGGTTATGAGAACATAGCCCACCCCATTCAAAGGATGATGGCGACCACAGGCACTCAGGAAATCCGTACATTTTCTCCTTAGAGCGCATTGACCAGAACATGCAGGAAAAGCACGCCTCGAGGGGAAGGACAAATCTCTGAAACTTGGTAAAGTTCTGAAGGTGGAGGGAATAGGTAGATGTGCCAGTACAGAAGTATGAGTCATGGCTATAATCTCAGGTACAGAAATGGTAAAATAGAAGGAAGATGAGCGCTTGACCGGCCTTGCGCATGAGTTTCTTGTCTTTTGCATCGCCAGTTTGTCCTCGTATTAGCTATTAGCTTGAATAGCTGTCTATGTCGTGAGTTTCCTCGCTCGGCATGTCATCGAAGACCATGGAGTGTCTTTCTCATATGCTGAACTAGCTTGTTCATTATGAGATGGGTCTTGTGGTGGGACTCAGGAGAGGGAGGAGGGAGATGGGAAAGGTCTACACAAAAGGCAAGTAAAGCTGAAGGGCCATTATTCACTGCATACTTGAGAGTGAATACACTTAACATGTTTTTGTCATGAAGTTTGGTTAAATTAGAGAACCAGTGAATGTCAGGTATAATCTATGTGGATAGGTTCTACAATGAATATTAGAAAGAGTATGGATGTGGCCCTGTCAATGTATGCAGGGAGTGAAACAAGTAAATGTTGAGTTTGTATCCTCAACTATCTGGTATCCTCTGCCCTGTTACATTTGACTCTACAGGACTTTTGAGATTAATATACCACATTGTATAGAGTCATAGATAGAGTAAGTAGTAATGCTAAAAATGAAGCAGCATTGATCCTGATCAAAAGAGCCCCTCAGCTTCACCTAGGGAAATGACATGGATTAAACTAGTTGTGCATCTCCTCAAATTATCTGTCCCTGTATATAAGTAGTTCCATAGCCTGTGCAACTACGGAGTGCTGTAGTATCTTTAGACAAGATATTATGGGCTAGATCTGAAAGATTTGAGATTTCTCTTTTACCATGTATAAAAGCATTGATCGTCAATCTTCCATCACTCATCTCGTACGTAGATCAACCGAGATGTCCTCCCAAGCTCTCTTGGCAAGTCATGCGTGGGTTACTGATGTTATTGTTCAGAAGTCTATCGCAGTAAAATGTTAACTAGGTGGATTAAGGTGTTACCTAGTATCCAGGGATATAGATAATGTTGTTGCCTTCAGGTAGTCCGTACCTGATAGGACCCAAGGAACAAGGTTGCTAAGCCTCCTTCCCCCAGCTAAGTTAACGGCTCTCCACTCTCCACTGTACAGGTGCTGGTGGGTTTAAGAACGGTTCGTCATTGGAGGCTGGACCGCTGGAGCACAGAGATAAACTGGACGTACTCCACATATATTACTTCTTTGTTTGAAGAGGTAGAATAATAGACCACCCCGAAGAACAATGGACGAGTCATGCTTTGGAGCTACCAGGGGTCGCCAGTGCCGTCAAATACTGACGGGGTGAGTGCTCCCCTATTTTCTCTCTCGTCGCAACCAGAGGAAGGAAACTGGTAGGTCGCAGTCTCCATCAATTCCTCATCGTTTGGAAAGATCTCCTAATCGGGTCGACTGCAGTGCTGGCTACGGATCCTCAATAGTCTCACCCGCAACATCCTCATCGCTGAATTTGATTTCCCGGACCATGGGCACACCGGCCATGGCTGCTACAAACAAAAAGGAGTCTGATACTCCTGGCTGGCTACACCGACATGGCACGAGTGTGCTAGGCACAGTGGCTAGACAGGCGTGTAAGCAACCGATCTACACCTTGGTCATTACCGCTCTACTAGCCACCATGACATACACGAGTCTTCTGGAAAGGAGTTTACACCATGCCAATCTGACGCGGCCTTCGGAGAGTTACCTCAACCAGCTTGATGTTACAGACTTTCTTCAGGGGAGCCGTAGTCTTCGTCTCGGAGAGGCGACCGCCTGGCGATGGGAAACTGAGGATGAGCCGATGAGCGACCAAGAGGTGAGACTTCTTTTCTTTTCCGACCCTATGAGCAATCTACTGAATTCATCTTTCTGTCAAGCTAGGTTGCATCCCATTTGGCTTTGATTACGCTCGTGTTTCCCACTGCTGAAAACAACCCAGAACTTTCTGCCGTCCAGGAGAGTGTTATTTCTGACTTGACCGCTGCACAACCCGTCTCTCGAACACCCAGTGTCTTATCCTCTATCTTGAGCGAAACTTCAATCGCTCTTTCTGTGCCTTATAATTACCTGGAGGAGGTTTTGCGCAGAACTCAGAACCTCCCGAAGTCGCAGGGGGAGCACTCGTGGCAAATACGGACATTGAAAAACGCTGGAAAAGGCAATTCTGGTCCGAAGCTCAGGCTCTGGCTGATAGACTTCTTGGCCTCCTTTGTCGATTTAATCAAGGTATGCCTGCTTCTCATCCGCCTAGAATTGACATGTTGTCGGTTCATCCGCCTGCTAACAATGTCAGAATGCGCAAATTGTCGATATCATTATCATGTTGTTGGCATACCTGGCGATGTACCTCACTTTCCTGTCACTCTTCATGTCAATGCGCCGACTCGGGTCCCGTTTCTGGTTGGCCTCTTCGGTGCTGCTCTCTGGTTTCTTCTCCTTCTCTTCGGGCTAAAGGTCACTGTTAGCAGTGGTGTACCTACCTCCATGATCATTCTTTCCGAATGCCTGCCAGTTCTGGTAGTCATTGTGGGATTTGAGAAACCCATCCGTTTAACGAGAGCCGTACTGCATGCTGCGACCGAGGCCCACATTCCTGCAGTACCAATGGCCCGGCGGTCCATACTCGAAGCCATTGAGGTGGCCATTAAGCGCGAGGGATGGCGTATCGTGCGTGACTACACTATTGAAATTGCTATCCTGGCGGCAGGCGCAGCCTCGAGGGTACAAGGAGCTCTGCCTCAGTTCTGCTTTCTTGCGGCGTGGATCCTCCTCTTTGACAGCTTGCTTCTATTTACCGTCTACGCCAGTGTGCTCTGTGTGAAACTGGAAGTCACGCGCATTAGGAAGCATGTCAAGCCGCATAGGACTCTGGAAGACGATGGCATGGCCACTGGTAACCAGGAATTTAACTCCCGTATCTTTGGCTGCAAGGTCAAGGCTGCTAATGTATCTCGGTGCAAATTTCTCATGGTTGGCGGCTTCGTGCTTTTCAATGTGCTCCAGCTGTCGTCCCTGGCTTACGGCAACGTCAGGGTTCTTGACTGGGTGCCGTACCTGTCGAGACCTTCCAACATCCTGATGCCTGCCCCAATCAACCCTTACCGAGTCGCCCGCAATGGTCTGGACGATATTTTTGTGGTTGCCCGTGCGAGTAACATTGAAACGCGCGTTACAGTGCTGCCGCCGATCAAATACGTCCTGCAGTCGCAGACTGAGCCTTGTGGGGATAATTTTGCTGGCCCGCTCTGCGATACACTACGCGGCCGTACTCTTGGGGGCGTGCTGGCATGGCTAGAAGATCCAGGAATCAGCAAATGGGTAATTGCTTCGCTGTTCCTAAGCCTGGTACTGAACAGTTATTTAATGAAGGCAGCTCGCTTGAATTTACGCGAGCGCGAGGTGGTCCCAGACAGCTCTTCTGCAACCGTGAGCCAGTCAAAAGGCTCTTCCAATGAGTCTGAAAAGACCATGTCAGGGCCTAGCGAGCTGACAGACACGCGAAAAAGCGAACAAGTGGATGCCATGCCACAAGAAGGACGAGAATCGCTATTGGAAGATGAAGAGATAGTCAATCTATGCCTCCGCGGCAAAATTCCCGGTCATGCCCTGGAGAAAATAATGGAACGCCATCCGAGGATGAGCCGCTTGGAAGCCTTTACCCGAGCTGTCAAGATCCGCCGCGCAGTGGTGTCTCGTACACCGTCCACTCTTGATGTGGCAAGTGACCTAGAGTATTCAAAAGCTCCCTTTGAAAACTACGACTATACCCTAGTCCATGGGGCCTGCTGTGAGAATGTCATTGGGTATCTGCCATTGCCAGTCGGTGTGGCTGGACCCCTGGTAATAGACGGTCAGAACTATTTCATTCCAATGGCAACTACCGAGGGAGTACTAGTAGCCAGCGCGAGTCGGGGCTGCAAAGCAATTAATGCTGGGGGCGGTGCTGTGACCGTCATCAATGCTGACGGCATGACCCGAGGGCCATGCCTTGCATTCTCATCCCTATCTCGCGCAGCAGAAGCCAAGCAATGGATTGATTCAGACGAGGGAAAGAAGATACTGACCACGGCATTCAACTCTACCAGTCGATTTGCCCACCTGCAGGGCTTGAAATCAGCGCAGGCTGGCACCTACCTTTATGTCCGCTTCAAATCGACGACTGGGGACGCAATGGGGATGAACATGATTTCGAAAGGAGTCGAGAAGGCCCTTGAAGCCATGAAGGAGCATGGATTTTCAGACATGGCGATTATTTCAGTGACAGGCAACTACTGCGTCGACAAGAAATCAGCCGCGATCAACTGGATCGATGGACGGGGCAAGTCAGTTGTCGCTGAGGCTTTGATACCAGGGGATGTGGTGCGCTCCGTGCTCAAGACAGACGTGGATGCACTTGTTGAACTCAACACTGCTAAGAACCTGGTCGGCAGCGCCATGGCTGGCTCTATTGGCGGCTTCAATGCCCATGCATCCAACCTGGTCGCGGCAGTTTTTCTAGCCACGGGGCAAGACCCAGCGCAGAATGTCGAAAGTAGCAGCTGCATCACCATTATGAGGAAGTATGAGCCTCATTGCACTGCATCCTGGGTCCGACTAATTTGTTTATCTAGTGTCAACAAGAACCTGCACATCTCAGTATCAATGCCGTGCATTGAAGTTGGAACAATCGGCGGCGGAACCATCCTTGAACCGCAAGCCGCTATGCTCGATCTGCTGGGTGTTCGAGGTGCACATGCCACCAATCCTGGAGATAATGCTCGCCAGCTGGCCCGCATTGTCGCAGCCACCGTGCTGGCAGGCGAATTGAGCACGTGTGCTGCTTTGGCGGCGGGCCATTTAGTCAGTGCTCATATGGCACATAATCGCAGTAAAGCGGCGGCGAAGACTGGATGAGTACTTGCAAGATTGGGATGACAGGTATGTATTGTGACAAGAGCATTATGTGTTTCTGATGCTCATGAGCAGGTGAATACAGCCGTACGACATGGAAAACAGGTTTTCCCGTCTGCTCAGCTGTACATATTCTATATATTTGTCGTGTAATCTCATGGAGCCCTTCTATCTCTGGAGAAAAAGCGTCATATTTTCAGTATAAGTGCTGTTATAAAGCTATGTCATTTCAGCGGCCCGCTATATAATGAAAAGGTAATCTAGTGATATTCAAGGGTCTGCGTCCTTCGGGTAAGGAATGAGGTCTGAATTTATACACCTTTTATATTAATAGAGTTTATTTGAATGATCCTGAAAGGGAATCTGTAAGATACTCTAGGGTTAGGGTTAAGGAATCCTTAATTCTTTGTTCTTGGCGGGTCCAGGGTCTACTGGTCTACCTACTACATCACCCTGACCATAGATAAATCTCACTGCTCTCCCACCGATTAAGGAAATGTAAACATGACAATGACTGTCGGACTGGTTAATCTCTCGCAATGGCTTTGATACTTACAAGAGGAAGAATGATCATCGGGCAATATTGAGTGACGCTCAATCACGGTTCGCTCCGTCTTCCGTTGACAAAGTTCTTGCCGTTCAAAAACCTTTAAGAATTATTCTACAATGAGCGACTCTTCCGACCTGTTCAATTGTACTTTTGGAAGATGGATGTACGTTAGGCGCTTAAGTTCCATGCCTAGACTAATGGAACTTAAGTTACGAGACCTTTTCGCCTTGCGGAGCGACGACTAGTCTTCAATGTCGCCCAGCTGAATCACATTGCGGCTGCATCCATCGGTCGACCTGAGAAGGATGTAAATTGGATTTGAAAGCTAGCTGAGGGGGGATTCGACCGCGTGTTTGAAATTACTATGCGAGACGGTACTCCAAGTTGTGGCACGCCTTGCGTACCCCTCGACCGAACCCAGGATTTATGCGACAGTGAGTGAGGTGGCAACCAATGGATTTTGTGAGATTACATGGCGTTCCAGTACCCCGTATCCTCACGATAACCCTGTTGGTTCCGAATACATCATCTTGGAGAAAGCTGCCGGGAAACGAGCTTGGGGAGCTTTGGTATACCATGACAAAACGGCAGCGGTTGAAGATGATATTCGAGATTGTGAAGATCGAGGCACTGCTGTATACTCAAGGAACAAAGGACCAAGGGAATCAAGCACGACTATCTCTGAAAATAGTCCCTGAAATGGGACTCCCGATGATGAGGAATCGACGTCCCCAGAGAGCCCCAGAAGAAAGGCGTTCTTTGCTTCCCGCCCTTGAGCTCTTGTCTTTGGTTTTGTTCGTCGTAGTTCTCTCTCTCGGTCTAGAACTTGCCTGCTTCGGGCCCGACTCCGGCGCCTTTGGGCTCTCCGTTGTTTGGCTTCTTCAGTGAGACCAAAGAGACTTTTGAACCAGTCTAGCATGATGATCGGCTGTACGGTTTGTTCTGACTCTTTATATTTATTAGATGCATGGAAATATATAAAAAATAAGATTTGTGGATGAATGGTGGCTTACCGTTTGTGATTGAAAAAGAGCTGTGGAGAATCAGTAGCAGGGGATGCCGCAGCTTATAAGGGCTAAAGGGCAGCAGGGCCCCAGAGTGGCAGTGCCCGACTTTTGACTCAATACTAAATTTCATGTAATAATAATAAAAATTAGTGCAAGGTCTTCTGAGCTAATAAATAAATTATTCTAAAGCTTCAAGGCCTTGTTTCTCTTCACAACTTTTCTTTTGTTTTACTTTATTTTTTCGCTGATTCTCATATAAATGTTTTCTCATCCTTCACCCCAACTCAGGCTGAAGTGAAATCTGGCAACACTGCCATTTCTATGTCTCAGAGTCAACAGTTACTTCTCGTCGCCAGCCCGTGGATCTGCAAATTCCAACAAGGTAGCATTAAGCTTCCGGTACTGCCATTTTGGTGTAATCCAGAACATGAAACCCAGAACCCAGGTATATCCTATGATTTTCCTCACAATACCCGACCTGAGAAGCCCACGAACCTTGCCGTTCTCACTTCTCTTCATAGCGTTTTCTAGCCCTTTCCCGATCGACGACTCGATAGCGCCGGCGAGAAAATTGGCAATGAAGAAGAGCATATCGTCAATCGGGTAGCACGGCTCCCCTGATGCCCAATCCGCGACTACATGAAAAGCACCAGACACAAAGAACGCCCAGAAGGCGAGGAAGAACTTCTCATGCTGTGAGCCTGGCTGAAGGCTGGCTACACGTCGTGCGATCATCCTGCCGGAAGAAACACACGGCGCGACAGTCAGTCGGTGCCAGAATTTCGTCCAGAAGCGGCGAATGGTGTATGCCTGCAGCGGACTGCCGAATATGGGGTCCAGTCCTCGGGGTCATCCACTCGTAGGACGAGCGCGAGCACTGTGTTGCACAGCTCGAGCATCAGATATGCGATCCAGATCCAGTACACCGATACATAGGATCGGATCTGCATCTCGCGGGCTGTGAACGGCGGCTCGGGCTGGAGAGATAGCAGCCGCCGGATAAGGATTTGGCGCGAGGGCGCAAAATCTTCAGCACTGAAGGTGAAATGCATGGACAGCAACGGTCCGACAATGGACAGCTGGAGCAGCCAGCAGAGCACAGTCCAGGATAGGCGCCGAAGAGCGAACCACATCCTGCTGGTGGGGAAGCCAGTTTTCTCTCTGCGCTGGAAGGCTATCCGGCTGAGGTGACGCTGCGGGTCATTCCAGATCTTGTAGGCAGAGACCCAGAAAGACGCAGTCCTGGGGATGCTTAGCTGGTCAATGTATAAAACAGACACGGCATGGTGCATCCAGATGCAACTGAAGAGAGCCCACAGTACATTCATACCAGTAAGCCATGTTAAGTAGTGACTGGTCTGTAGGGACAACACGGCGCTGCCAAACAACAATGGTGCCACATAGAGCCGATCCTTGTATGGTAGATAGATTGCCCTGAAGAAAGCAGCACTTGAAAGGGCAAACAGTGCAGGGGGACAAGCGACTCGATGGGTGGCATCTCGACTCTTTCCTCTTCGTTTCTCGCTCGCTAAAATTCCTCAAGCGATATTTCGCATCACCGATGGCAAACCTGCAAATGACGACAGAGGCTTGGCTATATGCATCTTTCCTATACATTAAAGCGGCTACTTTTAACCTAACTCAACGTGTGCCACAGCAAATCCCTTACGTGAAACACAATTTACTTGAGGCATGGCCCATTACCCCGTCTTCGAACGAAACGGCACCCCAGGCCTATGCCGCTCCTCCTCCCCGACACTGACCCCACTATCTAACCAACACTCCGGGGTCAATTTCTAATGGCTCAGTTCCCTTCACGCCAGAGAAACCTTTGGAGTCAATGGCGAGCAGGGGTCTGAAAACTGTTGAGACAATCGCGAGTGGGTTCATAGTACCTCTCCTAGATTCAGACCACGAATATTCTCCGAAGAGATAGCGAAGTCTAGAGATACAAGAGCACTTTAAGAGAAGATGGAGGCTGGAGCCACTTACTTGCTCATGCCTGTTCCTCTCATGATAGTGGTTGTTATGGCGGAGCGAAGCGAAAGCATAGCTGCATGTCTTATTGCACAGTTGCACCATAAACCTTTTAGGTATCTTCCTGTCTTGGCGCTCAATATGATTGGTCCAAACCCTTTTGTAGCCTTCCGATTGGCTTAAATTTAACATCACGTGGTAACCGATGCCCTTGATCTGCCTTAGGTACCTTTGTAGCTCTCGACTCTCTTCCTGATTTGTATCATGTACTAGATAAACTTATAGAAGCTTTCCCTCTTAATGACCATTGGGGAATAGTATTCTAGATTTCTAGATTCTAATACATAGTATACAATAGGGCCAAGGCCCAAGGGGGACTGACTGACCTGGTACCTGTTGCTTTTCTCAGTTATTTCCCTCTCTAGCTAGCAGATATCTACTAGACCGCACAGGCTCCACGACATCTAATTAGAAATTAAAAGCAGTTTAGTAAATATCCGCTGCCTAGCATGCTGTTCGCTCCGTAGGGCGCAGGTCGCAACCTTTGGACCAGCTAGCCTAATAAGGCATCAACATTGCTTGGCCTGCCTATCTCCTGTCCGAAAGTCTGTTGGCACTAGCAGGTGTGGACCGGTGGATAATGAGGCTGGCGGGCGGCGGCGGGGGCCCGAATCCTTAGATCTGAAACGTGGACTTGGCTAACCAGTAATATCATGCCTTGGATGTTGGGTTACGTAGGTGGATAATGAGGCTTGCGCCTGCCGAGGGTCTAAATTGAACTACGTCCTGGGTCTAACCATTTTATATGTTTTAGTCGGGCGCTTCCCCAGGAGATAGCCCTGATGGTGTCTGTGTCAGGAGTGCAGCACCCATTAAAAACGCAGGAGCTTTCTCTGAGATTGGCCTATCACATCACAGACTGGTAATATAGTTCGAAGCATATGGCCCTATATCCCATCTATTTCCATATCCATATCCATATGAGTAGCCCGGCGCTGCTGGAGGTTCAATGAGCACATTTATGCTGTTCATATTCATACTATCGTTGGGAGCTAAGTAGATTGTTACCCTTCTGTCTTTACAATTATACTGCACAAGTCAAGCAGACTTGTTCTCTGGGGATCTTTGGACAACAGAATATCAATGGTTCATGCTTGGGATGCGATAGCACACGGTGCAGCTCCATGTCACAGATTTTACTCACTCCGAAAGTTACCGGCTGAAGTGCAACTATTGGTGATGGTCTAGGTTAAACCCCTGTTTGCACTAGTAGGATATCCTTGGGCCTTCTAGTGAGACTTGGACAAAAGCATGCCTCCATACTATAGATGACTCTAAAATGATAGTGTCACGTTCCATGGTGAATACTAGACATACATTCCTGACACTTCTCCCCGTCCTCTTTCCTCAATTGGTTAAAACCTATCCTGGTAAAGCTATCTATCCATAGTGGACAAGACATGATCTGATTTCAGCACGTTTCCAGGCACAAGAGACAGGAGGAACTATACACGGAGAAGACAATGGTTTGCTAATAATCTTGTTCTATAAGCTCGGGTAATTCCCGTGATGCCCCATAACCAACGACCATAACCAACGGCCATAGCATAGCGAATCGTATTTGCATACAATTAACTAAAAGACAAGCCCTGCAATAAGCAATCCAACAGGAATCCACGGGACATCCTTGACAAAAAGACCCAGCCACCCAACATAGGGCACATAGCCTCGAACCAATCCAACGACATTCTCCCGATACACGAACCTCTGTCCGGTCGGGTAAAGGCTAGAGTCGTCAGGGGCATTGTTATCGCCTTTGGTCAAGATGTGTTGCCTGGTCCTGTCAGTCAGTGCATGCCTTGTAACCCCGTCAGTTACAGCGCAAAAGTAAGGTAGGTACTTCAGATGTGCCGTGATGCCAATGTCGGCCGGACTGTGACTGTCCGCGAGACATCTGTCAACTGTATGCATTCCTCCCGCAAAAAATGATTGCAGAGTGAGAAAGACAGATGGTTAGCAGCTCTTCGTGTTGAGAATGTGGCGCCGGAGTGCATGGTTCTGGCCACTCTCTTTACCGAACAGGGAACTCCCATCCCTTGTGGCTCTGCTTGCCTTGACTATGTCAACTTGAGCGCGGCTGATAAGCAGAGGCTGATGGATATTGTGCACAATCTCCTTTGAGCTGAGGCAGAGAGGTACCACTCTAAGTCTCTAGCTGTTGATGTATAAAGTTATACGTCCTGAGCAGCCTATGACTCTGTGTTTTTGTTTTTGTTTTGTTTTGTTTTCTTTTTCTTAGCCATCGCCAACAACTGAACAGTTGACTATGAATATGACCTTCGTTTTAGAGTTTCTACCTACCTAGCTCTTCCTAGTTGACAAGTACTCAGTAGTATTATGACAACCAGGGGAATCAGGCAAGGAACGGAAGAAACAGAATGTTAGACCATACCAGGTGATCCCGAAGACTGTGGAGACAATGGAATAATTATATGGGTTTGTCATCGCCGGAAGGTTGGCAGTGCCACCCTTTGGTTGCTTCCTTACGGAGTACTGTATCAAACACTGGCCCATTGAAGCAAGTCCATGCTTCAAGAGGGTATCTCGGTCTAGCAGATATGGGTTATAGTATATTCTATTCCTTATTAGACAATTGCGCATCACTATCAACTAGCTAGCTGCTTCGCGTGTCAAAGGATGTAGTTCTGATAAGTCGGGGATGCTTCCACTAACATTGGGTGACTGGGTCAACCTTAAGCTTGGCACCTAGCCGCCAGCGCCTCAGCCGGGTAGCCCGTACTCCGTAGTGGGGGCTGTGGGTATTAATTACCGACTGGTGGTCCGTGGATACTCCGTAGACCTGCCCGAGACAGATGTCTCCGTTTTAGAAATCAAGTACGTAGTCTTTCCAGCTAAATAGAGTGTCCTGTCTAAAGTTCAGTTAGCCAATTGGATATGGATTGTTAACATTAGTGGAGAGGGGTTAAGGAAATATCATTTATATGGCCTCAAAATGCTAGCAAATTAGATACTTGGGAAACATCGTGACAGAACAAGGCAAGGGCACATAAAGAACATGTTGTGGGCAAATGTGTCTTCAGATCATAACTTTCATCCTCTGATTGCCGCCTTGGAGATATCAGGATTTATGACCAGGTTCATTATTTCTTGCTGCTACCTTTGAAACCTTCATCATCCTTGGAGCTGGGGCCAGAATGAGTTGACGGTAAACTGCTGTAGTGGAACAGTGTAGCTAAAAGGACTGTAATAAGAGAGGCCTAGACAAGCATCAGACAACTCTCGACGTCGCTCACACCTTAACGGAGCCAGAACTTACCAGAGAGAGATCCATCCCTTCTGCAACCTCTACCGTCCATGCAGGACGCTTGCCAGGCACATAGACCGAGACCACATCGGCAAGCTTGGCGATCATCACCAAGTTACCCTTGTAGTAGACATGTGTCTTCGTCTTCCAGACACTCTGCCCGCGAGCCTCCAGGACCGTCTCCTCCCCATCCGCAGCCGCATTCTTAAAATAGACGTCGAATTTATCTTTGAAAGCGCTCCACTTCGTGGAGATGGTCGCAATGGACTCAGAGCCGCGCTCATCGCCGGGAAGGATGACGAACCACGTCACGCCGGCCTTTTTGCGCTGCAGCGTAAACAGTGGGAGGCCTGAGGCGTCGCTGAAGTGTCGTTTGTTACTCAACGAGCCAAAATCACCTTTCACGGAGAAGAGCTTCGTTCCGAGCGGAGAGTCGTCTGTGGGATAGGTGGAGATTGTGAAGTCGCCGCCAGACAAGCTTTCGCTGTGTTGTTTGACGCGAAGGGCCGCAGTGTCTTGGGCAATGTATTTTGTGTTGAACGCAAGAGGCAGTTTCAATGGGAGCAGTTTTGATGACGCCATGCTTTTTGGAATGAGCAGAGACAAGTTACCAGGTCAACTGACTTGACAGAAATAGATTGATGGTAGCCTTAGCAGAAATCAATACGATTCATGGAGTCGGGAGGGGAGGGTGGTAGTGTAAACAAATAGTGAGTATAGATTACCTCAATGTCCATTCTTGATAGTTATTAGCAGGGATATGCAGATAGTGGGACACTCCAACATCCTTGGTCTATGTAAGTGGTAAGACATGTCGGGAAGATAGCGCCATCGATGAAGCTAGTTGACGGCACAGAGTGTGCTACTTCTCTTGGCCAGTGGGGTTCGGGCAAGGCTGAACCTTGGAGTTGGAGGAGCTGTCTTACCCCTAGTGGCTGCATAGCCTGGTGATCAACTTCGCCTCTTCTCTTTTTCCCTCCCTCTGAGGCTCAGTCATTATCGTCGTCGGCTTGGGCTTCGATTCCCATATGTCAGGCGAAAGGCTAGAAAACGACGCCGATTACGGCCGTCTACCATTCGACCTCTTCGTCTTGGTTGGTTCCCCAGATTACATGTCGCTCCATCCTGTACTGTCCAGCCTGACTTCGGTACACAGGAGCGTTGGGATCACGATGCCGCAGAAAACAGTAAGGAACAGTGGGAGCGACTCATCTGGGAATGGCAGAAGCTGACGCTAATCGAACGCTGGGTATGTCCTTCCTTTCCCCGCTGGATCAAATTACAGGAAGGCTGACTGTTTTGCCAGCCGTATCAGCGCCGTGCCGAATCCGAGTCCTCCCCGCCTGAAGTTAGCGAGGAGATCAGACGCGTGCTGGCCACGCACCAGACAGTACACGAGCGTAATGTCAGTGTGGTCAGCAGTCACGGCAGGCAGACCGTCTGGCTGCGGACATGCTACCACCTGAATCTCGCGAGCAAGTACGAAGAGATGAAATGGAGCTCCGAAGTGCCTGGATCGGGCGTCCCAGAGGACAAGGTCCTGGACGACCCCGCCCGCTACAATTTCGACGACGGCAGCGAGGACTCATGGCGTTCGGTGTTAGTCCACGTTCCTGGCATCACGGACTTCGGTGGCATTATTGACATGGACGGCGACGGGAGAAATATGCAGTACAGGAGTGGGCAGAACAGTGAGTACTTGGTGCGTCATGCCGAGGAGAGCGAGGAAGACTGGCGAGACGTCATTCGAGCGCAGCTGAAATTCCAGGCTGGTCTTTATCTGTTGGACCGAGAGGCCATTGAGTCTGGATTGATTAAAATCCTCTGGCTTGATGAGCATGGAAATATCGCCTGGGATAACCGGCTGGACCTCTTTACCTCCGACTTGGAGGGGTTAGCAGGAGCGCTTCTCGGGGCTACAAGTTTGGTGGAGTTGGCCAACTACAACGGCACCCGCGGGGCTCTGATTGAGCGCTAGAGTCTAAGAGGACTGGTTTTCTATGCGCTTTGTGATCCTACGCTTCTTACCCTTTCCGCTCTAGTGCCTACCCCTCGCCGCTTTTGCTCGCTCACTGATCTTCTGAGCTTGTTTCTTTTCCATTTGCATTGCCCACAAAATGGCACACAATCTATCAGATATTCTGAAGAGTGCTTCTGTAGACTTGACTCCGTACGAGGATCTCTACAAGAATTTCCACGCCCATCCCGAACTTTCGCTCCAAGAAGAATCTACGTCTCAAAAGGTCGCAGCCCATCTGTCACAGTTGAACGCTTATGAGATCTACACCAATATCGGCGGCTATGGGCTGGCAGGCGTCCTCAAAAATGGCACTGGCAAAACCGTTCTTCTGCGAGCTGACATGGACGCACTCCCTGTCAAGGAACTCACCGGACTCCCGTATGCGAGCACAGTCACCATGCGCGATGCCGACGGCGTTGAAAAACCAGTGATGCATGCATGCGGGCATGATATGCACATGACATGCTTACTAGCAGCAGCTGAGACTCTCGCAAACATGCAGCATGCGTGGAGCGGAACGCTGATCGTGCTGTTTCAGCCCAACGAGGAACGAGGCGGTGGCGCGCAGGCGATGGTGGACGATGGCCTTTATTCCGAGATCCCAGTCCCCGATTATGTCTTTGGCCAGCACGTCATGCGCATGCGCGCAGGAAGCGTTGGCTGCCGGCCTGGGACCATCATGGCTGCTGCCGACAGTCTCAAAGTTACCGTCTATGGGCGCGGCGGCCATGGATCCCTGCCCCATCAGACAGTCGATCCTGCGCTTCTCGCTGCGCATATTGTTGTCAGACTGCAGGGTATCGTGAGCAGGGAGATTGACCCCAGTGACCTTGCAGTCGTAACTGTTGGAAGTCTACAAGCGGGGCAGACGGAGAATATCATTGCGGATCGGGCCGAGATTGGGCTTGATTTCCGGACCGTCAAGCTGGAGACTCGACAGAAGATTCTTTCCGCTGTTCAGCGCATTGTTGAGGCCGAGTGCATGGCTAGTGGCTCGCCGAAACCGCCGGTGTTTACTCCAACACGCCGGTTTCCGCCCACGGTAAATGACGAACATGTGGCGTCTCAATTGGCTGCCTCTTTCGGACAGCATTTTGAGGACTTTGACGGAGATACACCGAGGACCAACGTTAGCGAAGACTTTTCTACGCTGGGGACTTGTAGAGGTATTCCGTGCTGCTTTTGGTTCATTGGGGTATTGATGCAGAACTCTGGGACAAGGCAATGAGAGCAGACAATCACACAGACGAGATCCCCGGGAACCACTCGGCCCTTTTTGCACCTGTTATACAGCCGACTATGAGAGCTGGAGTGGATGCTCTTTGCCTCGCAGCTTTAACATTTTTGGGGAAATAAATTTCATCACCTTACGACTTCGGATTGGCTCACTATCGTTGACCAGAATAGATGGTACGTGTTGATCATAAGATTGGAATTCGTAACATTCTGGTTAGAGGCTAGGCTCATGGCATTAGATGTGTTCCTTTTCCTTAACACATCTGCTGATCTGAATCTGAAGGTTATCATAAGGAACAAACAACCAGTAGTGCGTGTTCTGATTTACCCTTGCACATCGAAACCTCTCCTGAAAGTAGTGACACGACCCCTTCGGGAAACTCAGATTCGACGACGATCCATCTTCGATCTTGGCTGTTTGTTCTTGACTGCATCCGATCTGAGTCCGTGAAGATGATAACCCTCGTAAATCGCACTTTGGCGAAGACATCGACTCGGCTTCCGGGTAGTAGTAGACTTTCATCGTCCTTTAGTAGCATAGCTACTTATGACAATGAAAACTTCACCAGCTCTCTGCTCAAGCTCTTGTAAACACCCCCGCTATCCAGCAGGTGAAGCCCAAGTAGTTCACGGGACGGCAAAGGATATCGTCCGTCATGGCATATAAGATTGACAACCCCATCTTTTGGAAGATGATTGTTAAGATTTCTGGTGAAACGACGCAATGTCTTCACGCGATACTGATTTAAGGTGTCCGTTGGTTCCAGTGTCATACGTTCTTGTAAACACACCTACTATCCGGTAAGTTCCTGTAAGCAAATAGCCAGCTCCCTTGAGTAATCCTCCATGTAGCTCATCCCGCAACTGCGGCCCACAGAGCGGTGTTCAGAATGCGGGTGACATCGGTCGAACCATCTGGACGGAGGGAGCCATCTGTTCCACCAGACTGTTTCAGGTCTACCCAGTCTTGGATTTTGCTTTCAATGTACTGCGCCAGACCCGAAGCATGGAGGATCTCAGCCACACGGTAGTGGCAGCCCAGATACGCGGGATCCGGCAGCGGTAGATCTTCCCCTTCGGCGCATTCGAATTTGATGTTGCGATTTTCGGGCAGGACAAGCAGAGCGTCGCTGGATATTTCGGAATAAATCTTAATGTCGTAGACATTCCGCTCGTCCTTTTACAGAATGAACGCAAAGTGTGAGAATGGTTTGAATAACTGAGGAAATCAGTCAGTCTTACTGTATTGACGAAGGCCATTTGGAAACTTCCAAACGCCATGTGCAGGGGAATTAGCAACATCATGCCGTTTGACAGGCTATTGATTGTCCTAGACCTCAATCTACGATTAAGTAGCGTGGGGAAGCACCTAAACAACACTTCCCACCGGTCGGAGGCTTCCTTCGTAGCCTGTTTGAAGTCAGTTCATAAGACAACACCGTTGGATTTCTGGAAAACCATACGTGGGGTCCCGCCCAGGACGCAAAACTGAAAGGGATTATGTGGGCGGCCTCTAGTCTGGCATGGAGCTCATCAGGCCGTCCATTATCATCCCATTTCTTCTGCTCTAGCCAGCGAGTAATGCAGCAGCGGTGACCGTCTCGGCGCAAAAGGGCCTTACGGAATTCGCCGTCCCGGTCCTCCTCCGACTGAAGGAGCGTGCTCGCAATCACCTCGGCGTTGGCTTTTCTTTTATGATGGGGCGCAGCTGTAACAGCGGGTTTACGCTTCTCTGCCATCACTAAGATTGGATCAGTATAAATAACTCTGTCATGGGGTTTTCCCTCAAGTCACGTATTATCCTTACTCGGGTAGAGGACACCGGTAAGAACGTTGTGGTAGACCTCCCACAACTTTTCGTCATTTTCAGCGTTGACGATGTCCTTGGCCATAGAAGATGGACCGGTTCCTGGAAGCCAGTCCAGACAGGCATTCAGACAGGCAACGAGATGCTTTTCATGCAGTCTCTTTTTTTTCACATAACAATTCACCCTCTCTCTGGCGGCGTCTATCGTCTCGGGCAAGCCCGGCTCGGTAGCATTGGCGGAAAGGCTATGGCTATGCTCAGACTGCTGACGATTGGACTTACGGGCCCGAGCGTGTTTCGAACTTGATGACGGTCCCTCTCCAGCGTCCTCAGGGGCCAGCCTAGCCAGTCGGCGAGATTTCCGGGGCGACACAGGGCTGCTTCCCTGGCGCCGTTTCGAGCTGCTCGGAGGCATTATTCCAAAGGCAGCACATCCTGAAGTACTATTCCGGGCTTGTAGGTGGCCGGAATACACTAAGCTTCATTTGGAGACGTAGAGCTTGGATTTGACGTCACAGGCTACATAGCATGGTATGACAGAATATTTGCACAAGGTCCCATGCCTGAGACAGAGCCATAAGTTAGATGCAGTATCCGCCTGAACCTTTCAGCGGTTTCGCATTTAGCAAAAGGTTGCACTATGAGATGAAGTGGTAGTTCATCTTTAGTAATATATGTCGCCTTAGAAATTTATCATGTAACCATCTTTGAATGCAAAGGACCGGCTGCATGGTAGAGGGTGCCGTGGCCAAGGTATTACTCCAAGGTTGCCAGTGTGTGTTTGCGGATTGTACTTTAACTGTTGTAAATCTGAGGTGAAGATAGTCTGTACGTTGCTGCCTGTGTCATTCGCGACACGTCTAGAGATTGAGAGTCTCGAATTGCCTCCATAACGAGTAACAGCGGATACTCCTGGTAGGAGTCTCCATCCAGCTGTGTTGGGATCCGCCTGTATTCCGCTGGTCCCCAAGGCTGAAGACTAGCGCGGTAGCACGGAGAGCTCCTTCGCGGCCTAAATTTCCACCTGTACCTCTACTAGTTGTGTCTAAGGATGGTACCTGGTCAGTCTAGTTCAGTGTGGATCCAGTGAGATAAGATGTCGGCAGACCAGGTGAAGGGTTTGTGAGTGGAATGACTAGAATAATCAGTGAATGTGTTGGACTTACTGTCTTGACAAAGACCACATGAAAACTTCCAGACGCCTTGTGCAGGTATTCAAAATCGACCAACATCATTCCATTTGACAGGCTGTTGATGGTCTTGGTCCCCAATCTACGATTAAGTAGCATGGGAAGCACCTAAACGACACATCCCACCAGTTGAAGGCTCCTTTGTACTCTGTTATGAGTCAGTTTGAGTTACAATTGAGAATTGCTCTTAGTACTGACTGTAGCATTCCCCCTAAACAAACATCAAGACATTGTCTGTGCACATCAGGGGTCATGATGACAGGGTTGGCCTTAGGCTGGCTCATCATCCTCTAGGTTCTTTGGTCTGAAGCGCACCTTAACGTAAAGACATAGTTATGTCGTTGCTTATCCCATATTGTTCACTCAGTGCCTTGATCTGATCAATAAGTTCCCATGATTCAAGGTTATTCTTATTAGTACACGTAAGTGCCAAGTCCTCTTAGGGCTTTTTGAGCTGTCGGAATATGCACGTTGTGCTGTGTCAGTCATATGCTCTAGGGTTAAAAAGGCATATCAAGACTTACAGCCTGTCGAGAATATGGTACCCGAAAGGGATAATTTTCGGAATCGGTAGCAGCAAAGCTTTTCGCGAAATGAAGCGATCATTGGGTCTTGTCCAATGCGTTGCGCATGAAGTGCATCACCTCTCCGTATTAGTGGAGAGTCTGGCATTCTGGACTCCCATCGAGCTTTCAATAATCGATTCGTCTCCGTAACAGGAAACAGACGCGGCCTGGGCATCTCAACGTAGAATGTCCAAGGGTCGTCACTTCGTTTGGGGCATTGACCGCAAAGGCGCTGTATCTCTCGAGTAGTTTCGCTTGCACCGGAGTCTAACATCCAGTCATGCTGTCTGTCACGGTTGACCGCGCTGATCTCTTTATATTGGACTTGTTGCCAGGTAAGCTCGACGTTGTTGCACCAAAGGGAGTCACTATCAAGCGTAGTCTGATTAGCCTCTCTGTCATGATCTTCATTGATTTGATTGGAAGATCCAGCCCATAAGCAAAGACGGGTCAGCCGGACGCGGGAGTGCCTGATTTCTCATCGTCATCGGAATCGTACTCATAGCGCATCCCCAGCTTGCGTTTGACTGGGGTAGGTACCTCCATGTTGCTGAGCTCCTTTGTGATGTTTGCGATTGCGTCCCGCATGTTATGCGGCCACCCATGCAACGTAACCTTGGGCTCAAGAAGAGAGGCAGCAGCACTGTCCGCTGTAATGATGCCATTCATCTTCGGTAGGACCGACGCACAGGTCAGCGCAGGACTGAGGGAGCCACCGGCATGCAGGAGGCTCGCCCCGGGCGAACTGGCGGCACCGGGCGGGCTGGCGGCACGAGAGGAGCTGTCGTCGGGGGCAGCACTGGTGGCACGCGGCATGGTTATCAATGGGAGGCTATTGAGGGACCCCAGAGCGGGGCCCTCGTCCTCAGAGGAGGACGGCTCGGACGCGGCCACGACGTGACGACGGCGCGGAACTGGGGCAATGGGGTCATCGGATCAAGACTTACCTGGTTAGCACAGCAGACACGACGGCGGCACGCCAGAAATAAGAAAGGAAGACTCACCGAGACAGCGGGAGAAGCTGGCGGGGACTCGCCGCCGCGGTCATCAGGCTGCAAGAGCATTGTAAGGACGGAGTTGAATTTGTAAAAATCTTAATGTCGTAAACATTCTGCTCTAAAGACAGCAATGTGTGAGCAGACTGATAGGAATGAACGCGTGACGACTTGGACTTACTGTCTTGACAAAGGCCATATCAAACATTCTAAACGATTTGTGCGGGAAATCGAGCAACATCATCCCATTCGAGGGGCTGTTACGACGACATACCCTAGGGAAGCATTTATGAAACACTTCCCACCGCTTCGAGGATTCATACGTGTCAGTAGGAAACAACACCATCTGAGATCTAGGACAAGTACCTCGCTTCCCGTCCAGAACGTGTAACTGCAGGGTATGATGTCGGCGCACTCCAGGTCGCCGTGGGGCTCATCTTCTGGCAGATACCCATTGTGCTTCCATTTCCTAGTATCTAGATGGCCAGTGACACAACAGCGATAACCACCTCGCCGCGCACACTCATCACGGAAATCAGGATCTCGAACTTCTGGTTGGATGAGCGTCCCAGTAAACACCTCCAGGTTGGGCTCCCTGAAGTCAAAGGGCGATTCGGGTTCGGAGGGTATAGGACTCTCTGCCATCACTAGATTGATTAGCATAAATCTTTGGTAATTCTTTTCTCTCGCTTACTTGGATAGAGAATACAGGCAAGAAGATCGTGAAACACCTGCCACAACTTGTGGTCGTCATTTCCAGAGTCGACGATGTCTCTAGCCACAGAAGTTTGACCTCCTGGTGGTAACCACTCGAGAAAGGCCATCAGGGAAGCACAGAGATACTCTTCATGTGGTCTCCTTCCATTCACATAACGCTCGACCCTCGCCCTCGCGGGGTCTACCAAATTAGTGAATGTCTCACGCCGTTCCGGCAGGCCATTCACTGACTGCTGACGATTGGCCTTGGAGACGGACCGCTGCCGGGCCCGAGCGACCTCCCCAGTGTCGATCTCGGCGGGACCCCCGGGGGTAGACAGGGCGACTTTGCCGGCCACGTTCCGGACAAGCCAGAGACATCTCTAAATCCTAAGGTTTGTGGATGCGGAGTACACCTAAATCAACAAACCAGCTAAAGTACTGAATTTCAGGAAGATCTAGTGTTGCATTAGCAAAATTCCAATTGGAGAACGTGGCATGTCGTCAATGGGGTTTCCGGGGTTCAGGTACAAGTATTACCTGGGCGTATGGGCTGTATTAGGAGACTTAGGGTTATATTCTAGGGCTTTGAAATCGTCACATCACAGGCTACAGTCTACGTAGCATGATATTACAATGACCTCACAAAACAGTACGATATATGAAGCACATACAGCAAATGAATGACGGATATTTATCCGTGGTGTTACAGGCCTCCTGCTCCTGATTATGTCCGATCGCCAGCTAAGACCGCCATAGACCATGACCACGACCTAGGGATCCTAGACAACTTGTGCCCACGCACCTGGGTTTAAACAGTCTGTTAGGGTCCTCTGTATAGAGCAATCAAGGTAATAATATAAGTCATCCTTTATGGAAAAAAATAGGCCTGAAATGCCATTGAGAAGAGACTTTAGTCGTGGTAAAATTGCTGGCACCATATGTAACCATGAATTGACCATTGTCTGGTATAACTGGGAGCCATGGTAGAACTACTGTTAGGAGATGACAGCCACCCACAGCAGGATGGCAGTCCGAGGAGGACAGTCGCCCTTATTTGGCAGCGGTCGATCCTGTAATAAGCCATTGCTCCTCGGCTCTCCTGGCTGTCTAAACGCTAGCCACAGAGAGTATCTTCGATTACGACTCTACACATCACCGGCAAATCTCTGTTTCTTGGGCAATACAATAATCATGTAGTTTTATCAAGAGTTCAACTATCAGAAAGATATGGTCTCTTCGCCTTCCTACAAAACCCAAATGCAGTTAGTTCTAGCTGGTAAAGTACAATATAGCCAACTCATACAACAATATGATTTGTGAAAGGTAGTCTGCATGTTTCTTTTATCATAAAGGTCAACATGAATGTTATGTACCAAGTGGGCGCCACTGTAAATATAGGACGATGGAGTCTCAAATAATCCATCTGCTGCTCCAACCATGCCTTGCTGTGTTATTGAAAACGTTTAGCATTATCATCTCCTCCACAGCTTCCCTCTCTAATACACTAAAAGCCTGATGATGAGTGGTATGACCAGTAGAATTCCCCGTACTCTTCATAGTCACCACTTGATCCGGGTGGGTTTGCAAGACACTACTGATTCTAGCATGCAGACTATGTGGTTACTCACATCTCTGTGAAACGAGAAGTCTCTAGACGGTAGGAATACCCTGCACGTCTTCGTCAATGATTGCGGGAATATAGCGCGCCAGGGTCCTCCATATTCATGCTCGGCTAGTGGGTTTGATGGCCTATGGTTGGGGCTTTGAAGACACCCACGGATTTCAAAGTGCAAGTGTTATCTGATCCGGGCATCAAAGTCGGCCTCGTACGCCCCTTCATCTCCCTGGCTGGAAACAATACTGATTCAAGCAAGTGTTGTTGTAAAAGCGAGCCTGGTCCAGAGAAGATCTGCTTGAGACGCGAATGGAATAACTACAGAATACCTGTTATTGCAACGTCCAAGTATTTCTGAGAGTTATGCGACGTCATCAGTATAAACAAAGATCACAGGGCAGTGGAGACGATCCCAGAAGCTGATTCTTTATATCTCTAGTCTTTGAATGGATGGATCAGTCTCTGCGAACTGTCCCTCCGTTTGCATTCCAAAACAACTCTGAATCTCCCAAAGTTATCAGCAAAACGGTATTTTCTGCCCTTGCTCTTCTTTCTCAGCTCAGTGCTGTTCATACATGTGTGTATCTGTTCCCTAGCCCTCCTTAGGTGTAAATGCTAAGTGGAAAATATCAATCCCAACAATATCTTCCTTTCCATCGTTGATGGGCCCTCGTCGATAGTAAAACTGGTTGACTTGGGAAAATAGCAAGTCCCCTTCGACTGAATTTCCAGGATTTTGTTGACCTCACAGTGCTGACGCAGGGTTACAACAAGATCCGCGTCCAGAGTCTCCCCACTCGCGCACCAGAGGTCTGGCAAGGCTTGGGATGCTTCCATTCATCCGATGTGTGCTCTTTTGGTGTTACTGTATTTTGACCTCTGTCCTGTAAAGACGCAAGCTAATTTGAAGTTGGTACATTGGCTGGCTCGGAGCCCTATATTCGGGGCCAAGGATAAAATAGTCGAGGACTTGACTGAGGCACGGTGTATTGCCAAGATTCGACGTCTTGTTGGGCCTATAGGGGCCTCCTATTACCAGTGAATACGAGGAGGAATTCCTCGCCGCGGAATATTTGGAGTCGTCGACGTTCAAGCATCCGGAGACCGGTTTGGAAACTCCGTTTATAACGGTAGGCTCCTTACCCGAAGAGGTGCAAAAGCTACCAAGGCCAAAGATCTCGTCTGAGTTACTGGATTTTATTGAATTTCTGCTAGTGGTGGATCATACGAAAATGCCAGCGGCATGTGAAGCACTGCGACATCCATATTTGGAGTCTCGTGGAGATTCGGAATATAGGTACGAGCAGCTCATTGACATACGACATTATTTGGCCAGGGATTTCTCCCCTGAAGCTGTTCTTGAAAAGAAAGGAGTCCAATCTAGCCTAGAGCCGGTTCCCTCGGCCTCCTAGTCTCAAGAGTCAGCGACTCCTCGCTTCCCCCACTCAAGGAATCCTGCTCCCTTACGCCGACACCAGCAAACTTCTTCTGCCCTAATGGCTGCAGACACAACTGGCTCGAGTTGTCTCCCAGGCGGTGGAATCCGTCACCGGAAGCGGAGGGATCGGGCTTTGGCCCCGCAGAGGGGGCCGAGGACTTCGGGCCTGTTCCGTTGGGCGTGTAGACCGACCGACCCAGTAGCGGTCGCATCATCGGGACCGAAGCGAGGATGACGGCCAGACAGGGCTCCAGGCCGCTGAAGATGTTGGCGCGGGGGATCGTGTAAGTGATGTCGGTGAAGTCCATTGAGGAGAGCACGGAGATGCGGAGGGCGCTGATGACGCAGGTGCTGGTTTGATCAGTATCTGAACAAGAGAAATAAAACGACACAGTGGGATTGAGGGGCTTACACTACTCCCAGTCCAAAAACGGTAATCAGAGTCACCTTCTTGTACGTTGCCATCTGCAGCTTGTACAGCGACGGCATCGGTGTCACGAGCACGGCCACGTCAGTAACCAGATTGATCACCCCGTCACCGTGAACGAGGTGACCTGGTCTCCGCACGATCCACCAGGGATGGTCTGGTCCCAGTTGAAGGCAAACGGCCGGCAGATGAGACAGCCAGCCAGGATTGTCGCGATGGCCCAAGCGACGATGACGCCGATGGTGGCCCATGCGATGCGCACGACCCGCACGACGGGGAAGATCCGGAGATACAGCAGCAGGATGGAGATTTTGGTGCAGCTGAGGCTCAGCACCCATGTGAACTGCAGCGGGATGATCAGCTGGAACAGTTTGGTGACGGGCTCCATCCCGTAGACGGCCACGATGGACGAGACATGGTCGAAGCCGATGCCGGCTTGGAATACCCCGGTGATACTGATTGACTGGAGACCGACGGCGAAGAACTGGGAGACAGATGTATAAGTGATTTGTAGATACTATAGAAGGGGCTTGGCTTACACAGGCGGCAATCAGGAAGTAATCACTCGACGTCCATGGTTTATGCGCAATATGATGGGCCAACAAGCGCAAGGACACTGCGACGACGGCCAGGGTCGAGAAACTGAGGGCCACGGCAAGCACAGCCCTTTGATTCCGGGTCTGGATAGGAAAGATGACCGTCATCTCTTAAGCGGCAGGCTGCGAGGTACTGGCAGACGTGGAGAGAGGTGGACTTCCTTCATGTCCTCGTCAGGGAATGTGCAGGGTTAAATGCAGAAACATTGCAGGGATTAGAGATAGGATCTTACTTAATATTACTTGCAAGGGGGCCAGGCCCACTTTCCGTGCTTTTTGCGTTGCTTCAGCCTTGTTGTGACATTACCGTTGACGGGTGCACTGTACACTTTCTACATACTAGCCACTAGTCCTAGAAACTTGCGGTATCTCGTGTCTTGACTCGAGCAATCCGACAAGTCCAGTAACATATCAAAATTGCCATTTGAATTTATGAGACGTCTCCTGAGAACAAATCGGAATATGCAGCTTCACAAGAATAGTGCCCTGTTTCTGCGGCCCCCAAATGCTCGGCGCCGATCCGTCATGCCCTAGTCCTATGACCTATGCTTGGCCTGCTTCACGTCGTGAAATAACCTCTCCATATTGGTGGATCATTCTGTCTTTCTCTTTAGTGTCTTTTGAGGGACGAGAACGGCAGACTGGTCAAGTCTCCAAGAAGATAATGCCGGCGAAATGCCGGTGAAACGGTTGGCGGCATCGCATTGTAGACGAACTAAGTACTAGATCAAGGACTAGTCGCATGCCTAAGTCGAGCTCTCCAACCACTCGACTAAACAAGGCGTCTAGACGACCATTTTTAGCCAGGGAATACTAATGTGATTAATAACGTCTCCAACAAGCTCCTCCCCGGCCAACTGCCGAAACTCTGGGAATTGACAGCCCACTGCCGCATTCCTCTACAACACATCTCAACGTCCATTGACAACCATCCATTGACCTCAATATGGCTGCCACTTCTGTTGTGGTTGTCATCGTCATAGGACTGTTGACAGTGTTGTATTTCAGCAGAAAGAATGGCAACAAGACGGACAAACTGCTTAAACTTCCTCTAATCGGCGACCTCCATAGCTCGCCTATTGAAAGACCCCTGGCAAACTGGGACTCCTGGGCACGACAGAATGGTCCGATAGCAGTCCCCAAACTATTTGGGATTATCCCAATTGTCGTGCTCAACTCGTACGAGGCCGCGACGGAGTTATTCAGCCGCCGCAGCCAGTGGTACAGCAACCGGCCGCCCTCGGTGAGCATGGAGATGATCACCGGCGCTCCGCCAGGACAGTCGCGCTTCACACTCATGCACGACTACGACGACCATCTCAAGCTGCACCACCGCATCCTCTCCCCCAGTCTCGGCGCCCTCGCAGCCCCAAAGTACCAGCCTCTGATGGAACTTGAAGCCAAACAGCTGCTAGCCGACCTTGTCAACGCCCTGCGGCACTCTCCAGACGGCCCCACCATCAGCACCGACACCATCTATCCACTGCTGGAACGCACCCAGTCCAGCGTCATCCTGGCACTACATTACGGTCTGCGCATCCCGCACCCCGACGAGCGCATCCTCCACGAGATCATCGACATCCAGGTCCAGGTCACCCACCTCGCCGCTAACCCGGCCCTACCAGACCTCATCCCACCCCTACGCCACCTCCCTGCCGTCCTCTCCCCCTGGAAGCGCGCCGCAGACCGCCTCTACACCGCGCAGGTCGACCTCTACATGCGCCTCTTCCACCACGGTCGAGACGCTGCCGGCTGGAACGCAACAAAGCAGGCCCTCTCCACCGCACCCAAGTACGCCCCTGCGTCCGCCTCCTCGACCTCCTCCCAAGTCCCCGACCTCGACCTCGCATTCACCCTCGCCACCTCCATCCAAGGCGGCATGGAGACCTCCCCGCGCCAGCTCCTCTGGCTCTTCATCGCAGCCCTGCGCAACCCATCCTTTGTCGCGCGCGCGCACGCCGTCCTCGACGAGGTGGTCGGCCGGGACCGCCTCCCCCGCTTCTCGGACCGTGCTCGGCTCGCATTCATCGACGCCGTCGCCCACGAGCTCTTCCGCTGGCGGCCGATTGCGCCGGGGTCCATCCCGCGGCGCGCAGACCGGGACGACGAGTTCCAGGGCGTGAAGATCGCGAAAGGCGTGACTGTCATGGCGAATGCGTGGGGGATCGGGCGCGACGAGCAGGTGTTTGACCCTGCGCTTGGGGACCTGCAGGAGTTTGTTCCGGAGAGGTGGCTGCGGGAGGGTGAAGCTGAGAAAGAAAGATTGCGGAGTGACCTGCCGCTGCCGGTGTTTGGGCAGGGCAGGCGGATTTGTCAGGGGAGGAGGGTGGCGATCGATGGGACGTTTATGCAGGTCGCTAGTTTGCTTTGGGCGTTTGATGTTGAGATGGTGGATGGGGCGGAGCCGGTTGATCCGTGGGAGATGGTTGTTGTGGGATTCATGACTATGCCGAGGGAACGGAGGTTCAAGCTTAAGCCTAGAGGGGATTGGGTGTTGGATGTGATCAAAAGAGAGTGGGAGACGGCGGAGAAGAGCCTGGATAAGGTTATGGGGACAAATGATGTTGAGTGACCACGGCCGGTATACAGGACAAATCAATTGACAGACAAGAAGTCACATCGATGATCTATCTACTGCTTATGAACATACTACTTGATCGCCCTCACAGAAGCTGAGATCGTTATCAGCATTAATCATGCGTAGCACCGTCCCGTATGCATCATCACTCGGCAACCCTCTCCTCGAAAATTTCGTCTTCCCATTCAAGTATGCTATTATGGTTGAAATCTGCCACGTGAAGAGGAGAGCTTTATACAACGACCGAACGCCGTGATATACCATTACTGACAGATGACTCTTCAATGCGTCGCTATGCGCAGAAAGGCATACTATAGCTGACAATAGTCTATAAAAGTCACACAACCACGTGACATCGTGAATGTCGGTCGATCAATAATAATTTTACACTTATGCATAGAAAAAGTCTTCCAACGCTCTGGTGAATTGATCGGGGTCCTGTAGCGGTGCGAAATGGCTGACGTTCTTCAGAATGACCAAGCTGCTGTCCGGGATGGCGGCGTGCAGCTTAGCTGGGACATCCAGATTCACCGCTTCGTCGTATTGGGCGCCCGCAATCCTGACCCTGGAGCCGTCGATGGTGCGCAGTTGGGCATTGGTGAACTTTGGCAGGGTAGCCTCCAGAGTCGCTACCTTGGTCGCGAATGAGGTGAAGTTGGCCTGGGGCTGGAGTTGGCTGTACTCCTTCGCGCAGCGAGCAACGAACTGGGAATAGATGTCCGTATTCGGGAAATTCGGGTTGGAATCGGACGGGACCATGAAAGCACCGAAGAGGAATGCCTTCTCGATCGTGGGGGATATCGTGCGGTTCAGCAGGGCGGAGATGGTGGTTGCGCCGCCGTCGGACCAGCCGACAACATTGTACTTGGAGACACCCACAGCCTTTAGCTGCTCGTAGATATTGTTGGCAAAGAGGTCGAATGTGAAGACATCGTCTTCCTTGAACGTGCTGCGGCCGTGGCCACGGCGGTCGAGGGCGATTACATAGTGGCCCTTCGCGATCAGTCGGCTCAGGACTGCACCGAAGTAGGCCGAGTAGCCTAGGCCGCCGTGATCAAAGACCAAAGGTGTTTTGCGGGCATCTTCATTGTACTTTTGGATCCATAGCTCAACGCCGTCCACGGGGATCCTGGCCTTGCTGATTGGGGAAGGCAGGGGTGGTGTTGGCGGCAGAGTGAGCCAAACCGGGGTGGTAGCCCGTTCAGCAATAGCTAGACCTTGAGCTATTCCGCTGAGGAGAAGTGAGGCGAACAAAGCAATTTTAACCATCTTGGAAAGATATCAGACTAGAGAGTGATGGTATATGTGCTGGAGTAGAGGAGGTGAGACCGTGAGAGTGATGAACTGCATAACGCTGCCAGACGCATCTCGATGCCTTAATATACCCTTCTTTCTTCACGGGGCGCAGCGACTCCTTACTATAACAGACTTTTGCGCTGAATCCTTCGAAAGGTCCAGAGTACGGGGGACTCTGTACAGGAACCATCCGGGTCGGTTCAGGACTGCTCCGGGAGCAATCCGGACACGCACTGTCTCACCCTACACTAATTGTAATCCAGCTCCCACAGTGAGTAAAAGCGGCGTTATTTCGGACTGAATCCTGAATCCGGAAATGGGAAGTTGCAAATATCCGAAGAAAGACCGTTTAGTATAGCTTAGTCGGAAACCACCTCAGGCAATAAGACGGAAACCAGGCATCGAGGCAGGAATCAATTACATTTCCTAAAACGCGAGTCGTGTCGCGCGTCTATCACGTGACTGTATCTGGACATCCATTCATTGCCATTTTAGGCCTAGTGCGGCCATCAGCTTCACATCACCAAAACAAAAAGACCAACAATAGACAAGCAAAGGTGGTGATTGGCAATAACAAGGCTGCGATCGACAGTCTTTCTGGCTACAATAGACTTGTCTAGCCCTTTTTCCTTGTGAGGCTACAGTCTGCTACTTATCCAACATCAATTGACTTGCCCAGTCCAGCGCAGTCTGATCCCTAGGGGCAGATCCCAGGCAAAATGGTCAGTTCCGATTGACAAAACTCCAGGAGCATCTTGATCAGACTGACGTCTCCTAGCGCTCATCCTTCCGCCGTCTAGCCGCAGATCACGCTGCGTTGCACGAGGAGCTCCCTCCAAACTACCTTTTCCCGACAGAAGAATCATCCGATGATTTGACCCAACTCACCACCCTGCTGGCCGGTCCGCAGGGCACACCGTACTCCCAGGGTCTGTGGCGATTACACTTGAAGATGCCAGAGGATTACCCGAAGAGTCCGCCCAAGGCGACATTCAAGACCCGGATATGGCATCCAAACGTGGAGGAGTCGACGGGCGCGGTGTGCGTTGATACATTAAAGAAGGATTGGAAGTCGACGTTGACGCTGAAGGATGTCCTAGTCGTTCGTACTCCCTATCCCTCAAATCTAATAGAACAGCGGCTGGATCTGACTTTTTTGATTAGACCATCTCCTGCCTCCTCATCTACCCTAACCCCGACTCCGCTCTGAATTCCACGGCCGGCGCTCTCCTGCAAGAAGACTACGATGCGTTCGCGCGTCAGGCGAAGCTCATGACATCGATCCACGCCCCTGTACCACCGGATCTCAAACCCGCAGTCGTAGAGGCGAAATCGAGGGGTGAGGAGGCCGGAATGCTCATCCCAGAGCACGAGGGTGCCCACTGTCTGCGATCACGCACAGGAATAAGAGTCCAGTCCTTGACGATGAAAATGAAGAAGCCCGGTGTGACACCGCAGCCATCGAACCAAACCCACGCCGACGCCCACGACAACAGCCCAGAATCAGACGATGACAGCGGCGCCCGCCCCTCCACCTCGAAAGAAAACGACCCCTCACTCTCCCCCTCCCCCGTGAAACTCGCCCCCCTCCCAGCCCCGGAAAAACGCCCACGGGAAAAGACCCCTCTCCGACCTTACCACATCCCTAGATCCAGAGCCGGACTCACTCATGGACCCCGATTTCGCACCCTCACGAACAACAGACAAGCCAGCCATGACCATGACCACCTCAGAAAAGAACATCGCCGCGAACCACGCCCCGAACCGCGATCCATCCCCACAACCACAACCGCAACGAAAATCCCCCAAGCTCTCCCTCCTCGACAAGGGCGCCAACGCCTCAGCCCGCATCCGCGACGACGTGATCATCATCTTCGAAGACGCCTCGGATCCTTCTGACCTACCGTCCCATCACAGCAACGACAGCAAGGAGAATCATGCTGCGCTCAATGCCTCCAAGGGGGTGGGCCCGTCCGCGCGGAAGAGTCCGCACTACCCCTCCTCTCTTCTCGCTCCTTCCACGGCGGTTACTTGTCCGTCGGGCTCAAAGTCAAGAGCCGTGTCTGGTTCGCGGAAGGTCTCGTCCTCGAGCATGAAGGCAAAGCCTCGGATTGGGATACGCAGGTTATAGAGCCCGGTATACCGCCCGGTATATGTTGCGATTTCTGGTTACTTCTGTTTATATTACTGCGTGCTTCTGTGCGTCTATGGGGTTCTCTGGTCTGTCTTGGCGTTCGGAAGGGGCATATACGACTCCATTGGGACATGGTGGTGGTCGTCTCTGCTAGGGATGAACTGCCAACGGTGCTCGCTGCTGGCGGTTTCTTCCATCTTTATATCTCTTCTCTATTAGCGAGTATGCTCTGGATTCAGGATGACAATTTAGTGCATTAGAGTCATCGTATAATAATGATAGCCAGTGGCAAGTTAACTACTAGAGCCTTCCCAGCGTCTGTCGGCAGCAAGCCAATCAAAGCCATCCGAAACCGCCAATCAAATAAGCTATGCAACTATTTAACATTGAAAACGCAGACAATTTCCCGCCAAGGTTTCACCTGCGGCCAGCCCTTCAAAGATGCTGTAGCGTAACTATCACGTTTACGCTTTGGTCCACTTATTCGCGTCACTCAAAACACTTCTTATCTTCCCCTAGGTTTCCACCACAAAAATTCTGCAATCGACATCTGTTCGAAGCAAGTCGCCATGTAACCGCGCTGTGAAATAGTATGCAAACAGCTCCAGTGGACAGGCGACTGATGGAATATTGCATACCCATACACGAATCGATATTACAGCCATGAAGACCTGAAGTATAAACCTGCAAGCATATTCGAGTATCTGAGTAAGTGACCTATTACAAGGCGTAAGGGTTGACGGAGCGAATAGTAAGACAACTACAAGACAGTGTTAGTAAGTACCGGAAATGAAAGAAAGCCACGGAGGACAACTTACGGAGGGCTCTTGGTCAAGTCAGTCTTGAGAATGATGGGAACCCGGGTCATCTCGGTCACATCCTGAATGTACTCTCCGTCCTCCTCGCGGAGCTTGAACAGTTTGAGGTACTTCTCCTTGTTCGTCAACTTGGCTTCCGGCACGTCATTGTTGCTGCTTGGCATCTTTGGATCGGACCGAGTACGGTGAGGAGTCTGCTGAAGATGGCCATTACGAGTCGGTGAAGGTGGCATGCTCTGGGTTGTGCGGTCAGCGGACGAGTTCAAAGAGACGCCCGCAGCCATCTCGGTGACCTCGGAGATATCGTCGTCATCGTCGAAGAGAGCATCGACATCATCGGCAGACATGGTTCCAGTCTCAGTCTGCTTGCGGATCGCCTCATCACGTTCGCGCGCACGTTCTCTTGCAGCCTCTGCTTCGCGAGCCGCGGCCGCAGCTTGAGCAGCGCGAGAGTTGGCAGGTCTAGGCCGCTCGTCCTCTGGAATGTAGCCAGAAGACGGAACGCCCTTCTCCCAGTAGAGCTCCAGAACACGGGTCTCCTTGCGGTACTCGGCCTTCTTCAGAGGTAGTTGATCACAGTGGACACGCTTCTCGAAACCAAACTCGGGAATGAGGACATCAAAGGCCGACTCGTAGACACAAAGAACGATTCCCTCACTGATCAAGTCGCCACCGATCTCTTGTCTCTTCTTGTCCATACTACGGCAAGCCTCGATATGGACGCTCTGCTCCTGTGCATTGTGCGCCGAATCCTTCTTAGTATTGCACAGATCCGCCGTCTTGCTCAGAGACTCCACGTCATCAGAGAACTCGATTGCACCATTCGACAAGACGGCCTCGAGCTGACGGTGAACGATAATATCCGCATAGCGACGGGACGGGTTGGTAAAATGAGTATAGACGGGTAGGTTGAGGGTGTAGTGATGGCGCTGCTCATCCTGTACAGTGCTAGCCACATAGTATTTCGCACGCTGCATAGCCTTCAGCAGAACAGTTTCCATACCCTAATCCCAGTCAGTATGTGAGCGGAATAAAGTAATGTCCTTAGCAAAGTTGAACACGAACCTTCCGCAGATCATCATCCTGTACTTTGCAAAGGCTGCTCTGCAGAGTTCCGCTGCTCGAAGGGTCAAAGTCATAGCCGAGGCGATTCATCCTGTCAATGAAGGAATGAAGGCGGCGTGAGTTAGGCGATGGTTGACGGCGAAGGAAAGCCTTATCGGGCATGGCGGAAACCAATTTGCGGGCAACGAAGAAGTTTGCCTTGTGTCTCAATTCCTCCACCAGCTCGCGTGCATCAGTAGAATCGAAGATGTTCCTTTCTACTGGCACATTCTCATCATCCAGCTGATGTAGAAGGCGGAGAGGTGGCGGGTTCGAGACACGGTTGCCAAACCTAGCTTCTCGAAACTTGTGTGTGATGGCCTATAACCCGTATTACATTAGTGCCCAGTCCTGGAGGAGAAAATGAGGATAAAGGGTTACCGACATTCAGGGTCTGAATGATGTTGGCGGAAATTCCGGCCACGGATACATTGGACTCCCCCTTGATCGCAAAGTTCACCTCGTCATAACTCAATCTGCCAGCACTCTTGACGATACTCTTGCCGATCCAAACATCGTCATCAACAGCGCCGGTTTCTGGATTAGCAGTGAATACAACGCTGACCGTAAGGCGATCCTGTTCCGGAAGGAGAGAGCAGAGCTCCGTAGAGACTCGCCGAGGCAGCATATTGACCAGTCGATCCATGAGGTAGACCGCCGTGCCTCGCTTCTTTGCCTCCCGGTCAACCAGAGAGTTGGCCTTCACAAAGTGCGCGATATCAGAAACGTGGATACCAATTTCGACCTTGCCATCGGCCAGAGGCTTGATGTGATAGGCATTATCCAGCTCCATAGCTCCGCTTGGATCGATGGTGAAGGTGGTTTCCGAACGGAAATCCCGACGGGACTCGAGAAGCGCATCGCCTGCGCTGGCGACGGACCAGTCCTCCCAGCCGATACTCTTGAGCACGGCATCCGAGAACTCGTCGGCACCAAAGTTGTTGTCCCGGAGGAGAGCATCTGTTTCTACCTTCAAATCGCCCATTTCACCGAGCTGTTCCACGAGAGTACCAAAGGGATGAAGGGATGTGATTGGCCATCTCTTAATGCAAGCGACAAAGATACGGTTGGCATATTCCTGATGCTTCTCCACGAAATCACGAGGTGCCTGCTCGGTAGGGATAGCGATGAGAGGGACACGCTTGTCGGTGGGCTTGAACCACACGATCTTCGGCTTTTCCTGTTGACGATCGTACTGCTGACGGCCGTGACCGCCATCTCTGGCCTGCCGTTCGGCTTCCTGCTTCTCCTTTGTAGCCTGGCTGCTAGGCCGAAGCAGCCCCAAAGTTCCCGAGAACATTTGACCGGCGATACGCTCAATGACAGCAACGATGTGACCCGCGTAAAGAGGCTTCTGTTCGTCACTGATCTCATCTTCCTCGACGAGAAGGAGGCTCTGGCCCTCGACTTCAACGTCGTCATTCTTCTTCTGTGTCGGTCGTTGGCGCAGACTTCCACGACGCCGGATGCTGCCATCGGGTCCAATCTCCTGGCGATCACCATTGGCACCGGAGTCCGACCTCGATATTTTATCCGTTCCTGCGGTGCTGCCGGAGCGAGCATCTGTGATATCTTTGCGTTTCTTTTTCTCCTCCTTTTCTTTCTTCTGAGACCACACCTCGTCCACGTCCAAGAGTTCAACGGCAACAAAATCACCCTCGAGGGCACGGTTCCGGTCTTTGCTTCCACAGATGAAGATGTCGGCGTCCAGATCCGGAGTGGTCACATAGGCATCGGAACGATTCTTCTTATTGACTCGAAGGATACCAGCCACCAATTGACCGTTGCTCAGAAGGGCGGGCAGGTTCGCCTGAGGCAGATAAGGAGTGAATAGAGTTTTGCGCTGCTGTTGCTGTTGCTGTTGTTGTTGCTGAGCAGACAGCTGTGGCGGAGCGTGTTGGCTAGCCTGCAGACCGCCGAGCCCTTGTCCATTTAATTGACCGCTTTGTTGCTGCAGGGCTTGGAGCTGTGCCAGTTGCAATGGGCTTAGCTGCTGGCCAGCGCCGAACATTTGAGGTGGCGCCATAACAACTTGACCCTGAGGCAACTGGATAAGCTGGGGCTGGGCGGGATACTGGAAGGAGCCAATAGAACCAATTGATTGGTTGATGGACGCACGAGCGCGGTGGCCGGGTTGGAAAGTGCTACCTTGCTGTCCGAAGCTCTTCTGCTGGTCCTGTGCCTGGTTCTGATTGTTAGGCTGACGCCAGTTACCGTCGAAATTTCTCGACGAGGTGCGTGCATGGCCCGGCTGGCTGCCGCGTCGTTGGTTCTCAGACTGCCCCCAATGTCGCTAGATTGCGGAAATTGAAAGCCACCCATACCGCGCCCGGACAGCGATCCCCGGGAGTTACCGACAGCGACGGATTGACTGCGACCATGGGCGCCAGCCCGAATGTTGCCGGCACGGTGCAGACCAAGCCCTTGGGGGGGTTGTGGTGTGGTCGAGGTCGGTTTATCCTCGGAGCCTGATAGGTTCTCTGAGCTGCCCCCAGCGCCTGGGGCGGGGAATTGAAAGCCGGAAGCTGTTCTCTTTTGCTGAGCTAGCTCCGCGGCCTTCTTAGCTTCTGGTAAAGCGAGCGAATGACGACGCTGGTGACCACCACCACCTGGAGGTCCCCGATTACGGCCATGGTTATTGTTTTCCTTCTGCTGAGGGTTACCCTGCTGGGCGTTGTAATCAGTGTATCCGGAGGCGCCTGAGGATGGGGCAGGCGGAGGGCCCATGGGCAGACCGGGAAGTGCGGATTGATTGCGTCGATGCGAGTGCTGATTAGGAGTGTTCATGGGTACGCCAAGCTGTTGTTGAGCTAGCTGGGGAAACTGGAAGGCGTTGATCTGAGGGGAAACGCCCCCCATGGACGCACCGCCCTGAAGCGAAGGAGAGAATGCAGAAACCTGGCCCAGTTGCTGTGGCTGTAAAAGTCCCATGTTGACGTACTGTTGATGTGTCGCCGCAATTTGTTGCTGTTGCTGCTGAAGCAGCTCAATCTGTTGCTGAATGGCCAGTTGTTCCACTATTGTCAGAACCGAATTGTTAGCGAATAATTGTACGCGAAACGATCAAAGCGGAGTTGATTCATCTTGATATTGTCAAACATACTCATGAGAGGAGTCAGCTCCGAGGGACTTCTCCTGTGAGCTATATGGAGCTTGCGGCCAGCGGGGCCAGGAACCCCGGATTGGCCCTGTTGATCCATCTTCTCAGAAGGACAATGAACGAACTGATATTGTAGGGTTGAATCTTCCACGCGAGGGACGTCTTGCTTTGAATATAAGGGAGAGTTCGAAGGCGACTTGTTCACTTCTGTGGGGCTACCCGCGATGAAGGCCGACCGTAGGAAGCTTGGAAAAACGACAGGCAATTTGTACTATACTAACCAGACGGGACAGCAAATTAGTATTAGGAGGAAAAAGGACGAGTAGATGTCAAAAGAACAAGAAGAGAAAATTCAAAGCCAGATTTGGCTGGGAACGAGGAAGATCAAAGAGGAGGGGGCCACGGAAGCTGTGACTGGGCCCGCGAGAGTGACATCAACGAAGATCGTAGCTATCAAATGGAAGGAACAAGCCAGTTGCAGAGTGGAAAGCGGCAAGGAGTAGCACTCAGACGAGGACAGAATGATAGAAATCAGACGGGGGAAGCAGTAAGGAGTCATTTGCGAAAAGTCAAGACTCACTCTGAATGACAGTCCAACTAATGTAGAATTCTGCTGCTGAAGAATGACGTCTTTCTCCTTTTCCCTCGTTTATCGTCCCCCTTAACGCACGAAGCGGGAATACCTTTTCATATGAAGAAAGCGGTGACCAGCTCACAATCGAATCCTTTTACCTCTCCTAAGTCGACAAGAAAAAGGATTGAGGAGGGTTTTAGCGCGGACAGATGTCAAAAAAGTCGATGCTGCTCAAAGAGAGAATGAAGCTGTCGACTGGCGAGATGAGAGTGGAGGAGAAGGACCGGATAAGTGGAGGGAAGCTGTTTCTCAACCACAACCACAACCACCACAAGAGGATAACAAAAAGGGTGTCCCTTTCAGTTGATCGCTCTCGGAACGCTCCTTAATTTCCGTTCTCCTTTAGTTATATGTTTTCGGCAGTCTGTTGCTAGTATATTGGGCCTATTTGATGGAGATGGCACGGAAGCGATCGGGGTCTCACAGAAGAGACCAGATTGGGGAAGGGAAAAGGGGGGAAATTGATAGCGATGCAGGATAAGGAGCTGTTGAGTTGGCCTCGATTTCCTTTGGTCCCCTGGGGGTACTTTTGTAGTCTCTAACGTTTCTTATTCAATGTCGAATCAGAAAGCACGAGGCGAAAGCGACGAGGTTCTGATCCAGAAGAGAGAACGACAAGAAGATGAAGAATGGTGCTGACGCCGATGATTACCGGTTGTTATCAAGAGATTGACTCTACTTGATTTCAAGGAATGATGGGGGGTAGCAAACGATTATGGTGGGGGTTTGAAGGGGAAGAGGGGGAGGACAGGAAGATAAGCAAAAAGGAGAGAGAGGGAGGAGAAGAGATGAGAAGAGGAGATGAGTGAGAAGCAAAAAGGAAGAGAGAAGAGAAAGAAAGAGAGGGTAAGGATGAAGTTTTACGATGAGATATATTTAGTCTACAAGTGGTCTAGTATATCAGGAAGAGGAGTCAACTAAGAGAACAACTACGCCTCTAGCGGTCTTGAAGTAAACTACAGAGTAGGAGAACAATAATAAGGATGTGGGGGAGACGACTTTGGAGCACTCATACTCGAGAGGTCGGAGTTTGGCTTTGGTCTCGTCTTCGCTGCCCTGTCTTGTTTTGCTTTCGGATCATCAGTATTTCCAAGTACTGTCAATGATGAATGCGCTGTATGCGCTGTCTCCAGCTACATACCTCTCTTATTATTTGTGTTATTGAGACCAAGACTGATGAGCAAAGGTCAATAATATAATATGAGCACTGCTTGACCCCGTCACTAAATCAAAGTTACCATACTTGAGGGACGACAGGATCTTCTGGTTCCCTCGGCGGTTCCCTAGCTGTCATTCCTGCGTTCTTCTCGTAATCACGGTATAACCCAGTTTACGGATTGCCTTGAGGTACTGATGAACTAGAGTCTATCTTAGTTGCCATCCCCGATAATTATGTCTACAAGCAATAATAAGTTGTAAACAACTATTCAGGGCCATCTTCACCTCCCTACTCCCTACAACACCCTCTCAGTCTGGACAGCATGGACAGGGATGTATTGAATGGTAATAATACATTAAGGAGAAGTGGATGATGGAACCCACCCAATAGCTGACTCGCTGAGGGTCCATCTAGTGGGATCCACTGGAGCTGTGTGAAGCAACTTAGCAGGACTCGTGACTTGGCTATAGTACTGACGGCGCAACGAAGTCGCTTCGGTAATTTATAGTTGAAGGAGAGCCTCTCTTTGGTAAATTCCATATCTGTCAAAAGACGAAGACACTGAATCGAGTGCCGATTTTCGTTAACGATATTCATGGCCTAGATGATGATGCAAGAAGCCCGTCCTCCGCAGCTCCGACCGAGGAACAGTCATGAATCAATCCAATCGTAAGGTAGTTAAAGTTAAGGGTACCGCTCTCCGTGCTTTGCTGCTGTTTGCGCTGTTTGATCAACTTCGACTCCTGAGGATCGAGGAATCAAGGCTCGCAATTGGTACAGAGGTCGAACCTTTTTCCGGCATCAAACAAAGAGCGTGAACAGCAATACCTACCTTACCTATTGATCCAAACTTCTCTCAATTGGGGAACTGTCCATCCGAGGCCATTTTCTGTTGGCCTCCTGCATCTTTGAGTCATTGGGATAAAGGTATGGCCTTAATCTGATCTTTTTACCTTTGCTAGCAGTTATCGGAGCGGTACATCCATTCCTCTTCTAACCGATATGGCATGCCTTCATTCCTATTTCCTTTTATAATTCCAGGGCATCGAGTATCCTTCCTTCACACGCTCACTTTTCAACTTCTAAAGCCTTATACTTTGGGCGGGTTCTTCTGGATAATTGCGCTCGATTACGTTTTCGAGATTCCTCAAATCGGATGCCTCTCCTTTGATCTCTCAGTGATGAGACTTAGCTTCTATACCTTCGCTTTCCTCACACAGCCCTGCATTCAGCACATCATTGACGAGTAACCTCACTTCAGGACATCGAAATTATACCGAAGGGCTGAATTGCCGATCCCGAGCCTCTGGACGTCCGCTATGTTCTATCTCATGGATTTGATCGCCATTAGCAGATGACCTCGCACAAGACGCATTGATCTTCTCTTAACGCCCCTTGCCTATATCCATACGTGCGAACTTTCCTGCCACGTCCTACGTTCATCAATCTCTACTCGTACCCTCGCATCTTCGCAGTCTCCCTTCGGAGCTCGCGTTTCACCGGCCGTCAGCCAATTCCTACAGAAGTGACAAATCTACATCCACAATGGGTCGAATAAGCTATCCTACGGGTTTGGATAGCCCGTCGAGACAGCTTCTACTGGATCTCACGAGAGATCTTGAACAATTGCAGATCCACAGTACCGAGTTAAAACAGGTCAAAGCGTGGGAACGAAAATCCTTTTACGAACGACTCGACCGCATTGATAGCGAGCGCGAGGCCGTACATTATACAGCGCTCGACAAAGTTGCTGCGCGTCATGATCAGGTGCGGGAGGAGGCGCAGGAGACCCTCAGAGCTCACCAGCGAGCCGTCGAGGAAGAAAAGCGTCGGAAAGAGGAAGAGGCTCGTCGAGAAGCTGAGCGACTAGAACGGGAACGAGCAGAGAAACTACGGCGTGAGCAAGAGGAGGCCGCGCGACGAGAGGCAGAGCGCAAAGCGGCCGAAGAGGCAAAGAGGAAAGCTGAAGAGGAGGCCGAGAAGAAGCGCAAGGCCGAGCAAGAAGAGAAGGAGCGCAAGGAAAAAGAACGACTGGAGGAGGAAAATAGGAAACGACAAGCGGAGGCGCAAAAGGCTGAACAAGAAGCCGCACAACGGACGGCAGAAGCTGCGCAAAAGGCTCAGGCAGAGCAACAGAAGCAGATTGGTGGCGCTCGTCAGACTGAGGAGGAGACCAAGGTACAATTACGCTACGTGGAGCTTCATCAACATCTGAAGAAATTCCGACAATACCTCAAGGACGAGGGGAAAACAAACCCGGTCGTAAAGCAGAACATGGGAGACATCCGTCGGTCAATCAAAAAATGCGTCGGTCAACTACGCGAAGGCAAGGGTGCCAACAAGACCCAGGTGAGTGTAGTGACATCGTCGTTTCTCAAACAAAAAAATCATCAATGCTGACTATTGTGTAGCTTCAGGAGATTCGTTCGGCACTAGAAAAAGCTGCGTCGATCGCGGAGCCGTCTGTTGATGTGCGGCAGTTTTTCGCATTCCCCCCAGAGGACATCGCCAACTCGGAAGACAACAAGGTGCCAGCGCTCTTGATTTACGCCTTGAACATATTCTCCAAATGTCTGATTTCGTCTCTCGTCACGGAGGCATCCATCAACCAGGGCCAAGCGGAGCCGATTGGCATTGTAGCTGCACAAATCTTCTCTATGGACGCTTTCATTTACAAGGGCCACCACATGGTTGACATCCTATGGGCCAAGTACCGCGTTGTCTGTCCTGCACTTTGGGGCTTTTACGGCAATGAGAAAACCGAGGCCGGCAGAAAGGCCATCGGCTGGTGGCGTGAGGGTCCGGACGGACCTTTCATCAGCGAACAGGGCCACGCGGACCGCATGACGGCGCTTGGGGCCGGATATGCCGCGTTGACATTGCGCAATTTCGGCAAGACGCCGCGCAGGAACCCGTTTCCCAACACCATGTTCTGGTATACGATGCATAAAATCCTCATGATTCCGCCGAATGAAATCCAAGAAACACACATTACGCTGCTCTCTGCGATGCTCAAGACCTCTGTCGAGAGGATTGTGGGCTTCTTCGGGCATATGGGCCTGGCATTGATTCGACGGGCGATCGTCGATTTACCCAACAGCCTTACCCGCCAGAGCATGGGTGTCAACCAACTGAAACTCTTGAAAGATATCTACAAGAGAGAGAAACACATCATCATTTAAGAGAGGTCCATGTCGACCGGTCCGGATTCGCAAGCTTCGACATTACTTTGTATCAGATGGCACAGTCTTCTTTTTTCCGCCTTATTCCGATCAAGCAAAGATCCGGAAGGGCAGTCAGTCTCTGGACGCAACGACCTAGATCAGGCCACATTCTGCCTGACCCCGCCTACACTAGCCGCAAGAAGCGGTTTTCGAAATAGACATCTGACATGAGCATTTTACAGCGTATGTCGTCATTTTTGTCGCACTTTTGTGAGGGTGCTAAGCCATCGGCACGATTTTTGTTCCACACAGCTGAAGCTGGATCAGATGTATTGAGACCATCACACCTGAAGCGATTTTGCACGCGGATCATATCTACCCCTCTTATAGCCAAACCAAACTGGCAACTCCTGATGCTACACGATGAATGTCATGGAAATGGACTGGAATCCTGGATTGCTTATTTTGCTTGGACTAGAACGCCAGATAGACCTACAGAAAGAAGGCTCACACACGATACACGATATCAGTGAAAATATTACATATTTGCTTCTCAACTACTACATAGCTTATCCTGATTGTAACCGGTCTCGCGTGGCATCAGCAGCCTATGTTGTGTTACCTTGCTGTTGTGATAGACTGATAATGATGCCGAATCCCGAGCGGGCCGAACAATCACCGCCTGAGGCCTCAGGAACGGCCATTAACAGGTAAAATTAGAAGACAGGTTCCTGCCTTTGTCGGACGGTATTCCGCCTTGGTCGTTATTCTGGATACTGTGGATGTGGATACAATAAGAGTATTTGTGTTGTGCGGACTAACAGACCCTCTCAAGTCTGGGATGGGTTGTTCGTATACAGTTACTGCTTAGTGCTACGAAGCAGGTGCTGGAATGAAGGCTTATTGGCGTTGATAGACAAAGATGCTTCTACGTCAAAATGCTTGTAGAGCGATAGAATGTATGATGTAGACTGATCCCATAATTAGAAGTGATGTTGATCAAGGAATGTATGTCCAATTAGAAGAGGGTATCTATATGATACGCTATCTAGAGCGTGATTACTGCTGCTAGCAGAAATAAACAGGGGTATGTGGTGCTGAATGACATCTGCCTGGCAGACCAATTCAAGATGAGATAACAAGAAGGAGAGAACGAGTGGCGATTAGTAGGTACACGCGGGCGAGGAAGAATTGTACACTGTCACTCTGTAAAGTCAACTGGTGGTATCAGATGAGAAAAAGCAGAGAAACAGAGAAGACTGTAATATGTAACGAGGGAATAAAGATCGTGATTTAAAGCCATAAACAACAGAATGGCAAATTTGTTCAAGCAGAACGTTTCAACAGATATAAGATGGAAACGCGGAAAAGAGAGGATAGAATATGCATGCTTAGTGTCACAAATTTGAAAAATTCAGAGACGTCGAGTGGCCTCGTCACGAAGTAAGATGAGGCCCAAAGGGTCCCTCCTCTGTCCCCTTCGGCGACGCAGAGACTAGTCCATCCGCAGTGCTCTCGACGTCTTCCCCAAAGGAAGCGTCAGCATAATCAGCTGGCTCTGCGTCATGGTCATAGCTGGCTCGTCGCAGAAGTGGAGGTGTACTCGGAGGTTCCTGCAAAGGAGCAGTCTGGCGTGAAGATAGAGGTCTAGGCGTTGTGTTGATGTTCCTCAGCGGCCGAGTTTCCGAGGACCGCCTCCAGCCTGTGGTGGCAGCTCCACCCGAAGTTGGAGGAGCCTGTCGGAAGTTGGAGCTCGGAGGCGTGAGGAGTCCCGAAAGAAATGAGCTTGCATTGTTTGACTTGGATGGCGTCTGCTCAGATGCACCGGAGTTTGCATGGTCCCTGCCTTTGCGCCAGTTCCCCCACGCCGCTGCAGCGGCGAGAGGCAGAGAACGCGGCGAGGCAGTCAAATCAGCGAGTTTTGGGAGACTAGGGAAGTTCTGGCCCGACTGAGCTCGTTCGCGTTCCTGGAGCTGCATTTGCAGGTTGGCCTTCAGACGGATAGCCGCATCGCGCACAGCGTGCTGGTTAAAGGATGGACCCGACAGTGTGTTGATGATGTCCTGGAGATCGTCGATACGAACACCAAGAAGCTCTCGCAGCCAGGTGATCTCGGTGTCCTTCTCCTTAAGCTTGTTCGGCGCGTCCTTGTCCACGCCAGAGAGTTCTTGCTCCAGCTCTTCAATGCGTGTCTCGCGCTGCTGCAGTTGATCCTGAAGGACAAGGATGGACTCCCGCAGGGCCTGAGGGGAAATCTTCTCTGGAGCCATGGAATCCTTGCTGAAGGTCATGGACGGCGAGGTCGAGTGTGCAGCAAGGGAGTGACTGGACTCTGCCTTGACCGTCTGAGCCGCTTCAGCCGCCGCCCGCGCGGCCGCATTCGCAATCTCCAGCTTCTCTTCGAGATGCTTAACACGGTCCTCAAGATGATGCGCCTTGTCATCAGCCAGCGCCAGTCGTTCCATCAGATGAGACTCGGCCCGCTGCCTATCCTCGGTGGAGTTGTGCAGAGCACGAGCGTGACGCTCCCGTAGATCGTTCAGAACGCGTTCATGCGTTCTCCGCTGCTCCTCCATGGCACGTTCCTTAGCTTCAGCTGCGGCAGCCAAAGCACTGGCCTTGGTCTCGCTGGCTTCCTCTAGCAACAATTCATAGCGCTCCCGCGCCGTGTCAGCATCTAGGCGGACATTATCCAATTGACTCTGAAGGCGAATGATCTGTGCCTCCAGCTCAGCACGGACAATGTTGACTTGACTGTTAGCGGCTTCGAGGTCCGCCTCCAGGGAAGTCCTAGTGCGCTGGATTTCGGTGCGACTGGTTTCACGCGCTTCGTTGAACTCACGCTCATAGCGAGCAGCCTTGTTCTGCAGCTCATGGTTCTCCAGTCTCAGGTTAGCAACCAGTTCCTCCAGTCTTGCGTTTTCTTGCTGAGATTGTCCAAAGATAAACTTCAACTTGGCCGCTTCCCTCTCCTGTTGCTCCAACTCGCTGATGTCGCTTTCAAGCTTCTCGCGCAGCTTGACCTCACGGCTATAAGCCGTCCGCAGCTCATTATATTTCGCAATGTGCTCCTCTTCCCGTCTCCGCCATGAAGCCTGGTCTCTGGTGATATCCCTAGTCACAGCCACCATCTCCTCCTGAAGACGGTCGAACTTCTCACTCAGATTCTGTCGAATACTCAGGCCATCCTCAATCCGAGTTTTGAGGTGGTCAATGGTGCCACGAAGTTTCTCGTTTTCTGCCTTCGTTTTCTCGAGCTCGCTCTTCGCTTGCTCACTCTCACGCTTCCAGTTATCGCTGGAAAACCGGTACTCATCCAGAGTACCCTCAAGAGAGATATTCTTTGAAGAGACTTCGGCAAGGGTAAGCTTGAGCGTGGCATGTTCCTGTTCCAGGGTGTCGAATCGGAACTGGATCTGTTCAAAGTAGGGGATCTTTTCCTCCTTGAATTGGAGCAGACGAGCTTCGGCAGATTCAGCGGCCTCGCTATGACGAGCGGCTTCCTCCTCCGCAAGCTTCAGAAGTCGCTGAAGCTCAGCCACAGAGTCCTGTGCCTCTCTGCGCAGTTTGTACTCCTGTTCGGCTCGCTCATCGGTTAGGCGTAGCATATTCTTTAAGCCATCGATCTGCAGCATAAGACTGTCGGCACCAATCTCCTCTGCATCAGAAGGTCGAGGTTGGTACTGAACCAGCTGGCTTGAAACGACCTCTTGCATCATCTCCCTCAGGTTGGCCATGGGATCTTCTGAAAACTTTTGTGCAGTCAAGGAATGAAGCTCCGCGACCATGTCACGCAGTTTCGTCAATTCAGGATTCTCGATGGGTTCTGGGAGCTGCTGGTGTTCGCGAGTAGCGAGGGCTTCCAAAATAACGTTCTTCAGTCTCTCGAGCTTGCGATCTCTCCGAGCGAAAGGCGACCTAGCTCTATACGAACCGTGCTCATCGTACTCGTCGTCGTCTTCGTCGTCGGCATCGCTTTCTTCAATTTCGGCAGACACGCTTCTCCTTAGCCATTTGTTATGTGCACCAGACGTAGCCATCGTAACTGATTCCTGAATGGCTTCCAATGCACGTTCCAGAGGCGAAAGACGCTCTTCGATGACCGAGCCGATGAGATCGTTGACGCGGCGGTCAAAGAACCGGCTTCTGTTGACCAACTTCTCATCCTCGCCGGAGGAGATCACATCATCCCAGTCACTGATATGTTCGTTGCGACTAATCAGCTGCCGAACGGGCGAATGGCTGCCGCCAATAACACCCCTAGAAGGAGACATGGATGCCTGGGAATATGCGTCGAAGTCGAGTTTGGGAACCTCAAGAGCTTGAGTCACAGGGCCCCGTCCCGGGCTTGGGCTAGGTGCTTCGCTTCGGATGTCTGCATGAACATGCCTTTTCTCTTTGGACGGTCCCAGTGCTGACTCTGGCGGCTCATATGCAGGCCGAGGGGTGCTCAATCTCTCGATGCCAACGTCAGAGTCGTCATTGAGCTGCTCCATGACAGCGTTCAATTCCTCATCATTCGGGGACTCCGCCTCAGAAACAGGCCTTGAAAGATCATCCTCCGGCACATCCGCTGCTTCTGCAGGGACGTCATCGTCTGCATGAGCCACAGGCTGGGCAGACTCAGAGGGAGCCGAATCCCGCTTGGGAGAAGCGGGAGGGCTTACAACAGCGTAACGTGACGCCATGAGATCATTCCGCGGCTGCTCAGGGGCAGGTACAGGCTTGGGTTGCTCGAAAACAGTCGGCACAAATTCAGGGACGGCAGGTTTGAATTCGAATGGTTTAGCAGTCGGTTTGAGGAATGAGCTCTTGGCGCTAGTCTCGGCGGTCTTCTTCGTCGAAGGCTCGTCGTTAACAGCGGCTCCAGCCACCGGAGGAGCGGCTTCCTGCGTGACCTTGTCGCCCTCTTGTTCTTGTTCTTGGGACTCTGGCTGTGCATCTGCCCTTTCTTCCTTGGTGTCAAACGGAGTCCATGTTGACGCTTCACTGACGGGCGTGTCATTTCGTTCCACAGA